ATATCACGCGACGTCGCGTGATGGGCCATGTGGAGTGTACATTTATCCTTAGGTGCTCCATCACGCGTCGTCGCGTGATTTATTCTTCAGGGAGTGTAAAATGCAAGCAGCGTAAAATAATAAAAAATCTGTTTCGTGACATGTATTTTGGAAAACATAATTTATATAACCAATGACCCTTCCAATAATCTGTAAATCGGTTCATTTTTTCAGTGCCAGTGTGTAACAGCAGGCCCAGAAATGTTTTGAACTCTTCAACGGTTCCATCTTGAAATACGTGCATGACGATGTTCACTAGAGCTTTTCATACGTTCGGCTTATTTGTTTGTGCACTCCACGACCACCCTCATCAAATATTCTTCATCAAAAGAAGGACAAAAATAATCTTTTAGTTGTGAAGGCGGCTCTACATGAACGAATGGTATTTGTTTCATGAACGAGCAAGAATTACTCCAGTGTGAAGTTAATCCTTCGGCAGCAGTTCACAAGACTCGTGTGGCAGAGCTGGCTCTTCAATCGTTTCAGTCCTCTGAGCTCCTCCCTTTCTGCAGATGAAAATCGAATTTCACTAGGAGGTAGCGGTTATATAACTCCTTCTTGATCTTCTTCCGACTCTATGGTTGAGCTGTCTTCATCATCATCACCCAATCGGAAATCCTCGTCTTCATCACTTCCTACAAAATCATCCTCATCAGAGTTTTCTAGAGCTTCCAAGAATTTCCGATTCGTGCGATAACAAAACACGTTTTTATTGCGCTCGCAAAGGTCTCTCATTTGATCGTTTCGTACCCGTAGAGACACCAGGTTGATGATCACTCATTATGAATGTTGTTATATTATAAATATTATCACTTTTTTCTACCAAAAAAACCTTATATTTGTTCAAAAGTAACTAAAAACAAACAAGACAGACGTCCTCACGAGCGGCGTATCTGAGCGAACTAACCAATTACGTTACATTAAAACTATATCATGATTCTGATGGCCACGCCCACTTTACGATGGCACAGTCCTTTCTCTAGAGGCCCTTAAACGACTTTGTGATAACGCGCTGGCCCACGCAATACTCTTCAAACAAAACTCTTCGGATACTTCACGCGACGTCGCGTGAACAGCCAAATTGAAGAGCACTGGGAACACGCGACGTCGCGTGATTGGCAATGAATTAAAGTCTTATTTAAGCTTTAGAGGATCGGCGTCAGGGGCGATTTGCTGAGATGGTTCTCCTCTTATATTGATAATAATCGCTCACAGACAGTCGAGGTCAAAAACTATATATCTCTGGGTAAGTAACCGTACCTAGTGGCGCCCCACAAGGCTCTCTGCTCTCGCCTCTCCTATTTGCTGTTATTGTGAATGATATAGAACTTTGTTTCAAGCTATGCTTCGCGGGCGATATGAAAATACTAGCGCCCATCTCTTCATTATAGGATGCAGTTATGTTACAGAGGGATCTTGAGAGAGGATGCGTACTGCTCTGTTAACCGCTTAGAACCCGCGAATAATATAGTCCTAAAAAGAACTTGTGTATGACTATACTTTGGGGGTTTTGAAGTTAAACAGAGCTTCACTAGTACGGGACCTCACTCCCGACTCTAAACTACTTTTTACCCGGCTGCGCAATGCAAGAGCGCGAAGCGCGACGCGCAGACAGGGTTATGTGTTTAACAGTCTATATATGTATGTTTGTTCCTTTGTGGCACACTAGAGACCAAACGCCTGGACCGATTTTGATGATTCATACATCAATCGATTCGTCTCAATCATGGGAGTGCTACTAAAGATATGATAGTAATCAAAATTCAATGTGGGCAAAATTAGGCGCCATATTGTGACGAAGTAAAAAAAATAAGTTGACAAAATATGTCGAGTGGGGTATCACTGTCTAGATAATCAAAAATCATAATTAGGTTCCTAACACCATTTTTGATTTTATATGATTGTTTAGGATCTACAACGCTTTAAAGTTGTATATTAACCACTTACGCTTTTAATTTCAATCTTACGTTTGTATGGATCTTTGTTACTCTTTCACCTAAAAAATACTGAATGGATTTTAATGAAACTTAACAGTAATATAGCTCATATATGATAATTACATATATATAATAATTTATGTAGTTATTGAGTGAATTGGCCAATATATAACAATAAGTGTCACATAAGACGGAAAAAAATCTCCCATCTGCAAGCCATTTTGCAAAAACAATAAAAGTTACATGAAGGTTATGTAGAGTGAAAATGTATCTCTTAAATAGTTCTAAAAAAAAGTCCGTGACACCATATATCTATTTTTAATGTGTAAGTCATTATCGCTAAAATAGTGAATCAAAACTAAAATATTATTTGATATCTATTTCTAAAATACACATTTTGTATTAACAAATTATTTTTTACCAAAACAAATACTTTTATCGCTTTTGATATTTAAAGACGATAAACTTTGCGTGTTACACTATGTCATTTCGACAAATATTTAAAAAGTTACAACGATGACAAAGTGATAGCGCGGTGTACTATGTAAAAGAAAAAAAATGGGTTATTCGCAGTATCTGATCCTATACGAAGTACTAACAATAAAACTGTGATACAGTTCCTTCTTATTAAATGATGAAACATATATTATCATAATAGGTATTTATGATTATTGAATTTTAATGAAAAACTCAGAATTTTATTGTTTTTCATTTTTTTTAACGATATTATTTAATGTTACAAAAAAGGTTTACTTTAATATAATGACAAATAACCCATTTTTCGCTAGTAAGTACATACTTATTGGAATCCCTGTATTTATTAATCAGCTCGCAATAATATTGGTTTTGTAATAATTCCGCAAAATTCAAAGTAAATAATGTAGATTATTATAGGTAAATCACCCCTTTCAATACCCTACGCCTATAAGTATTGCGATGTTGTAGCTAAGAACCAAGTTCCTACTTCTATATGGGAATTCATTATTTTCGATTTAGCTATTAGGGCACGGAAGCGCAACAAACAAACTCACTTTCGCATCTATAATATTATTCTATACTTACTAGTGATGCACCCGCGCATTGTACGGTCGAAATTTATTTATCGGGATAAAATATAGCCTATGTCACTCGGACAAAATGTATTTAAATAAAGAAAAATGTTATAATAAATAATGTAGCTACCTTATGATGAATTAATATTTGAAACCGGTTCAGTAGTTTAACAGATTATTTGTTACAAACATACAAATCTTGCCTCTTTATAATATTAGTATAGATAGTTTGGATAAGATAAGTATTTAATTGATGAAAAAGATTTAAAAATAAAGTAAGTAATAGGTTGTTTTGATTATATTTGTAAAAGTTACTTAGCATTTGTGCTTAACAGTGATACGTTATTCGGTTTTTTTTAAACAAAAAAAAAATGGAAAATAATTGCCATGATTGCGCTACACTGGGAGTACTCTTCATTCGAGCTTTACACTACCAATAAAAAAGGGTCGAACACAAAGTCTTTGACCTGTTAAATGTGAACGCTTTAAAAGAAAACTACAAAGAGAACTATAAATTGATAATAAATGAGATTGCTATGGTGCTCTACCTAACGTTATGAAAATTTTATTATGCGCCTTTAGTTTAATCAAATATTATAAACTTTGCTTTGGTGATTGCATAATTATTTAATTTAGTGATCTAAGGCAGTTGCCACCATTGTCCAAAACAACATACGGGAATTACTGCCTTCTTCAACCTGCGACATAAATGTCATTGATTGGTATTGTATATAGGGTGATTAAAATTGAAGTTAACTTCTGGCATCTACATATTGGGTTTCTGTGAATTATATAGGTATATCAAATTATGAGACTAGGGACTGACACTGAATTTGTGTATATCACAATCTTAGACGTCCGGCATTGACATGACAATGCAGCCACTGCCAATTTTAAATAGTCGACGAATAAAAGTAAATGAATTTTATATTTACTGATAAACTATTAAAAAAAACATAAACAATAGATGACTTTTTGAGTAAGTGCTAGTTTACTATAAAATTTACATACATTAGAGATATTTATGTAACGACTTGACTTAACTTCACACATTTTTGCGAAAATTGAGGCCCATCTGTAGCCTTGACCGCGCTGGTAAAGTCTCTATATGTCTTAATAAATCAATCTTTTAGACCGACGCAAGGTACTTAATAATTCCCGCGATATTAATTCCCTCACTGAAGTAACAAGACTACGGTATATACCGTCTTAAAATACTAACTAACTAAAAAGTGTGAAATAAAAAAGGTAAATTTAAAAAATCAAAAAACCCGACTGCTTAATTATACTTCAAATAAAAACTGAAAAGAAAAAAACAAGTCCAGTAGTCTATAATTCTGTTAATAAGGAACAAAGCTACTTTAACAGTCGGGACCCACTATTGAAAAATATTATGTATTCTTGAATATCTAATGGGTCCCGACTGTTAAAGTAGCTTTGTTCCTTATTAACAGAATTATAGACTACTGGACTTGTTTTTTTCTTTTCAGTTTTTATTTGAAGTATAATTAAGCAGTCGGGTTTTTTGATTTTTTAAATTTACCTTTTTTATTGATGCACACATTAGCGATATAATATCAAAGGCTTCTAAGACTCTCGGATTCATAATGCGATGTTCCAGGGTTTTCACCGGAATTAAGACGCAAAAGTTTTTATATTGTTCTCTCGTCCATAGTTATTTGAAATATGCGTCCCAAGTATGGAACCCGAGATACGAATTGAGGCAGTCCAAAAGAGGTTCATTAAACACCTGTGCTTTAGGACTAAGGATCGGTACGATTTAACACGCTATCTCGATTTATGTAGAAAACATCATTTGCTACCGACCAGATTTAAGTAGATTCTGGTAGTTACAATATAAATACTTAAAAAAGAATCCGATCAAATTTTGTTCTAGAAAGATCTAGATGTAAGTTTTAGATTAGTTGCAGGTTTAAAATAACCAAATAGCCGAAAAAATAAAACTACTATAGCATTTTTTTTAATAAAAGTTTTATAGTAAATACGAAATGTTATATTAATATAGTGTTCCATAGTCGCAATGATACTGAACGAAACATAATTATACAATTTCACGTAAACATAATAAGTTATAATTAATATGTATTAAGCGACACAATCACAATTCAGCAGCAACATTTATTTACAGACTACATACTTATGGACTTAATTACCTGATTTCACCATAAATTTCATCTGAACAGAGACAAGAATTCTCAGTCATTTGTTTTATAGGTATTATAAACGTTTGATATATTTTTCTTGATACAAAGTAACCTATTTTCAAATTGACTAATATAATTATAAAATGATAGCAACGAGATCAATCAGAAAGTCGACTAGACTCATTTCCACCATCCTATTTTCTCTCCTTCTTTTTTTGACACAAACACGAAATACTTCGTGTTTGTGCCCAACAAAGATATTAGCTCTCAAAGACCACATCCACATCCTCATTCCCTCCACGAAGCTCAGATCTTCATATTCATGCATTTGAAATTGTTTGAATTGATAATTTCTTGTTTGTGCCCACAGGGGCGTCCGCTCTCTGATGGCGCGTTTCTTAAGTAGAGAGCTAGAGGTATTAAGACTCCGATAAATTACAAGCATAGCCCGCAGATTACAGCTCCCTACCAAGTTACCACCACCGCCACAGAGAAGTTTCTCCAGCAGTGGTATAGCGACACCGACCGACGAGTTCCTGCCATGCTGCGAGCCTGGTGCATGATCGAGCCTCGTTGAAACCTGATGATTCAGCACCTTTAGTCGTTTGATTATTATTTTTTTTGTTTGAGCTAACAGGTCTCTGCTTTCGAAGGCTCAGCTTCTCAAGTAGGGAAGTAGAGAGGTTTGGAGACGTCGAGAAATTACAAGCGAAGCCCGTAGACCAATGCTATCTAGCTCCGCCAAAAGCGGTATACGTATTTGATAGGTTAATCTTTAGTCAGTGCCTACAGACGCATCCGCTCTTGGAGGCCGCAGTTTCTCCAATAGTGGTATAGCTACTCCAACCAGTTCCTCCCATGCAGCGAGCCTGGTGCAAGGTCCGCAGTCACATTCCTCCTCCCCTTCCCCCTCCTCGAAGCCCAAGTCTTCACCTGAATGCCCAGCATCGTCCGTCTCTTCATCGGAATGCTCTATGTTCAATTCCCGGTCCACACTGTTCGCTCTTATAAAGTGTTTCAGTTGTCTTTTGTCTCCGGGATGATTGTTGTTATTATTGTGGTGGTGTATGTCAAAGTGTACCTGTAAAGATGTTTCATTTGAAAAAATGTTGTTAAATTTCTAAATAAGAAGAGAAGCACGACGGCGCAGTGGTTAACGCGTGCGATAGTGGGAGCGGGCATAGGATGGCTGGCCAAAAATGTATTCGGTTTCTCCCAACTACGGAAGACACTTTAAATTATTACGACTCTACTGCAGCTGAAACCGTGACCATGCACCAGTCAGAGTCGCTAACACCAACCAAATTCACCAATCCACGGTGTGCCCGCTGACACACCAGTCATGCGTTCACCCTGTTTCATCCATAGGGAAGACCTGGACCCCAATTAATAGTGGAGACATTAATAGGCTGATGATGAGGATTTATAAGGAAACAAAGGTAGGTCAAGCGAAACTGTTCTGTATGTTCACTAATAAGTTACAAGACCGGCAATTCTGGATCAGTTAAGCCGCCGAATGCGCTCTATCTAGCCGTGACCCTGAGTGTGTCAAAGTGGTCAGTAAAACCTACATTCAATATTGAGTCTTACGTTGTGTTTGAAGAGGGCGGGGTCGCTGGCACGGCGGTCGCCCATGCGGAGAGCCTCGCACGCCGCGAAAACGGATTCATCGTCTGCAATGGAGTAAACAGTGAATACTTAAAAAACCAACCAAGAAGGACACGAAGGGTTCCCTACCATTATCTATATAACATTAGGCAAGATATGATAATATCGAGCAAAAAACTGCAAAAAACACATCACATGTATTAACTACCACTTAAATATTTATTTAATTTTAATTTTTGAAGTGAAAACTTCTTTGCCACCGTTGTGATTTTGAGATTCGATGAAACGGAGGTAGAGTATTTGACACAAATTAGGTATCCGTAATTTTATCATTTACCATAAGGGACGAATAGCCGAACGGTAATCGTCTTAGGGAAGGTTCATATCTCAACGTACAACGTAACCACTAACGTATCATCGGTTGAGTGTGAACGGTCAAGTGTTTTTCTATACATTTGTCTGTTCTGGCGTTACGCGACCGATAATACTCGACGCATGTTCCGTCAGATATGAAACTTCCCTAAGGGAAGGTTTAGGGTCGACACCAACTGATCGGTAGTCCGATCCTGAGCTCGGTAATTTTTTGTTGTAAGTTATTAATGTAATGTAAGTTATTAGGTATTTATTTTTTAAACTTAATTTAACTTATTTTTCAAAGCTTCTTTTTGTTTGCGAAAAATATAACTTAAATTAAATATTTTTTTAATGTTTCATTTAAAGTGATTAGTTTAATAATGTCTTTAAACATAACGCACATTTTGTTTTTTTTCTTTTATTAAGCTTTTTTATTTATTCAAAACAATTTAAGTAGTATAAAATATTTAATTTGACCTAGAGAGCTGAATTTTTACATAGGTGTTGTCTTTAAGACGTTTAAGCGTCTACCGGATGTCATTTTTAATATAGAGCAAAAAACGGCAAATAATCATATTTGTTGTATAGAAACACTCTTAAATATTTATTTTATTCTGATTTTAGTATTTTTGTTATTATAGTGGCAACAGAAATAACATCATACGTAAAAATTTCAACTGTCTAGCATCACGTTGCATGAGACAGCCTAGTGACAGGCGGACAGTGGAGTTTTAGTAAAAGGGTCCCGTTTTTACCCTTTGGGTACGGAACCTTCAAAAGACCTGCTTGTTTAGACAATGTCATAATCTACGAGTTTCTCCTTTTATCGTGACCTAAAAGAAGTCCTTGATATGTGTGCAGAAAAAAATACTGCTTATTTATTGTAATTCTAAGGACTGCAGGTAATTGTATTAAGATGATTTTCACAGAAGTATTTTACAATGCGTAAATATTTACTTAAGATAATAAAAGTTACATGTTTTTCTTACATAAGTATTAACAAAATCTACGTAATTTGAGTTCTGCTGAATTTTACAGACTCTACTTATCGTATATCATAAAATGGAAATGAAAACTCACTAGTGCTGAAAAGACTTACTTTCCGTTTAATGTACAGCAATTTATTTAAAGAAATGTCCTCTTTTTGAGAATATTAATTTTTTACACGTACTTTGTTTGATGTTTTAGGTAATAGGAACTAAAATGACAAATCTTTTGTTTTCTCTACAATTGGTGATTAAATAAAAATGAATTGCCGAAATATATGCGTATGTACACCAAATGTACGCACATATCTTTCAAACGTCTTTTTATTAGTGTTTCTTAATGTAAAGGCAGAACAAAGTTTGCATAAAATAAAATTTAAAAAATCAACAGTAAAAAAGTTAATACGATAAGCCAGCCGCCGGTTTAAAAATAAAACTCATTTCCACTAGCTTCATATTCTGCTCGCATGATATTTGTCTATTATTATCCGTAACACAATTATTTGCAATTGCCTTGATTTTCGTTGTCTCTACTCTGTCGTGTAATGCATCTTATTTTTGGGATATACTTAAATATTCTAAAGTTACTAATGAAGATGTTATTTTTACAAAACAGAAGTCGATCCTTTTAATGGGATGTGTGTGTTTGATTCTCCTGCCTCAAGAGATTATTCAAAAATCCAGTTTTAACATTCAAATATAATACATGATTTTTTTAAGAAAAAATTGCTTTAATTTACATTTCTTCATAAAAAAGTCAATTTGACCCCGACGTGATTTGAACACGCAACCTTCTGATCTGGAGTCAGACGCGCTACCGTTGCGCCACGGAGTCACATGTTGACTTGAACGAAATAACGGTTCAAGTTAATAATCAATTTATACAAGTATAAAATTATTAAATAAATCAAGATAAATTGCTAAAAAGATAATACGTATCATTGTTATCTTGAAAGATTTATTTTAAAATTGCTTTAGGTGTTGTAGGCTTAAGAATCGATCAAATCAGTGTGATTATTGCTTTTTGATAATTAATTTATCAGTCAATAGTTTTTGGCCATATTATCGGTGGTTTCTAAGAAAAAAACGATAATTTACAAAATAAAATATTTCAATATAAGTAGGGCTGCCATCTCTAAAATGTGGCAACCAGGATAAGACGCGTGATCACCCCGGATTTTGAAGCCCAGAACCCGGACAGACCAATAAAAAAACAGTTAAAAATGTCACAAATAAACTTTTTTATGTTGATCTAGGCAAAAGAGCTAGCGGTCTACCTCAAAATAAGTGGTGCAGCACCAAGGACCACTCATGCGTTGCCGTAAATTTTTAAACCCGGACTACAAATAAAACCCCGCCCGGACGCTCCCCGGACGCCCCGTAAACTAGGACAAATCCGGGGAAACCCGGACGGATGGCAGCCCTAAATATAAGATTAGACACATGTCATCGGTCATTTTGTATGGAGAGTCAACATTTTTCGCAATAAAGTACTCTAATATTTACTTCTTAGGTGTTTACCAAACACCTTGTATAGGTATTTTTTTATTTTTTAACAGATAGCAAAGAACCAATAATGATTTATGATGATAGGCTCAGATGTAATAAAAAGCGAGAGGTACCTGATATTTTTTTGATCTGACTAATTATTAAATAGCATGGCATTTGGTTGATTCATTGCTAATTTTAAAAGCCATTTTCCAAAACAGGATACACTAAGGTTTTCTGATAGGTGCAAGTGGAAGAAAATATAACATAAGTACATAAAATTCACTTGTTGAATCCTCAAGTTTCCATCTCAGGTAAAGTTCTTGAGCACGTTGTTGAGGTTCGAAATCTAGGTATCACTTTTGATGGTGAGCTGCGCTTCGAGTCGCATGCGTTGGAGCTGGTAAAAACTTGTATGTTTCGTTTGAGGGTGTTGTATAAGATTCGTAACTTGCTTTGCGAGGGCGTCCGGGTTACTCTATGTAAATCCCTAATACTCTGCAAATTGAATTATGGTGACGTACTTATTGGACCGCGATTGCTTGCGAGACTTTTAAAAAGCAGTTAAAAAATTTTTTAGAAATCCAAAAATTTGACATCCCTAAGTTTTATGTGTGGCAGGGCAGGTAGCCTTGTTTTCCAAACAGTTTCCGGATACTACTTTTTTATATACTTTAAATAAATCATGTGTAATTATAGTTATTATATATATGTATGATATCATTTAATTTTATCTCACCAACAATCACTTCATTATTTGTCTCTATATTGTAGTAAATATGTGTTTGTCTCCAACTGCATTGTCATTGTCATGGCTGTTTTCTCTTTCCTCCTTGCAAATCTTTTAAATGTTTATTATTAATAAAGCTAGTCTACTCACTCATAAAGGTGATGGCTGAAAATCGGTATTTTGCCTTAAAACTGGCAAATGTTTAGCCGAGCCTTGGCCTTTTGCTTTCTGCAGCATACATATGGATATTTATTAGCTGATTTCTTGTATCTTTTTTTTATTGTATTACTCTGTCTGTAAATGTATATGTATGTCGAAGAAAAAATAAACGCATTATCTATCTATCAAACATTGTTTACCATTGAAATAAAAATGAAACGTGCATAACTTTTGGGTTTAATATATTTTTTAAATTCGTTTGTTATTGTCAGGTCAAGGTTTGTGCATCATGGTTAATCTGCACCATATTCGAGTCAAGTAACCCACTTCTTCGTGGGTTGAAGACTTGCAGTGGACAGTACCTTATTTTTTTTTGTAAAGCAAAATTAGACAAGTAAGTTTCACGTGCGCTGCTTAACCTCTTCGTGCACTAAGGCCGTATACAGAAAGAAAGTCGAAAGCCGACCAACGCTTATCGGCGCTTATCGGCGCTGGTCCTTACTGGTTACAGTTACATAAAGGAAGCAGATTAAAGCAGAGCAAGCAAAATGTTGGACTCATCGGACGATGATTTGGTTTTGTTAGAAAATGTGTAATTAAAAAGCTATACATCCTATAAATAGAAAAAGGAAACGTTTCGGAGAATACCATCAATTATTTGTAAAAAAAATAAATTTGATGATCAAAGATTTTGTACATATACAAGAATGACTCAAGAAACATTTTATTACATTTTTGATTTAGTGAAAACCGTTTGATGAAATTGGTGTAATTGGCATAAACAACCAATCCTTCCAGAAAAAAGACTTGTTGTCACTATTCGGTTAGTACGAAACAAATAATTTTAGCGCTTATTTAATAAAAGATAAAGTTTTTACGTTTATAAAAAAAGATTATAACTTAGACTGATTTAATCTAAGGATAATAATTCAAATACAAATCATTTAATATTCGGACAACATAGATCATAATAAAAAAAATCGGAATCAAGTGCTAGTCGAACTCGCGCACGAAGGGTTCCGTATCATTATCATTAATTTAATTATAATTAATTTAAAATGGCAGTGCCAGCGCTGACCAGCGCGTGTCGGCACTTATCGGCGCTGGTCCATAGAAATGCGTGCGCCGGTTACTGGTAAGGACCAGCGCTGATTAGCACCGATAAGCGCTGGTCGGCTTTCGGCTTTCTTTTTGTATACGGCCTTAGGCTGTAGTTTTATCTAAGAGTTTTACCATTATCTAATAGACCTAAATAGAGAATGGACGACACTTGCATGAAATTGAAAACTCTAAAAAGAGAGACTTATGAACTTACCGATTGCAATGTCTCTCATGTCTGATTTTGTTTTACTTTATAGGTAGTTAAGAAATGCACTGGTTTGTTAATCTTTTAATATTCAGAACTCATCGTCTCACCGACGAAAACTAACAGCACGGTGGTCACTTGATGCGCGCGTCTGCTATAACATGTAGTAGGTTTAACGTAAGTTACTCACCGATGAAGACGGACAGTGCAGCGGCCGCTTGGTGCGCGCAAGTTGGCTAATGATAGGAAACACATGGCTTGGTATCGACTGGTAGCGGCGCATGTGCGTGCGCGTTCAACAGCGCACGAGCCAACAACGCAGCGGAGGGAGCGTCTGTAGAATGTGCGGCCGTCGCCAGCACTCGCGTTCATAAGCACATAGTGGATTTAATATAAGGCACTCACCGATGAAGGCTGACAACGCGGCGGCCGCTTGGTGCGCGCAAGTTGGCGGTAGCGGCGCATGCGCATGCGCGTTCCATAGCGCGCGAGCCAACAGCGCAGCGGAGGGAGCGTCCGCGGAACGCGCGGCGGCCGCCAGCGCTCGCGCCGCCAGCGTGGCAGCCGCACCGCATTGGCTGCCCGCGCCGCACACGTTTACAAGCACGCCCGCGGCCGCACAACGGACGGTTTCGTCCTCTATGTACGAAATCGTAACGTAAGTTTAATCTATGCGAAATAGGAAAAGTTATTTTCTTTTAACTAGTAAATAATGTTATCAACGATCACAAAGTACGTTTTTTGAAGTTATACTTCTTTAGGCGCGTTATGAAAAAATGATGAGAGTGAAATTTTAAGATGCGCGCGCATCACTGTAACACAAAAAATTAACAGCATGAAGTTGGTCGCTAAAGCGACTTTACTTTTGTGTTTACCGCACATTAAGAAAATCTACCAACAAAATAGAAATAGAATCTCTATTTTGTGGGTGCTAACGACTGCATTGTGAAGGCCTATCAAAAGTATTTATTAATCCGGAACAACGGATAACGGAACCGGAATTCAGGAGACTACAGCGCCATCTCTTGACCATTGGTGTAGTAGAACCAAAAACCACATCTTTATTTTTTGTAATAAAGTAACAGTTATAGGTATTCATATTTATAATATTTATCCACATGTTTCTAGTTTGTATATTCGGAATACGTGTTTGAGTTTCATACAAGTGCAAATCACATAAGTTGTAATAAATTATATTCAGTAGCGATTTTAATTGAATATTTTGATTATTTATTTATTTTTTCAAATTAAAACTGAACTTTATTGACTGTGTCCTTTTCCAGACTTTTTATTAATTTATTGTAATTAATTATTTGCATGCAATTAAAAACTAATTTTAAACGATGCCAAAGAAGGATAACTTCTCACGCGCCTACATAAGTACACGCACCCATTTTTTTTATTGATGTATTGATTCTTTTATGATTATGATTTTATTGAATTTAAAATGTAATGATAACAAATTTACGCTTTGGTTCCGTTGTTCCAGATTAATAAATACTTTTGATATTATAAATATGAATACCTATAACTGTTACTTTATTACAAAAAATAAAGATGTGGTTTTTGGTTCTACTACACCAATGGTCAAGAGATGGCGCTGTAGTCTCCTAAATCGCGTTTTGGTTCCGTTGTTCCAGATTAATAAATACTTTTGATAGGCCTTCACAATGCTGTCGTTAGCACCCACTAAATAGAGATTCTATTTCTATTTTGTTGGTAGATTTTCTTAATGTGCGGTAAATACAAAAGTAAAAGTTAAAATTTTGTGTTACAGTGATGCGCGCGCATCTTAAAATTTCACTCTCATCATTTTTTCATAACGCGCCTAAAGAAGTGTAACTTCAAAAACTTAAATTTAAATGGGTACAAATACAAAATGTAAATAATAGGTAACATTTTCTTTTTCTTGCGTAATGCATAACTTGCCGTGTTCCAGGAAGGGCACGAGCGCATCTAATGCGCCCTCCAGCACGATGAACTGAGCGGAGCGCGCACCGCGTGATAGGTTGCCGAGCGCGCGCACCGCCTCGCATGCCGCCGGGCCCGACCCGCGCAGCTGACGGCATGTCGCTGTACAACAATTTTATACAAATGTTACGACCAGGCTACGACCTTGCCGATATATAACCGAGCGACAGTTTGCCGAGCGCAAGCAGCCTGCCTCGACTTGCGAAGCTAAAGGCAAGTCGCTGCACAACAATGTAATAGGTACAAATGTTACGACCCGATCACGACCTTGCCGCTAAAGAGCGCACGCCGCCGGCCCCGACCCGCACAGCTGACGGCAATGGGCTATACAACAAAGTAATAGAACCCGTGAGGCTGACAATACCTTAATTATGCAAAAAGTAACTTACGCAGTGGGCTGTCATTGGATGGGTAACCACAAATTTACTATTTCGAGCTCCTCCTTGCTTCGTAACATAGAAGGGTCGTTGGTCCAAGCTGCATCTGCAGTCGTTAGCACTGGGCCTGTGTGGCTCAATTTCCCTTTCCATCCATAGGGAATGCCTGTGCTGCAGCTGCACATTAATAGGTTGATAATGACTTACTCGAATCTGCTTAAAAAATGAATTAGGACAAGGACAAGATACGAAGAAAGATGGTACGGCGCGGCTACTTATCTACACGAGCTAATATGGTGTATAAATGTTAACTAATATTCATTACTGTTTATTGCCAAAATAAATGAAAAAAAAATACCTTTACAAAGTTGGTCGAGTAGCTGGTGCAACGGATCAGGCGGGTCGGGCGGTTCCCGGTAGAAGGTAATGTTGTTGAGCGTCGCCAGCGCCGCGGTCGCCAGCTCCTCGCGCCTTTCCACGAAACTTGACTGCTCATCGGTTGGTTCAGTTAATTGAACCTAGTATAATACGAAGAGGAGGCTTTTCATATATTTTCAATGTTTATTTCAATTTAAACATTATGTCGGCGACTTTAGACGACAATGTACATCATCTGAATCAACTATTACCTACTCACACAAGTGATTGTTTGTTCCCTAATGCTTATCCCAAACCTGCGTGACGGAATTTTGGTACTAAAGTAAAAAGCGCTAGCGTTTGAACCTTCAATTAAGTACGCTCCATCAGCTGCACATACAAATTTATCATCTCCCACAGCCTATTTTAGTGTATTAAATATTTTTTTTGCGCATTTAGCACCAAAGCCACCTCAAGCTCCGTTGCGTAGGTGTGGGAGAAGCATAGAAATATAATTATAGAAATATAATTTATAGGAATGTTCGCTTCAGATGAAGCTTATAATGCTCTTCAGGCCATAAGCATGTACTTCGGGTGTGTTTCAGTTAGTAAGAGTCTGACAAAACATTGCAGTCGGCTATCTTATCCATATCCATTCAGGTATCCATGAGAAATTCACACCAGCGTTGCCAGACGTCCCGATTTTTAAATCGAAATTAAATGTACCGCGAGGGACAGGCTCAGTCCCGCTTTTCAGGAATAATTGGACGGTGGGTGCAGCGTACTGAGAAAGCGCGGGCAGGTGGCACAGACAAGTGTGGACTGGCCGCCTGCCCGGCGCGTAATGAAAAACTCTCAAACAAAGACTCGACTATTTAACGATAAGGTAAATCTGGTTTAAAATATCATATTTTTATTAAAATAGATTTTCTATGGATACTTTTACTAGGTACCTATCTATTGTCACGTAAACGTAATTTGAACTCCAATAAAAAAAAAAAATTCAAAAACTTTTCGATTATATACGTTTATTTACTATGGCAAAAATCCCGCTTTTTTCACTCAAAAAGTTCCTTAATCCCGACTTGTGAAAAAAAAAACTGGCAACGCTGATTCACACCTTCCTCCGCCTGGGAGGAAACAAACATAAAAATATACGACTCACATCATCAGTGGCTAGTTGTAGGCACGCCAGCAATGCTTGGACGGCGCGCTCCACGTGCTCCCGTGCCAGCCCTCTTCCCGCGCGCTCGCAAAGGCACAAGTTTGCTACTACACGCACAGTCTGAATGGAAAAAACCATGATGCCGGTAAAACTTTTAAAATCATTAAAAAAAATCCTTCCTCGGCTGGGATTTGAAACAGGGCCGCCCAAGCAGCAGATGAGCTTTCTGAACCAATGATGCCTGTTTATAATATCTGAATTTTTCAATAACAGTTAAAAATGTAATGCAACATGCTATAGATGAACAACAAAAAATTTGGTTATGTAAAAAGTTTCACTTTAAAATTACGTTAAATTTCAAATTCGGTTTGGTTGGGCGGCCGAAAATGTATTATCCCGATCTCTTCCTTGCTTTGGAAGGCACATTAAAATCTATTGTCCCCGCCCCGGCTACATCCGCTGTGCTGTCGTTATTAGAACCGATAATGCCTGGGCCACAGTAGTAGGGACGTTAATAGGTTGACGATATAGAGCAACACGGCCTCGCAAAAAATAGCAGAATTATTTGAATAGTATTATTGCCGTTGCTCTATGGCTGACAATGACGATGGTGGTAGAGTGCTTCCCGCGATGTTACCTACTTCGCTTTGCTGTTGGTAAATAACGTACATTAAAGGATTTTATAACTAGGACAGTCAATTACATTTAGGCAATAGGCAGTATTAGAATAAACTACATGTAATATCAATAGATTTTTTTAATCAATTAAACTTTAAACTCCTAAAATACGAACTCACCTTTATTAGCACGTCTTCGTTGGAGCCATCGGAACCACCCAAATCGGTACCTAAAATATATGAATTCAATGGTAAAATATAGTTCTTTTCAAGAATCGTAGGTGAGACATTAAAAAAATTTCGTAGTTTACAGAATTTTGTAAAAAAGTTATCTTTCCTGCCTTCATAAAAAAAAACTTCTCATTACTCCAAAAAAACGATACCTTACTCGATGGGTCATTTTTTTTCTACGTGAGACCTAACATTTTTTTAAATAATATTTTGTGGCATTTGTTTGGTTTTCAGTCAACAAGATGCTTCATTCTATGTCAAATTAAACAACTGTAAGCTCCGTTTGTCTATAAAAATATGTGTGTGTGATATTTCGAAATAATGGACATAGGGATAGACGGACAATCGGAAACGCGAGTGACAGCAATATGGCTTTATTTGGACTCTTTGGGTATAGAATAAAGGGATTTTGTTTGTGTATTTAATATTTCTTACCGATCAAATGCAGGTCAGGATCAGTTTCAGCGTTGGCCTCATCATTTCTCTTCGTATACAGTTCCAGTATGGTCAGTAACACGTCCACACCGCCGTCTTCACTATATATCTGAGAAAGAAGTATTTTCTTCTAGTATGGACAGTAGATAATAAAATTTAACGATGACGATACGTTAAGTTGCTGTCAAAATTCGTGCTTGGGCCTAATATCGCGGGATCAGTACCCTTTTGGCACAGAACAATATCGAATTCGATCACGATACGCGTCAAATGTAAAAAAAAAAATGTATAGTAGAATGTGGTAATTTACCTCAACTTGTAAATATAAAATAAATACTGATACAACGTGCGCGTTTAGGTTAGTTTCCTACGATCCTTGATATTGCGGATGCGGTCGGACTAAGGCAACACAAACAACTACGTCCGTCTTCTCTACAGATCAAACGCTGTAGAGAATTTGTTACCATTTTTATATTTACATTAACCCTGATTTCTTCATCAGCTGCGGCCATATTGCCCCGCGTGTAAGTAAGCGTGCTCCCAAGGTGCTTTGACTGAGTACGCTGGCAGCCAGTAAAATAGCGCGCTACACGATTCTTCTGGCGACGACGGCACACGAGACACAGGGGAAGCACACAATCACGCGCAACACGTCTCCTCGGCCGAACAAATGCTATACGAGCATTGGTTTTATCTTCGTACTCACATTCATCAATCATCATGGCTTGCTCGTCGGCGGTGCCCTTGTTGCCTAGCATGCCCGCAATGCCCTGCAGCGGGCGACAGATGACTGTTCTGCCGATGGCACACTTAAATGTGAGTTTGTCGTCTTCGTACCCAAATTTATCCTGGCTTGCTCGTCGGCGATGGTCATGAGCCGTACCGGCTGTCAAAGGTACCTACTTATCATCACATTACTCCTGATCGTACGTACATACTGCCAAAAGCGCTCGCAAAATGTATCTTTTGCCGATAACACTCTATTATAGAAAGAATTTGTTTATATTGTCGTACTCACATTTATCCTGGCCTGCTCGTCGGCGGCGGCCATATTGCCAAGAGTATACGTGAGGCGTACTGCTAAAGGCGCCCTGGCCGCGCACGCCGCCAGCGCGCGCAATAACGAATGCGCACTCACGGGAGACGCGCATAACCACGCGCAACACGTTTCCTCGGCTGATAGCACGCTGTTGGGGAAACCGGTCATGATTACGATTCACATTCACATACATTTTTGTGATCTTGTCTACTCTGAACTAGCAGCGGTTGCAATTCTCCATCAGGGGCGAGAAAAATGAGATGAAAGGCAATCTTCTTCAGTGTTCTTAGGTCGAAACTTTCATTTCACGAATTCTTTATTTGCAGCTGGAAAATTGCTTAAGTAATTTTGGCGCGCACTTTAACCGTTACCGTGGCGTGACTTAAATTAAGCATTCCTGCAGGAATACAATGCTTCGGAATAAATATGTTACATGATTTAGCTATAGCTAGTCTTTTATGAGTTGGTAAATATTTGGCCAAAATATACTCACTTACTATCTAAAGTATGCGATACATGGCATGGCAGTGATTCGGTCAAGTTTGTAACGCAAATAGAACACACTATCAATCAATACTTATATAATACACATACAGTTGAGTACAGTACCTAAGTCACCGTCACCGTCACCAGTCAAAGTAGGTGTTTCTTTCTAGGTATACGCTACGTCTCAAGTAAATTTTGCTCACGCTTAATATCCAAAGTATGCGACACACGGCAGTGCACGGTACCCACTAGACGCTCATGCAGCCGTCAGTTAATTCCATTCCATCAGTCATGTATGATGAAAAAAGGATGGCGACTAAAAAGTCATGAGTCAAACTATTCGACGACAAGTTACCCATCAGTAGCCTTGACTGCCAGCAAATTGACACCAAAACAAAACCTAACCGTTTATAGACGCGTATCAGCCAAGTTTGTAAAGCAAATGGGGAATACACTTAAAGTTGAGTACAGTACCTAAGACACCGTGCGACGTTTGTAAGCACATCCCTGTCAGTGTGATGCAGTAGCGCAGAGACCAGTTCGCTCAAAGCCCCGCTCACGACAAACGTCGGGGCCTCCTTCTCCTCCCCAGCGAGGTTCCGAAGAGCCCCCGTCAATTGGTACAAAGCGTGCGTAGACTGGTCGGTAACAGCGCGGGGATTCTCTGCTTTCTGTGCGAAGAAATCATGAAATGAAGAGGCTTTGGTGAAAGATTTCAGTCTAGGATTAGAAAAAGCCTACCTACTGAATCTAGTTCATAACATGTTATCCGTCCGTTGCAACGTTGGCAGTTTAAAAGATCTTCAGTGTGACAATTATTCAATGGCCCTAATAAGGTCTTTGTTCATTATATTTTTTATTTTAAGCTGTTAAATCTGCTCGATTTATAAATCTAAAGAAATTTACTAGATATAGTTCAACTAGGTTAAACTTAAGCATTAGCATTGCCAGTTTCATAATCTGTAGTATTTTATCAAAGGATTGACTGACTGTCTAAGATTAAAACCAAACCAAAAGACGTTTCTTTGCATGAATAAACTTGTAAAACCTACAACATAGACATAAGTATACCTACCTACGTAAATTGCAGAACTTTGCTGCATTGAATGTGCCTGTTGGAACTGTTGGATCAACATTTTTAAATGCAATCATAGCAGTATCAAAAACACCCGAGGTTACGGTTTTTAGTTTCAGCTTCCCGCGATGGCAACTTTAGAGGGTAACTCTAAAATGAAGAAAACAAATACATACAGCGTTGTTAAGTATCTTGAGGTGGAGTGCCGCAAGGTGAAGGGCGCCGGCTTTATGCGCGAGTGCACACAGACTGGGCTCGAGCGCTAGGAACCTGAGCGCACCCGCCCCGTACACGCAGCACTCGCCTTCAGCCAGCGGGTCTGCTCGACCACACCCTTCCACCAACAAGTCTGAAACCGTAGGTTGGTGATAATACTAGGTCGATGCATTCATTCCCTTAGCATAAAAGCAGAATCAGACTTATGAAACGCGACGCCCGGCTACGCGTGCTGAGTCAAATCAAATGTTCTATTTTCTATGATCAAATCTGAATGAATTCTGAAAATACGCGTTGCGTGGCGTCGCGTTTCATAAGTCTGATTCTGCATTTATAGGTCTGTTTCTGCCCTAGCACCATAAAAATCATCCCCAGGTTACATGTAGGGGAGCTACGCTAAAAAAAATCTTTTCAAAATTTTATTCCACCATTTTGTCGCCGTAATCGATATACGTATCTCTACGATTTTACAGCTCTCTAGTGCTAATATTCTACAAGCAAAACCGGGGACCGGACCGGCAGACAGACGGATATGACGGAACTATAAGGGTTCCTTGTCAGGACTGACTACGACACCCTAAAAACAGAAATTTGGATTTTTTTTCGACTTTAATGAATATTACAAGAAAAGGATTTTATTAATTTGACGATATTATTTGCAGCATCTTGGCATGATTCGTTACGTTTAAAAATTTGCATTTGCGAACAACTCCACGAAATACCGATAGACTCTAACTGCGTTATAGATTCCAAAGGTGTGTAGTAAACTATCAAACACAATATTGATCTTAAAAGTGTGACTCACCGAGTAAGTTGGTGTTCTTGAAAAAGTGGTCGTTCTTATCGTTTCTTGCAATTTTGAAGACTAGCTTACAAGCCGCTGCCAAATGTGTCCCAGTGACACGCATCTAGAATTTAAAATAATTACATCTATATTATATTTAAATGATCCAAGTTATGAATAATTATCCTATTAACTTCCCTATTTCTAGGACTAAGGAAAAGGACAGCGGAGCACACCACGCGGCTCCAGTTTTTTATATACTTACGTGGCGCAACAAATTATGTACATCACCCCACCTGATGTTAAATGTAGTGAAGTAACTGTTGCCAGGCCTTCTAATTTACAGGTGATCTCCTGTTTTTCTGAAATTTCTTCTGTTCTTCTGTTTTTCTACATGAATCTACTGTGTTGCGTTTTCCGCCATTAAATATATTATTGTCTAAAAAACAACCTTTACGGGACGGCAGAAGCCACAGAAACACATTCGTTACTGGCCTATATCTTGATTTGGTTTACCAATTCTAGGGGGGATAAGTGCAAATCGGAAAGAGTACGCCTCTGCATCTGCTGTTTTTTCTTGTAGCTCTTTCCATACATCTACTGCTTTTTTCTATAACGCTCCCCGATTTTTAAAAATCTGCCCTGGCAACACGGACTGCAGTTCAGTCGCGAAGATAGATAGTGCGGCAGAGTGTGCGGCTCCAGCCATCATCACCTTGCGGACCTAAACCCAATCCTCTACCCGGCATAGCCCTGGAACGCTACTCACCAGCAGAAACACAAGCTGTGCTGATTAACGAGTGATAATGCCTGAAAAAGCAGCCGGGACCAACAGAAAAGCACAGAGGAGCTCGAGATATAAATTTGTCGGCACCCACCCTAAGCAACTGGTGAACGTCCTAACCACCGCGCTATCGAGAACCACATAAACTATGAAAAACTGTAATAACATAGCACTACGTATATTGTAAATAAAGTAATCTTCCTTTAATAACAATCACGCAGCACGCCATTTTTAACAGAGTTTAAAAAAAAAGTTATAGTTATAAATTTTATTATTTTTAAAGCATGTAACTGCTTGATGTTTAAATCTAAAGAAAATATAACTAGAAAAAATTCCACGCGGACCAGGCAGCAGACGGGACTCGAACCCGCACCCTTCGCAATCCGGGCGAATGCACTGACCAATTATGCTACCGCGGCCCTCACGGACCGCGTCGAAATTCTTCTAGCCATTCTTAAGCTGCAAGGCAGCGCCATCACTTCGCATTATAGGTAACCCACAATGTTAAATGAATACTTTTACAAGTATTAAACATTTGAAAGAAGAAATAGCAATTATAGTTATAAATTTTATTATTTTTAAAGCATGTAACTGCTTGATGTTTAAATCTAAAGAAAATATAACTAGAAAAAATTCCACGCAAAAAGTTATAGTCGTCGTTTAAGTGCATTTTCTTTTGTACATGTTTGGCGATATTTTCTTGAATAGTGAACAGATTTTCCAAATTTCTAAAATAACATTTTCTAACAAATATCAAGGTAATCAAGTCAAAATAATTTACCGTAAGCATTGCTCTTGCGATCGCCACAAGGACTCTTTCATCGTCGCAATCGATGTGCGCGTACAAGGACCTCAGCACCAGATCTCTGAGGCTGCTGGCTGGCGTGGACTTCTCCAGGACCTTCTGCAGAGCTTCTAGGAGGAGTACAGTCCGTTCTACGGGTTGTTTCCGTTCTGACAGCACCTCCGATAATTCGAGGATGCTTGTGCTTATCAAAAGGAAATTTATAGAAAATTAAATTATTAATACTTTTCATTGAAGAAGCCTGTACTTAAGACGTGTGTTTTATGTCGCGTATTGACATGATTCTCAAACCTTGGTCTTTCTCGCAAGCTTTTATTTAGTAAACTTCTACCCCTTATGTTATACAAAGACTAACCTTGGATTAGTTACTCTGTTTTGTCCTTGTTCATTGAATCATAAATTGTATTTGAGTGATATGAAAACACGGCGTAACTAGTCGGAGCATATTCTTCGTTTATTAATAAGGTGGTTAAAGTGAAACTTTATACATTACATCGGCACAAATTGTTTCGATCATCTTTTCGATTCTTATAAAGAAAACAGACCACAGCAACAAGCATCGGTGTTTCAGTGCCAGTGGTTGAAAGCTCGCCAACTACGCGGGTGGCACCGGGTTCGATTCCCAGCCGAAGAAGGACTTTTTATTGATGAATTTTGAAAGTTTCACTTGCACCGTGGTTTCATAAAACACACACTTAATATTTTTGTATTTTACTTGGGAATTAAATGAATATAAGTAAATGTCTTATTTCACCAATCAATAGTACAGTCATGATGTATTTATTTGTATGAGGTAAAAGTTACCTGAGGTCTCTGATCGCTTAACTACATAAAAAATATACCCACCTATCAAAATCTTTTGAAGAAGTGTTCGGTATCTGGACAGCCAAATGCTTAACAGCCAGGTCTCCTGATACGTTTTTGTGTCCAGAGTCGTATGACATCGATTTGTTGAGCGCAAAGCTTTTCTTCTTCGTGTTAGTGTCAGGACTGAGAGCTGTCAACGAAATGAGTTTCTAATGATATATGATCTCCTGCCCCTCTAGCATAACCGCCGAAACGGGATATGATAAAGCGATATATCGGCATTTACTGTCAGACTACAGTGAAGTTTAACAGTTGAGACTCGATAAAAAGCTTTATCATATCCCGTTTCGGTGGTCATGCTAGAGGGGCTGAGGCAGGTATAATATACGAAAATAACGTTATGCAACAAAATACTTGAAAAGGGCGTCCATAAATTTCGTAAGATGTTTAAGGGAGGGAGGGGATCGAGTCAAATTTCATCTAATCTTACGTTGGAGAGAGGCGGAGTCACGGCAAATATCACGCAATTTTTTTTTCTGATTGAAACAAAAGATTATATACGATTTTGGTCTATTTGGTCCATTTAATCCAGATTGTACATGCTTATGATTTAAACTCTCAGCAAAATTGATTACTAGTCTTAACTAGTCGTAAATAAAAGCACGAAGCAATTGTTTTTTCTTTTTACAATAACAATCCAACCGCGTTTACGTAAGACACCCACATTTTGAAAAATCTCACTTGAGATTGGGGGAGGGGTTGAATAAATTCTCACGACATCTCACCAGGGGGGGAAGAGGGGAGGGACAGAAATTTCAAAAAAACACCTGACGTTATTTATGGACGCCCCCTAAGATAGAAGACGATGCCGCGGATCCCCAATTCCCAATTCCCCAATCCCCAAAGGTCCAGTATTGAATTCCCGGTCAGGCAAATGAAAAATACTGTAATTTTTTATCCCTATACCGCATAGAGACCACAAGTGCTTCAATTTCTTATCTTCAAATATTATTTAAAATGAAACCAGCCAGCCACATTCATATCGGACTTGCAGGTGCTCGAAAGGTTCCTTAACAACGTTCAAGGCTAATAATATTTGAAATCACGATCCTTGTAACCTACACTCCCAATGGTATAGGTATAAATACACATTCTGTAATAAAAACTCACTGTCAACCCAACGATTAAATAGTCCGAACATTGGCAGAATCGTGACGCAATGAAATGCAGTCATAATCATGAATAACATAATTAAATTAATCGATTCATGATGTCCCCGCTGACAGATGTAGACTTATTTCTAATGGAGGTAGTGATATTTGTTAGGTGTACTTAACGTAATTATAAAGTATTCGATTTGACAAACACTAAATTTTTAACGAGTTTAATCAAATATTTAATAATAATATTCTTTATTGTAATACATCATACAAGATACACAAGCAAATTAAAAACATGATAGACAGAACGTACACAATATAGGCGGCCTTATTGCTAGACAGACAATCTCTTCCAGGCAACTAGAAAAATTAAATATGAAGAAGAAAAGGAGGGGTGTAAGTCTATTTCCAAGGTAGTCCACTGGTTTAACGTTAATAATTAACTGCTAAATGAAGGGAAAACTAAGTGTTTGAAATTTGTTTCACCTAATGTTAAACATGTTAAAACGAATGTAAATATAAAAGATCGAAATGTGAGCCTTGTCGATACCACAGTGTTCTTAGGAATCACACTAGATTCAAAGTTGCAATGGGGCCCACATATTGATAAATTGTCGAAGAGACTTAGTTCTGCAGCATATGCTGTAATGAAAATACGTACGTGAACGTACGTATAAGTTAACGGATATAGAAACTGCCAGATTAGTCTACTTTAGTTATTTTCATAGTGTAATGTCTTACGGTATTTTACTGTGGGAAAATGCCGCCGACATTCAAACAATATTTGTGTTGCAGAAGCGGGCTATTCGATCAATTTATAATCTTAAAGTTAAGGACTCCCTAAGAGATCAATTTAAAGAAATAGGCATCATAATACATATATGAAAACTTAGTATATGTCAAAAAAAATATTAGTCTATTTACTAAAAATAGTAAAATACATACACTTAATACTAGAAGTAAAAATAAGTTAACTTTACCTGCTACTAGGGTCCACAAAATTAATAATTCGTTTAGAGGCCTTTGTGTTCGCTTTTACATTAAGTCCCAAACAATATTCAAGAGTTAAGCCTGACTAAATTTAAATCGACCATTAAAAAATCTCTTGTTAAGAATGCTTATTATAAAGTGTCTGATTATATTACAGACAAAAATGCTTGGGTTTGAACTGTTCCAACCATTCCAACGGGTATTTCTATATGATATATATTATGAATCATGTGTTGATGATACTTCTATTGAAAAGCTGTATTTAAAGTTGATTACGTAAGGAAGAATATCAGACTATTTAAGAAGATTTGAATGACAAAACGGCGTGGTCATGATTTCTCCATTGTTTTTGCTTTGTAATTGTTTGCAGTGCCCTACAGATAAATGACTTTAAGTTTAAGTAAATATGTTGTGGTTGATATAGGTGGTTATGGGTAGTAAAGCTCTCTTAAAAGTCTCGGTGGTGTCGTGTGAGGCGGGTCGTTACGTTCCCTAAAATATGATTGAGCGAAGCGATGGCTGGTTCATGCGTCATGCTCGTGAACGGGTGCTGCCAGAGGAGATGAGTCTGCCCTAACTACTTTGATATTTAAGATGTAAATGTTTAATTACACCTATTATAAATAACTCTGTTTGTATTTATACTGTGTGACACAGCAATCAAAATGCAGGTGAACAATTAATGTATAATTTCACATTACGTAATGAAAGGTGACTTCATGAATCATCTGTGAAGTCATTTTTCAACTTGACGACTCTGTAAATGATAAAACAGGGAGAAAAAAACAGCCCTTGCTGAGTTTCTTGCCGGTTCTTCTCAGTACAAGGTCTCCCGCCGTAGATTTACGAACCGATGGCGTAGCTTCTAGACATTCATATGTGCTTGTAACAGCCTAAATTCAATAAATGATTTTGATTAAGATTATTAATAATAATAGTAATGACAGGATAATATATAGGTTAGGACAAAGAATGGCAAGAGAAAGATTGAAGGAAAAATTTTACGTCATTGGGATAGGAAATAACTCCGAACTTGATTCCTAAACGAGTTCGGAGTACGAGCCTTTCGAATAGTTTCCGGCAGTGTGTTCCATAGGCGTACAGAATGCACAGAGAAGGAATAGGAAAACAATTCAGTAAAATGACTTGGAATTTCAAGAGTTAGGCTAGAAGAAGATCGCAAAGTGCGCTGTGAAGTAGAAGACAGAAATGAAAAGCATTCTTTTAAGTAATGAGGAGAAGTGGGATATTTCTTACATTTTCTCGGATTGTCGTCGATGATGTGATCACCAAAAACATCATCTCCATCCGTTCCGCCGAGAGGCCGACTCACTGATATCGCCTGCGCAAGGTCTGACCCAATCTTCAATTCTGAAATAAAAAACTAACTTCAGCGTTTGTAAAAACAAGTAATTACTTACCTACCTAACATAGTGCCGACTCGCAGGTAGGGTTACCATTAGTCCGGATAAGTCCGGACATGTCCGGATTTTTAGACTATAGTCCGGACGTTGTCCGGGTCTTTAAATTGTCCAGATAATTTAAATTAAATTGGATATAAATAACAAAAGTACATATTCGTTTAAATACCATACCATTGTAATTAAGTGAGTAATGGTACTTTTTGTAACTAAAGAGTCCGGATTTTTTTCGAAATGTCAGGACTTTTGTCAGGACTTTCGAAATTTTTAAATGGTAACCCTACTCGCAGGTGCGAGTAGGGTTACCATGCAGAGTTTTTAAAGAATATTTATCAATGCCTTTATATTCCAAAATAGCTCTTAGGCATAGCCAAGGGCATGCTGTGTTATCAATGCCTGTGAGAACACCGTATAACAGAAGAAATAAGACCCAATTACGTAATTAACGTAACAATTGAGATTGTTGTCAAATTACAATAGTAAAATAAAGATCTTATAGCTTTAAGGTAGTCTCAACTACATACGACCTCCTAATTCTACTCAAATTAGAACATGTTACGTCTAAATAGCATCATTCCTTTGCTAACTTTGCTAGGGACTTCGGAGTATTACAGAGAGTATAATACCTATACATAAAATAATCCCAAAAAACACCATAATACCATGAACCAATAATACAAGGATAATTTTAACTATGTTTTCACACTAATAAGCCACATTAAGGTATCATGGGATCTTCCAAATATTAACTCCTACCGCGGTTCAAACCCAGGACCTCTGAGTAGATGAGACCATTAAAACCGTAAATACCATTCTGCCACCGAGGCTGTAAAATTAAACACCTAATACTAAAGAAGAAGTGTTTGTGCATATCACGCAAAATAATGCACAAGCTAGATTCGAATCCCGACCCATTGTAGGAGAAAACAGGATCGGTTCCATCAAACGTAGTGGTCATCAATTTAATATTAGCGTTTATACAGAATTGGAGAACTAATTGAGAGACCCCCACACTAGCGTCTTTTGAGCGTCGTCGTTGTGCCAGCGTCCGCGCAATCGACCGACGATTCCTTTCCCAGGACTAATACTATCTCTATACCAAATTTAATCAAATCGGTTCAGTGATTTAAGTCTGAATAGGTAACAGACAGATACACTATCGCATTTATAATATTAGTATGTATTTACCGTCAGTTCCTTGTCCCGTGGTGTTCCTCCGATGCAATGGCTTACTTCGCCCACTCAAATGCGGTAACTTGGCGAAACCGCTCCAGCCGTCACCGGAACGGTCTTGGATTAGTTTTGGTTGCGAATTCCTAGACTGAAAAAAACAAAAGTTAATCGGGAAATATTCTTCATCCATAAAAGTAGGCTTGAATGTTGAGAGGTATTTGGGGCTTGTAGCCTAATTTGATTGTTAGGTAATGTTTTGGGAGTTCCGGTCCTTAAGACTAGTCAGGTGACGCTGTGAACGTAGAGGCACAGGATCGGTTAAAGCAGGTGCAGACCGAGCTGCTGGTCGGAGACGGGGTGGTTTGACGTATGCCACGTTTGCGTGAGTCCAGGAGTTCTATTTTTGAATCACTCGTCTGACATAGTATCGTCGAATGCGACATAAGTCACCTTCGACTTTCAAGTCGCATAATACTGATTTTCCGTATTTTTGAATCATTCGTCGCCGGTGTTACCTGTTTAATACCAAATATAAAATTTTACTCAGTTCACGCAGAAAAAATAAAAACCGGTAAATACCGCAATGAAAACCGAACAAAAATTCTCGCTGTCGTTTCATGTAAAGCATGACAATAAAGGATTATCGTCGTCTAATAGCACAAAAAATTTGACAATTATTCTATCATTCGCCTCCACCATTCGCCATGCAACGAGTGGTCTCACCCATTCGTTGCACTGAAGCGATTCAAAAATACGGAATTAATTATGTCGAATGAAAGTAGAAATCGAGCGTTCGACGCAAGATGAGTGATTCAAAAATAGAGCTCCAGGTCAAATTATACCCGCACCGACTAGCGGCCCTCGGGCTACTCGCCGCTTGCCGAATGCACCACGCAATTACCTGCGTCGCGAGAGGTTGTTCACAGCACATCAACGCGGCGTTGGTCATTGTCGTGGATATAATGCATTTTTTCTCCCCGTCATCTAAAAAAAAAGACGGGTTGCACTCCGGGAGTGCCGGCAGAAGTGAAAACTTCAATATTAACGTTGTCATTTTTGATATTTTGGAATGGTTAGGGAATAATTTTGCACGAATTGCTTTTATTATCAGTATAAAAGTATCATTTAAATGGTACAATACAATATTTATTTATTGCGCTATCGTACACAAACATGACAATTTATATAACATTAAAAAGTTTATCTCTCAGAGAAATCAACTTACATGAATCACATTTAAGCGCACCTAACGACATCTATTGTAAAAAAAATGCATTATCTGTCACAATAAAGCTGCCACATGGATGCCCTAGCTAGAGACTTATTATTATAATACGATAAAATAAAATATTACTATGTTTCGTCCAATATATTGAAAGTTCCAACCTTTCCAATGTTAATGCTTTCGTCTAACGAATTTTCGATCAGGTCACGTGCCTTGACGCGAGTTTAACATTTTTTACTCATTACAAAAAAAGTTTACAACGCCGCTAAAGAAGTTTTTACTTCAAAAAGTAATGTTCTGGGAATGCATCTGTTCAGGCAAAGGTGAGTAACAATGTAGCGCCGTACTTACTTAATGAAAGTCTTAAAATTATGTAACGGAAATCGGGCACATAACTAACCATGTGCCACGCCACGAGACAAAAGCTTTACTTTTATAGCAAGAGGTTCGCTACTTTTGTGATTCTTTTCTATTTACGGCAAGTACTACTTCCACAGTTCCCCTAAAAGTTGGGAAGCATATAGATTTCGAATTTCGAGAAAGCTGAAAGCTACTAAAGCTAAGCTGAAAATATGCAAGTACTTAATTTGTTTTCTAAGATAAGATAAGATAATAACACTTTAGTTATAATTTTTATTATTTTTAAAGCATGTAACTGCTTGATGTTTAAATCTAAAGAAAATATAACTAGAAAAAATTCCACGCGGACCAGGCAGCAGACGGGACTCGAACCCGCACCCTTCGCAATCCGGGCGAATGCACTGACCAATTATGCTACCGCGGCCCTCACGGACCGCGTCGAAATTCTTTCTAGCTATTCTTAAGCTGCAAGGCAGCGCCATCTCTTCGCATTATAGGTAAACCCACAATAATTGGTCAGTGCATTCGCCCGGATTGCGAAGGGTGCGGGTTCGAGTCCCGTCTGCTGCCTGGTCCGCGTGGATTTTTTTTTCTAGTTATATTTTCTATAAATAACACTTTATTGCACAACAGTAACATAAATAACACAAGTAAAATACAAATACAAGGCAAAACAATTACAGTTGCACGAAGGGCGGTCTTATCGCTAATCAGCGATTTCTTCCAGACTCTAATTCGTTTTAGTGCCGCCATCTATCGAGAAATTAAGCATTTTCTTATACGATTACGGCAGTGCTTTTGTAGCAAGAATAGCATATAAGCATGCGTGCTTTAAATTATGTAACCTTTAAAAAGTTTGCTTAAAATTCCTTAGATGGAGCGTGCGATCGCAAATACATTTGGTGTCTGAAACTTGGTGTCTAAGTAATAAAGCTTATTTTTGTTTGCGAAAAATATAACTTAAATTAAATTGTATATTAATGTTTCATTTAAATTGATTAATTTAATAATGACTTTAAACATAACGCACATTTCATTTTTTTCTTTTATTAAGCTATTATTAATTTTTCGAACAATTTAAGTAGTATATAAAATATTTAATTACGACCTAGAGAGTTGAATTTTAACACAGGTGTTGTCTTTAAGACGTACCTATATAGTCATGAAGGACTTATACGTGTTCACATTTTTGTAGTTTTCACTACTATCGCATGTGCTCAGCATATGCCCGCTTTTTTGTGTTTTTAGAAAAAAAAAACAAAGTACATATTCAAACTCTTTATAAAAAATATAAAAAGTATCAATATGTATTTGAATGTCAGTGAAGAAGTTGGAATAATGAACTGTACTCACATTGGTTTTCTTCCTCGCGTTGTTCTGTGGTTCCATCATGAGGATACTGTTCAGTTTCTCCTCATCAAGACTGGACATGCGCGCTCCGAGCATTGCAGTCGTAATCTCTTCCGTGCTTTCCGACAAGCTCAGGTACTTCAAGCTAATGTCAATTATTACATGTTATCCTTATCAATATTTTAAATGCGAAAGCGTGTCTGTCTGTTTGTCAGTTACCTCTTCACACTAAAACCACTGAACCGATCTAAATCAAATTTGGAATAAAGATAGTATGAGTCTCGGGGAAAGACAGAGAATATATTGTTTTAAACTTTCATGGTCACTAACATTATAGTAATATAAGTTATTTACGGGGTTGTTACCAACTCGCTAAAAACAAGGTACATGGTAACAATCCCGTAAATACCTTATATTACTATAAGACAGAGAATGTGAGAATGAACCAGAAATCACCAATAAACGGGTTAAAAAGCGGTGCGAATGTATGGAATACCATTTATACCATGAAGACAAAGTCGCGAGCAGCCACAGTTTAGTGATAAAATAGCTTTATGATATTAATTTCTACTATTTGTCTGAAACTTTTATCATTACTAGTATAATAATTACTATGATAAACGACCTTCATGGTGGCATGTAGGTGCGCTGGTTTTCAATGTGGCCGCCTACTCAAAAGTCTCGGGTTCGAATCCTTATGGGATGTTTAGTATGATGAATACGTCTCACCAAAAACATATTCATGTAAAATATTTCAAAGCGAGACGAGACCACATGAATCGTACTGTCAAAAAGTTAACAAGTCTCATGTAGAGCCAAGCTTCTAACTCTACACACCCTTTTGATATAATATTATAAACATATTATGCGTCATTCTGTCACGTAGAATTGGGTGCACGTTAAATCTCGTTAAATCGTTTAATCGGAAAACGTTCTCTTCATTTATGATGTTTCAATCGACGGTATGCAAGCCACAACACAACCGCTGTTTCAGATTCCATGTTTGTAATTGGCTGGATCCCTCCCAACGTAGAAATGTGCGTAAAACGCTTCATCTGGACAGGCTAGAGTTATACTCTACGAGGTCAAATTCTACATACATCTCGGTCAATATATGTGGCCATTTCGCAACATTCGTATGGGCGTAAGTACGAAAAATTTATCCCCTGTTCATTACTTTGCTGTTCATACAATAGTTTAAGTAGTAGCGAAACGGCCAATTTTGTCTAAGTGAACGGAACTATAAACTGAGGCCCAAGCACGAACTTTGACAGCTCCGTATTCGTATCGTCATCGTAAAATTTTGTATGGAATGAGCCAGTTTGTTGTTACGTCCGGTAAGGTCTGCTTATAGTTTTTATAAAAACTTTACCGATGCGATACGTTACGTTGCTGTCAGAAATTCGTGCTTGAGCCCCCTATTACTACTCGAAAGCGCTCGGTGGCCTGGGGTCCGTGTTGCGCGTCTACTCCGTAAACAGAGTCCGCTGCAGCTCGCAAAGAGTGGAAGAAGCAGGAACCAATATCGAATTCGAATAGTTTGCGAGTCCGAAATATCATTGTCAAATTTTATATGGAAAGATGAACGGCAGCGCCAAAGCGGACGTAACGAGAACTAAACATCAATACATATCTAACTATGACATTTCGTACTCGCAAACTATTCGAATTCGATAATGGTTCGTGCTAGGGGTACTGATACGCACTCGAAAGCGCTCGGTGGCCTGGGGTCCGTGTTGCGTGCTCGCTCCGTAAACAGCGTTCGCTGCGGCTCGCGCGGCGTGAACGGTCGCCGCGTGCGCAGCGGACGAAGCGCGCCGCCCGATCCGCTGCCGCTGCCGCTCATTTCTGCGAACAACACATAGGATGACTCACTATTGCAGAACGATTAGACCCTGTTCCTTATGACGGAATAAGGAGATTCGGTCATAGCCACGCGGGCCCAGTGTGGATTGGTGGGTGCTAGCTAACGACTGCAGAACTATAAATACAACTGGAACCAGCGACTAACTAACGTGCATTCTGGACCACAAAGGAGCTCGAGATAAATTATAAAAGTTGCATCTTGAAAGTTGTGCCAAAATGACAAACCGAAAGCACGAACTACTTGAGCTACACAATATTAAGACAGCGGATTTTAGAATTTCCGCTGTAGTTGTAGCACCTATCTGAGGAAATAACCTCTTTATTACAAAAGAGGGTAGTGTTATAAAAGTGTTTGTAAGGTTTGAGGGATTTACTGGGTAGGGATTAGTATGAGACCGGCAAAGTGGGAATGGCTCTACCTATTTATTTTATTATAATCCATTTTTTTATCATTATCTTAGCATATCGTATAACATTTTTAATTCATCAACAAGCATTGGTGGTTCAGTGGTAGAAAGATCGCCTCATAAGCCTTTTTAGGGATCCGTAGTCCTGACAAGGAACCCTTATAGGTTATGTCCGTCTGTCCATCCCCGGTTTTGCTTGGAGACTATTAGCCTCAGTTATAATAATGTACTCTGTGATAAGCACTAGAGAGCTGTAATTTTGTGGAAATATGTATGCTGTATATTGATCTCGCCGACAAAATGGTAGAATTAAATTTTAAATGAATTTTTTTTAGGTAAAACTAGTTTTTACGGGTTAATACACGAAACTTTATTTATTTATTGACGTTTCGCAGCCTTTTCAGGTCTGCATCGTCAGAATAATGATTTTTTATTTAAAATTAGAAAGACCTATATTGAACGTTTGGTTATTTCATTGGAAGATTTTTAAAATTTTATTGTCTATGTATGAATTTATTATTTAATTTACTTAATATAAAGTGTTTTATTTAAAATTCTTGTTTGTAATTTTGAGTTTATTTATTTGACCCTAACTACCGTAAACTACCACCGGTTCCAAAATTGCGAGACCTTCCTGAGAAGAACCGGCGAAACAAACTCAAGAGAGGCTTTCTATCTCCTTCTTATGTTAAATTATGCAAACAAAAAGAACTAATAGTATCTGATGGTCTTGCAGTGAGTGCTCGGGGTTGGGATTTTATCTCCTGTATAATAGGTTCCCAAGCTGGTGGTATATACCAACCATCTTCCCTATTGAAATTTGGATATTTTTTTATCTCAATAGCCTCGCGCATCATTCGAGGAACGAACCGCCGCTCAGCTGCAAGGATCTGTGGTCTATCAAATCTAATGTAGTGGTTTGGTCCCCCTAATGCATGTTCACACACTGCAGATTTATTTTCGCGCCTATGTTTCATATCATTTTTTTTAGGGTTAGGTCCCCTACATGTAACTTGGGGATGATTTTTTTTCATCATCCCTATCGTGTGGGATATCGTTGAACAGTTCGTTTAAAATTACTTAGGAGTTTCTAATACTATTTGAAGACAACAAACAACATAGATGAAGTAATTGCAGTGTAAAACCTTGCATTGCACAATAAAATATCATAAGTTACACAACGCCACCGCGAGTACCAACGGCAACGGCTTCAGAGTCGCGCTAACAACGTTACGTTTTTATAAAAAGCATATAAGTACTTGAAAAGACAGAAACATGAACTACGGGTGTGGTTTAGTCAGTAAGAGCCTGACATAATCTTGCAGCCGGCTGTAAAGTGTCCATGAGGATTGCACATGTGCTCCCCTGCTTGGGAGGAAACAAAAAAAATCGGCGATTATCATTTGTATATAAAAAATAAAAATATCGAATTGGTTTTGAGTTTGAGAAGCAGTTTGTCTTTGATTTAGGTATTTTAGTTGACACTGAAACATTTATATTGGTTTTTCTAATTTCCGATACAGAAAATAAAGACTCCTGCTCAAATAAATTGTGGTAATTACAGGCAACTACGGAATCCTACACTGCGCGTGGCACAACACGCCCTTCGCCGGTTTTTTATATTAATGTTTTTTTTTTAAGTTTGACTTGTATCGTGGTTACATAAAACAACACCAATTTTTAAACACTACATTAGAAGTTTTTAACAGATTTACAAGAGTTTCAATTTGCGTTTGCATTCAAACGAAATCTTACGAACCGTTTTTCATTAAAAAAAAAACATGCAGTGGAATATTCTTTGTTTCCTCTCTATGAATACGTGCCTAGCCTACGTATTTTAGCTTGCCCATCGCAGATAGGGTTACCATATCTCAGGATTTATCCTGAGATTTCAGGATTTTTGGACTCTTCTCAGGATTGCGGCTGCAAATCTCTTTTGCAAATCTCTTGAAATCTCAGGATTTATTGAATTTTCAATAAAATACAGCTAACGGTCTAAAGATCTGTTTAATAAAAACTTAAACAAACTAAAAATAATCTTCCCTTGATAATAATTGCACAGTTAAAATCAGTACTTATTTATCCAAGTAGGTACTTGATCAGTTTTATCATACTTAAAATGTGATGATACATTTTTAAGTAAGGTTTTTTCTTTAATTATGGATTTATAAAATGCCCCACATGTTAAGCTCTTCAAATTATATTGAATTAAAATTATAAGCAGCATGTATATAAACGATAATGTTACGACTTTTCTAAATTGTTGTACGTTTGAGAGAAAATTCTGAAACTGTAAAAATCTCAGGATTTTTCAATGGAAATCAAGCCTTTTCTCCGGACTTTTGATTTTTTCATCTGGTAACCCTAATCGCAGAGAGATTTAGTGACTAAGTTATACGCGCGTTAGCAGTATTTTTATTTAACAGCACGAAATAACAAGCGTGGTGCATAAAATCGTGAATTCATTTATTTTATTGTACATATATCCTAATTACTACGTGATGGAATAATTAGAGTTTGTTAGGGGTAACGAGAACTGAATAATTTTAAATTAATCATGGGAACTTAATTACTGAACATTTAGATCTCTTTATTGTTAAATTAAAGCTTAGCTATGTGAATTGAAGAAGCTTTGAATTGAATAGAAAAATTAACTGATTTATAACGGAAGAGCTTTAAATAATGTTAATTGTCTTGTAATACTCGTAGCACATTGATTGTTACAGAATTGAGAGCAAATATACAAAATGCCAAGTCAAATTTTATCACCCACGTAGTCAACGATCTCTTAAGGGTTCATCAAACTATGTACTTCAATACAACATCCTCAATTTCGCTCAACATCTGACCTCCTACCGGCTTTTGTGTCGAATACTTAATCACATAGCGTATACTAAGCAATGCCATGTCAAGTGTTATGTTGCGACGGTTCACCCTGGCAACCGGTCGACCCGGCTGTAAGGTTCACCCACCTGGTGAAAACTACACAACTAACGAACCCTAATTTACATATCTTGACCTTAGATTTAATTGTTTTAATCTAAGAGCTTGACCTATGAAGCATTTGTTCAAAGGCTTGGGAGCGAGCTAGTAACACTTTTATTACTTATTTGAAGCTGAAAAACAGTCTCCCTTTCCAGGGTGCGTCGTCAGAATAATGATTTTTATTTACTTTTCACGAGCTACATCCGAAAGACTTTTATTGAAAGCTAGCTCGTCAAAAGTAAACAGAAATCATAATTCTAACGAAAAGAAATGGTTTAAGATCCGAACCTACATTGACCTTCACCGAACTGATTATAGAATGAAACATATTTTATCATGAATTAGTATATTACAAAATATATTAAAAATGGGTTGCCTCAAAAAATCCTTTAATGAGTAATGAGATATATATATTAATAATTTGTTTTCTGAATTTAATGATGTCCCATACCGACTTTCACTTTATGCATTAGGTACTTTAGATTTATTTTTATATATCTTTGTTATTATCCCAGGAGAATATAGTCGCCCACTCAAACTCAAAACTTTCATCCTCTATTCTCCCCCTTGATCATTAATTTTCCCGACAAACGTCTGGATTTGTTTGAAAACATTAAAATCAGTTCAGCGGTTGGTTAGGTTATGTTAACCATATATATTTTTTTGTTGTTATGGAATAGGACATAATTTCCAGAAATACAAGGAAAATTACATTCACTTTAATATTTACGAGCCCCTTTTGGCCTCTGAGTTAAATATCTATACCTGAGGATTCTTGTGCAACAGTCATATTCCCGCTAAATGAAATAGGCGGAAAAGTGTTTTTCCAATTCGAAATAAAACCATAAGGGAAAAGGAGGTTGGTTGTAAGTATATACGAGTATACAAAGTTCTCGCGTGACAGAAAGCTATTTCTATTGGCTGTATGGTGGTGAATATGATGGGAGTTAAATCGCGTCAATTGATGATGTGCTTAAAGAGGAAAATGGATTTTTTTGCTAAATATAGGCTTAACATCAATCATGTCGTCTGACTCGCAAACCTCACACTGAATTGTGTCATCATAACTTCGTAGACTGCGTCCGAAATAATGTTTTTATACATTCGTATATTATGATTTCTATATTAGAAGTTATAGTAGATGGTTGCGGATAGGCTTGTCAGGTGTCCGGCTTTAGCCGGACATGTTTGGCTTTTTGCGGTTGCGTCCGGTCACATATGTGCGTGTTTGTCCTGTTTGCCTTTTGTCAGGCTTTTTGCCAGAGTGGCGATTCGTACGACGATGGGCAGACGAACGTCCGAGCGGACAAGAGAGAAAACTGTCGGCACGCGCGGCGCGTGACGTGAGCCGTGAAAACAAATATGTCCGGCTTTTAGGGCAAAATGTAAGGCCTAATATAGTGCGCAGTCCGGCCTTTGCTAATTCAAGTGGAAAGTCCGCCTGTCTGGAGAAGCAACTTAAGAAATACTTGTTGAATTGAATTGTGATAAGCATAAGTAGTAACAATCTTTTCTGTTTTATTAAATAATGGTTATTAATTTATTAAGGAGGGCACTCCTTCATTGCATGCACTTTTAATTTTTTATTTTCAGAGGATTGTATATTGCTTATTATAATTTATAAAAAACAATGTGTAAATGTAATCATCATGTATGCACTAGGTATTGTTAAGGCGAAAACTAATTTGGCGCTTCTGTGGCCCGATACTGCAGAGAGGGATTACTATATGTCCGTCTTACTCCAACTCGCTCATGTACAAAATGTAGCCGCACCACTTTGCCATCGTCATCAACACAATGGCGTTATGACGAGGTGCGCGATCCTCGGACGGACAATAGTAATTCTACCTGTATCTCATTGATAATAATAATTTGTGTATGTAAGTACCTACTGTCCAACTGGTGAACACGGCGACGGACAAACCTTGAATGGTTTTTGTTCGCCGTTATTACTTATATGTTTTGTTAATGTGATTGGGAAATAAATTTAAAAAAAAGATGCCTTTCAGAAGACATCAGTGTAATTAATTACACTCACTACCATGTTGTGACTGGTGAGTTGTGTTACTGTTAGTGTGTAGAGTAAGACTCCACGGGTAGAGGATTAGATTCAAGGCAAGACAAGGACTGGAAAGATGCACTTTTGTGCTGCATTAGCTATCTAAGCAACTGATGTAAAGTGTTACTTAATTCCTATTAACACTTAATATCAGGCGAAGTGGAGCTTTATTGTGCCTTGTATAAATGTTTTGTACTTTAGGGCTGCCTGTCCACTGGAGCGGAAATCTGCGCTCCTCTTCAGTAGACAGATTTTCTGCAATCCTATTGGTTAAATATATCCTTCGTAGCCTCGCTCCGCCTAAATGGACAGACCACCTAAATGGTGCGTACATCACTCAGTATAAGAAGCTACCTCCGTATAAAGCTGCTCGAGCTTCACTAATAATTTCAGCAGAGGTCTTGCGGCGTGGTGGTGCGTAGAATGGTGCGCCGGCGCCGCGTCTGGCGCCCCTGTCGCTCATTGCACCGTCTGGAACAAATTAATTACATAACAAAATTTATTTATATTTTTTTTTTAACTATAATAATATATTATTTTTAAATAAATTAATCTAGTAGTTCAATGCAAAAAAAAAAATAAGTTAAATATATTCTGTGCACGGGAACAACAGCTATTGGAACGAGTTAGTGGAGTTCTTTATAATTATCACAATTGCTTTGAAGACGAGGATTGAAAACGGCATAACAAAAAAACTTTTTAACAAAAAAAATACCAGTGCCAGGCTAACCCAAGTAGTAAATGGGTACTTAGATCTATCAGACCTGCATCCAAATATATATTTGACTAAAGATAAAAAAAGTTTATTATCTTTTACTTTTCGGTGGTTTAATGCTTTTGTTTAAAAGTTTTTATGTTACAATTTATTGTGTCTATAATTTGTGTAATATACATACAACTCGGCATCAAAATCTGTAATTGCACCTTTGGGTTGTTTTTTTTTCCATATTTATATAGGACCAAAGCTATTGGTTAATATTTCTCCGCTCCGGTGGAAAGGCAGCTTAGGCCGACGCTGTGTAGGCATCATATTAATTATTCGAACTTTCTACGCGTAACATACACATTTATATACGAGCATATTACAAAGCTATGCGTCTCGTTAAACGAGGTCTGATTCCGTAAAACTAGGTTGTATCAATTTAACAAATTGTCCTGTGGTAGATAATTGGATGTTCTAGAAAACAGTTTAGCGGCGGCGGCACGAAAAGATACAATGAGCGGACCAATTGTAGCTGTCATAGCGAGTTACCACGCAATAAAATGTCATTTTTGTTCTTTGAAGTCGTAAGAATAATGACGATTTCATTCGAATCAAATCAAACAGTAATATAAATATATTAATAACGGGTGTCCGAAATTTTGTCTATATCTTCCACCCTATTTTTACCCCTTTAAAGGATTATTTGAGGAATAAAAAGTTACTTATGTACTTTCACGGGGCGCAAACTATGTCTTACCCAAAATTCATCTAAATCGGTGCAGCAGTTTGAACGTAAAGAAGTAACAGACAGAAAAACAGACAATCTTTCGCATTTATAATATTAGTATGGCAAATCCATAATCTACATCACCACATCCGTCAAAAAATATTTAATAATTAAACAATTACATTGCATTCCTGACAGCGGCGCTGAGAGTGATATATTTTTTATTTTGTAAATTGTATATTATTTAAGTACTTAGTTATTTCCGGTTTTTAAGTTTTTAGACATTAAGTAGTTTTAAGCTTTTTTAATTTTAAATATTTCTATGTATAAATATAAATAAATAAAGGACTTGGCTAAGAAACTGCCCTTAGCGTGTATAAATATTTCGCATTAACTCGTAAGTTTACAACATTTTTTTATTAATTATTACGTGACTTCATGTCTGTTTCAAAAGCAAAATGTTCCGTTAAATAAATGTACACAAAAAATTATTGTGGAAGAATATCGAAATAAACAATATTATTTCTAAACTCCTTCAAACTATGACATATTTGGCCCTAATTTTTATAATAACAAATCACTGAAGGACTAAAATAATAGACTTTATTATTCTGATCAGGCTTTAGACAAGGCTATTCAATAATTAATCCTTTAATTTTTGCAAATGGACAAAATGAAACCTCACAGATTTCCTGTCAGGCCGACGATAACAAATTATTTGTATTTATTTTTGATTTAAAAAAACTTTTTGTGAAGATTTAATCAGAGAAATGAGAAGAAAGATTAAAAAAAAAATGTAAAACTGATGACTGTAAATAATTGGCAACATCTTTTATCAACTGTGGTAAGGTAATGACAAAGTACGAGTTCTCATAATTTTCAAGATTGTGTCTTTATCAAAAGTTCCTGAGCCTTTTTTCATAGAAATTATAAATATTCAGCCATTTGCCATTAAATATTACTAAGTACAGTATTTATACATACATTGCCAGGGCAGTCGCTCATACAAAACTTTACCATGTGCTTTCATTATACAATGATACTACAATTATCCTTATTATCTCAGTTATGATAAAATAAACTATTATTTTTTATTCTCTAATAATGAATTAATTTAATGGAATGGAATTTGCTGAAGGGCTTTCGGATAAAATGTGATATTCATACTTCGACTAAAACAAAGCATAATCTTTAATTTGTTGACAAACTTTTCACGAAGTCACCAGACAGACTCTTTCACAATTTACAGAAACTTTTTTTAGGATTACAAGTTATGTCTTTTTTAAGTTATAATAACACGTGAATTAAGTATATACGATTGGTAAATATGATTTATTGAACATAGGTAGTAGTCACCTTACCTTTTTGTTTCACTCTATCATACCACATTAGATACATAAATCAAGCTGTAGTAATTAAAAAGCTAATTACTTGAATTTGATTATGTGGTCCTAGAGTTTTAATATATCGAGTGGAATTTTGGACTCAGCTAGTTCTACACCAGTAGGTACTCTAATGAAAAGAATTGCATATGTTTTCAAATTATAATATCTTTTAATTTATTCGTAGGTACTAAAAAAAGAGAATACAATATAAGTCTGCTTAACTACTTATGGATGTGATATCTATAAATTTCTAGAGACAACCAAAGAAAACTTTATGATTTTTCCTCAAACAGGACTGATATTAAGTACTCACCGATATTAAAAGTAATCACTCTAACTTGTTATACAATAAAATAACTTATTATTTCGCGAAATCAACATTTTCTATTCATAAAATTTACATTCGAGCTTTATCAAGCGAGTGACGTTTGAAAAATTTTGTAATATTGAGTTTCAGTTAGCGTGCTACACGGGCGTCACGCTACGATTGTCACGGGGGACTGTAACGCTGTAGCTATCACCGTAGCTACGACGTAGACAACTATTGAAATTCACTGCGAAAAACCAAAAAAGATTACCGTTACTTACCAAATTACTTCATTATTGTTACGTTTACGCAAATAATGTTTTCCGCTATTACATTCCACGTTAAAACCATCACAAAGCGGCTTTGCAAATTACGCCAACAAAAAACGGATTTTCCCATTGTTGATTTATTAAAATGGCGTTAAATTATAAAGATAGCGGCTTATCAAGGCAAAAGCTGAAGGTAACGTTTTTATCTTTAACATGGAAAGTTTACTCGTGCAAAATATTAATTTGATGCGAATTATCTAGGCCAGCTATACTCTAAGTGTGTTCCGCGGAACCCTAGGGTTCCGTGATACCTCTGTCGGGGTTCCGCAAGAATTTAGAAATAAAAAAATCAAAACACCTCTCTCTGGTCGCTCCGCGGCTGTGCGGACTCCGCGGCCGCGCGGAGACAAAACGCTATGAATGTTATTTATTTATTTATTTGTATTTGTATAAGCTTGTGTTACATTAGCTGGTACAATATCTCATAAGTTTGGTCTCAACAATTTTATACTTGTACAACGCGTTCGCTCTAAGTTTGCCGGTCTGTGGAATGCGCGTACCCTCCCCCACGTGACAACAAAACTTATAATGTGTCATAGTTTTACCCAAATATCTAACGTACACAATTTTTATTGTTACAATTAAATAAAAAATTTCGAACGTCATACACTCATACCTATCGCCAGCGGCAAACTTAAAACGAGCGGGTAGTATACTTGTAAGCGCTCAGTCTCTTTGATAAAAGCCGCCTCTGAATTAGACGCTATAGTTGTCAACTAGCGACTTTCGTCTCTAACTTCAAAGGATAAAGTCGATATTGTTTACAACGCTATTTTTAAATTTCTGTTTTTATTTTTGCTTTTTGTTTATCAAAGGTGCCGACTCGAGTATTTTCGAGAATATTTGAGATCGAGTCTAGGACTAAGTATAAAAGCGGCGATCGCGCGTTGGCGTCGTCAGTTGATGATTAGCGTTCGGAGCGATAAGTTACTACCTACTTACAAGCTCGCTAGCGAGAAACTGGTGTTCATTGTTTTACTGCCTGCTGTATTCTGTTGTCTCAGTTTTATACATTTCTTCCCTGTAGGTTCTAAATTTAGTCTCTTATACGCAGTAACGATTGTGCATTATTTAAACCCCACTATCCTGACTTGTAACATTATAAATAAAGAAGAATGGAACGTTGGCTTAAAGGTGTTAAACGTGTTCCAACAACATCTTCTAATGACGCTGAATGTTCAAAAGCAATGCGCGCGGAGAATTTAGCAATCACCGATCCAGAAGATGATGCCACGAGTGCCACGACGTCAAGCTCGACGGTTTCAAAGACGAAAAAAAGGAAGTATGATGAATCTTATATCAGTTTCGGATTTGTTGATTCCAACGGCTCACCTCTCTGCATGCTCTGTAGTAAACTGCTTCCTAATAGTTCCATGGCACCTGCCAAATTGCGTCGACATTTAGAAACCGTACACCCCGAGACTAAAGACAAGAATAAAGAATTTTTTGTTCGCAAAAAAGATCAGTTATTAGAAAGTCAAAAAAATATGATGCATGTAACACAAACTACCAACGAAAAGGCCACGGAGGCATCATACTTAGTTAGCTATCGCATTGCACAAGCAGGTGAAGCGCACACTATCGCTGAGAAATTAATAAAACCATGTGTATTAGACATAACAAAATGTATGCTTGATGAAAAATCTGCAAAGCATCTTTCTACTGTTCCGCTATCAAACGATACTGTTTCACGACGAATCCATGATCTGGCAAGCTACGTCAAACAAGAACTAGTTACACGTCTACAAAATACACGATTCGCTTTGCAAATGGACGAGTCGACTGATGTCGCTGGTTTGGCTATCCTGCTGGTTATTGTGAGATATCCATATAAAAGTTCTTTTGAAGAAGACATGCTTATGTGTTCATCGCTGCTTACAAACACTACCGGGGAAGAAATTTTTAATAAAATAAATATATTTTTTGAAGAACATAATCTCAGTTGGAACAATTGCATTGACATTTGTACAGATGGGGCCAAGGCGATGACAGGTAAAACAGCAGGAGCAGTGTCACGAATGAAAAATAAAGCGCCTAATTGTAGTTCCAGTCATTGTATTCTGCATAGACAAGCACTTGCGATGAAGCAAATGCCGTCTAATCTAAAATTAGTTATGGATGAAGCGGTAAAAATAATTAATTTTATCAAATCACGACCACTACAATCCCGATTGTTCTCATTATTGTGTGAAGATTATGGCAGCAAACATAAAACACTGCTGCTCCATACAGAAGTGCGATGGCTGTCTCGGGGAAAAACTTTAACAAGGCTATTTGAACTTAGAGCCGAGTTACAAATGTTTCTTTCAGCAGATACTTCTTTTAATTTGAAGGACCGTTTGTATGATAAAACTTGGTTGTTCCGATTGTCTTTTATGGCGGATATCTTTCAAAAACTTAACGAATTAAATTTATCATTGCAAGGTAAACAGACAACAGTGTTTCAGGCCTATAATAAAATAACTACTTTTAAAAGAAAATTAGATTTTTGGATCATTTGCATTGGTAAGAAAGAAATAGAAAGTTTTACGTTACTCACTGAGTTTGTTAGCGAAAACGACTCAGAAATGTTTGAAGATAATGTGTTTGAAGAATTGGTCCAATATCTCAGTTCGATGCGCGCATCTTTTGAAAAGTATTTTCCCGAAGAACACAATACAAAAATTAAAGTGAACTCCTGGATTCATAATCCTTTTTTACCCAACTTGGAAAAGCCTGAAAACATGTCAAATGAGATATATGAATCTCTTTTAGAAATGTCATCAGACACAAGTATGGAGTCATTGTTCAAAACGACGCCTCTTAATGATTTTTGGTGCAGAATCCAAGATGAATATGCAATGCTTGGCCAAATGGCTCTGGATATTCTTCTCCCGTTCCCAACTACATATTTGTGCGAAACAGGATTCTCTACCTACGCAGCCACGAAAACAAAATATCGCAATAGACTGGACGCCGAAGCTGATATGAGACTCCAACTTTCTTCCATCAAACCTGATATCAAGCAATTGATGAAAAATAAAAAACAGTTTCATACCTCCCACTAGTTAGATTTTTTCTTTTTTAATGTTTTCTATTATTGTCCTTACCAAGTGGTGAAGTAAATAATAATTAGTAACGGATACATTGTACTTTTATTATGCTGATTAATATAGAATACACTTATAAAAATAATTGTTTTATTGTAGGGTTCCATCAAGTATTTTGCTTCCCAAAAGGGTTCCGTCATTTAAAAAGTTTGAGAACCACTGATCTAGGCAGTTTGGTAGCTACAATGAGATATCGCAGTTCGTCTGTAATACTTATAGTTGGAGAGCCCAAGCGAGGATTTTGGGATTTACTTGCACCATGTGAAGTACTCCCACCATACCTGAGCCCTTTATATAGGTGCGAAGGAGTCTAGGGCAGCAAAAACCAAATTTTCAAAAATCAGCCATGTTTTTTGGTCATGTCCAAATCGTCAGTCTTTTGAATAGAAGGTACGATTTATCGTCAGGTACAGTGGGAGTACTTCACAAGATACAAGGTTGCCCCCCCTCCTTATGATAATCTGCCGCGCTCGAGTAAATCCACAAATCCCTGCTTGGGTTATCCCTACTATAATAACTTAGGTATGCATCTGAGGTGGCGAGTAACGAAATATAAGTATTAAAAAAAATAAGTTTTGTATTTTTTTAGATTTAAGAATAAAATTTTTTTTTATTCACTAGCGACAGCGACACCAAGTACTAAATCCCGGCTATGCAAGGGGGAAAAATTTAACGAGCGAGAAAATAAAAGACTTGGACTTATTAAATAGTAAGTCCCCTGCTTGAATTGTAACAAATGATGTGTGACTGGATTGGTGTAATACGATTTCCATTAAAGCTGTTTTTAATATCAATAAATGTGATTGACTTTTTTTTGTAACTTGTACGTGTATTTGGAAAGCAAAAGTATTTAATTTTAATGAAGAAATATTAACTCTAATTCAAATGTTATAAAAAACTGAACTTTAATTGTTCAGTTTAACTTCAACTGTCGCACGCCAATTTTGAGGAGCCCAGTGTCTTCTTTAATGTGTTAAGTCACGAAGATTAGCGACCCATTTGCGGGCAGGTTCTTATTTATCATTGTTATTAGTAGCTAGATGTCTTGGCGTAATCGATTCACCTTGTGTATATACTGTTGTTGCTAGGCAACGTCTTATATACAAACACGTAAACATTACAAGATGTGCGATTTTAAATCTAGTTATCGCACAAAAGTTAAATTTATTAATTCTCGTAGATAACTGAACAATTGTATCTCGATTTAATTAATATCGTACAAACAATGTTTTTAAACTGACTGAAAATCAAAAAGGGAGAATCTCTTTTACGAAGGCTTCAGAAGTGCTATTTTGACGACCTCTGTGGCCGAGTGGTTTGTAGGCCGTTCATGGTTCATGGTGTCGCCGACTCGAGAGGTCCGAGTTCGTATCCTGGTAGGGGCAGATGTTTGTGTGATGAATACGAGTATTCGTACTCCAGTCATGGATGTTTAATATGTATTTCTATATAAATATACTCATATATGTACTGTATATGTATTCTATTCGTTACCCTAGTATCCCATAACACAAGCCTTACAGTGTTACCTAAAGTAATTTGGGGCTATGCTAACTGGTGTGAGTGTTGGAAATATTTATTTATTTTATTTATTCTGGAAAATTTTCACGCGCTGCTCCGATTCGGATCCGCCCATTTCCCATACAGATTCGCGGGGATCCACATTGGATCCGCGCGTGAAAATTTTACAGAATAGCACTGCGGTACCATTGTATGCAATTCAATACTAAATGGCATGCAATTAAAAACATTAAACAAGTATGGTTGTATGGGCTCCTTCTATTATCATGTATTATTACGTTTTTATAATTTGTCATGATTGCGGAAATATTAACAAAATAAGAGAGGTAGGGCGGATAGCGGATTTTCCGCTGGAATTAGATTGGAGCCAGCGTCCGTCTTGGGAAGGAACCTACCTCCACTTAACAGAATACACACAACAGACCACAGTGGAATAACATTACCTGTTGGTTTTCGAAAAAGGATCCGGCTCAAAAGATCAAGATGTGTCGGTGATGAAAGTGATGATGATGATGATGAAGGCAATGAAGGTGATGAAGATCTTCAGTCCTCGTAGCCCTGGTGTGGACTGTATGTAAGTTATCGGATTCCTAACGCCTTTTGATTGTCGGTTCATCACGTGACTATCCCCCCGTCCCATAATGCCCCGCTCCCCTCTGACGCCCATAAATTACTGTCGGTGTGTTCCAGGTCTCCACGGGGTAGAGGATGAGGTTAAAGTAGTAGGCAACGGCGCAATTAAGTGATTCCACGATATTGCAAGCAATTATGGAAAAAGCAATACATAGGCATACTTATCTAATAAATTGTAACCACTTTGTATTTTGGTCATTGGTAACATGAATAACCTTATTTTCATTTGAAAAGTGTGACATACAAGCAATGGGCCCGCCTGTACCCTTAGTACGAGTTTTAAAATTACGAAAACTATGATAGTTTTGGTGAGGTAAGGTTTAGATTACTTTACCAGACCGCCGCTCCAATCCGAGCGGAAAATCCGCTATCCCCTACATATCTTATATTTACTTATATGAAACTAGTGTAATTCTGAACTCTTTTCGCGTTTCATGTCATTATGGTGGATTATTTCTTTTATTTTTTCATGGCAAACTTTCAGCATAATCAAGCTAAGTGCAAGCTGTGGACCTAAATTGTTTTTTTATTAAGTAATCATTATCCGCCTTCACTAATAATAGATAGGAAGATACCTACCTATAGTTATACTCCCACGCAAACTGCCATTGTTGTGCATTAACCTTGGCAATTATAGTTTCACAATGCACATTTATATATTAAACTATTACCAAATTAGATTTCACAAACAATTCTTACTATCGACACAGGCTTTCTTACTATTAGCTAGGTACTTAGAGATAGTATATTCGTAATTAAGAATTAATTTAAACTAGAATGAATTACACATTAGTCAACGTCACAAATATTTGAATATGGTAATTCATTCTTTACCTAAATAAATATTTATCCAAATCGAATGGATTTGGATGAAATTAGCCGTTTTAGCGGGAAAGAAAAACATTTCATCTGAGTACCTACTATGTTTGGGAAAGTTTTTATGGATGTTTATCACTGATCTGAGATCTAATAAATTTTAGACAACTTTGATACTAGTAAGATTTGAAGTAACTGGGCATATTCACACAACATTTAAATGGTGCTTACTTACCAATAAAGATTATGATATGCACAACTGTATTTCACGTAGTTTTTCATAAAAGATCAATATGTTTTTTAGGTATTTACATTTTAGGATACGACGTACGACTGTCATCACATCATAGACATCATTTTTGACATGACAAAAATGTGGAATCAAAGAGACCATCTTAAGTAACATAGTGTTCTGACGACCTAATTCTTTTAAATATTGTTAGTATGAACAGTGGTATCTAAATGTAGGAAAGGGACCAATTTCTTAATATTAACTGTAACGCACTACCACCATTGAACCCTTTTTAGCGACCCCTATCGGAAGCTAGTTATTGTATTTTTGTGGTAAGGTGTAGACCAAATTATTTAACAATATAGACCGTTCAACCTAAAACATCTTTTATTTTGCATCCTTAGTTTTCTTTTACTTTGCCCAGTGGCTCTATCGGAAAACTTTCAGAGAGCTATCTGTGGTAAATGGCAATGGCACAGTTAATATAGAGAAATTTTTATCTACATGAAGATACCACTGTTCATTCTAACAATATTTAAAGAACGTAGGTGTTCAGACAACCTTAGTCTGAACACCTACGTTCACATAAAAAGGGCAAATGAAAAACACCTTACGTATCCACCATTACGTATCATGGTCATGAAGTTATCTTACCTCATGGTGCCATTATACGTAATGGTGGATACGTAAGGTGTGCGGCCCATTTTCAGTTCAGTTGTTTTATTTGGTAATTTATATGTCTATAATCTTGGTTTGTGTTGTGATTGATTTTAACCTAATTTTGGCTTTTAACCCTGATATACCTGCTGCCCTATATTTAGGACGGTTAATAACTAAATACCCGCAAAGGTTTGGCATAGGAAATATTAGAAATAATAAAGAAGATACTTTGTGGCATTGTAATAAAAATATAAAATTGGAGTTTATTTCGTTTTTCTCTTAAATATTTAATTGTAAAATGTTATCAATGTCAGTAGCAGCCACACCTATGAAAGTGCATAAAAAATTATTATTATTTAGATTCTATATAACAGTATTTTTATAACGTAAAGATCCTCTTGTTTTAAACATATAATAAATGTTTAATACATTTATGATGATTTCGAGCATCATAATATAAAGATAGGATGATATGGATGTGAAGCGGTCATATTCTTTATAATGAAGAATATAATGTATTTTTCATCAAAAAGAACTGTCTGCTGTTGATTCTGACTGAACTTAGTACTGACGAAGAAGCAGGAAAAGAGGATTGATAGTATTGATACTCTGATTACTTTACAAAGAAGAATATTATCTCAGAGTACATTCACTCCAAAGGATACTGAGGATAAGATTAAGGACATTCTACAAATTGAGGATAAATGACGAAGAACTGACGCTGGGCAAATAAAATAATCCAAACTAAAGGGATTAGCCTGAAGTTCACAATGATTTATAAGAAAAACATCAGATTGTATGGTTATGGTTTGCATACACGCGCGTAATATTTCTGGTGCTCAGTAGATCAGAGTAATATTATGTACCTCGTCAAGAAATAATCATCATCATTCAATCTAACGATGCTCACTGTTGAGCATAGGTCAACCCCAAAAATCTCCACGTTGATCAGTCTGCATCCAGCGTTCTCCCGCGACCTTCATTAGATCGTCGGTCCACCTGATGAGAACCTTTTCGCCCTAAAGGCCACTGGCTCTTCTCGCTATGTGTCCCGCCCAATGCCGCTTCAAGTGAGCAATCTGCCATAACACAAGCCTTATAGTGCTTACTTTGGGGCCAGACTAATTGGTGTGATTGTTGGAAATATTTAATATTATTATTGGAACGAAAGTTCCTTACGGCAGGCTTGGAGGAGATAGGGATTTTGCTGCGCGACTGAACTGTAAAAAATGTGATAATAAAACCGTAAGAAAAAATCCGTGGAAAAAAGTGCGTGGAATAAAACCGTTAAATGAGACGTGCGCAGGCGCGACGAAGTTCGTTACGGCAGGAGAGAGAGCGACGAGGTCGCATCACTGAAATATTGTGATATTACACCAACACTGAATATGTGTGAAGTTATAGGGGGTGGTAGAGCGACGAGGGTGCATCACTGAAATATTGTTATATTACACCAACACTGAATATGTGTGAAGTTATAGGGGGTGGTAGAGTGACGAGGGTGCATCACTGAAATATTGTGATATTACACCAACACTGGATATTTGTGAAGTTATATCAAGCTGTGGACCAGTAACGCCTGTGAGACATGATTATGATTACAAGGTGAGTACTTATCAGGTGGCAGAGCGACGGGGGTGCATCACTGGATTATTCTGACATTGTAGTTTATTCTAAACTGTGGGCCAGTCCTGCCTAGCATCCTTTACGAACGCTAGCGGGACATGATAATAAGGTGCGTATGTATGAGGTGGCACAGCTACGAGGGTGCAGCACTGGAATATTGTGACATTACACGAAATCTGGATATTTGTGACGTTATACCGAGCTGTGGACCAGGAACGCCTGTCATCTGCTGTAAACTTAAGCAAGACATGATAACAAGGTCAGTACTTTACCGGGGGGGTGACAGAGCGACGGGGGTGCAACCCCAAATTATTGTGGCATTATACCAACACTGGATTATTGTCGTATATTATACTAAACTGTGGTTAAGTCCAGGGGGGTGGCAGAGCGACGGGGCTGCATTACTGGATTATTGTGACATTGTAGTTTATTGGAACGAAGTTCCTTACGGCAGGCTTGGAGGGGATAGGGATTTTGCTGCGCGACCGAACTGAAAAAAATGTGATAGTAAAACCGGAAGAAAAAATCCGTGGAAAAAAGTGCGTGGAGTAAAACCGTTAAATGAGACGTGCGCAGGCGCGACAGTCGCATACACAAGCGAGTTTGCAATTTGTGTCGATTCTACATTAGCCGAAGGAACTTCCTTCCTACCTGGTGTCCCACGACACCAATTCATTTTTATTATTTATTAATCTTTCAGCGATGTCGGTGACTTTACTCCTCCTGCGGATTTCCTAAATCTGATTCTATCACGTAAAGAAAAACGATTTGTTATGGATTCAAATCCTGGATATTAGATATGTTTCGTAGATTGAGCTATAACAATGCGCCTAACCATAACTAAACAAATGTGTGATCTGAAGTATAAGGGCTATTAGATCGTTTTGCAAACGTTGTCGAGTCTTTTTGTGATATTAGCAGACGAATGGCAATATCTTTTATGAAATACATTATAGAAACGCTGATTGACAGAGAAGATCAACTTGACACACACAACAAGAGAAAACGGAAAGTTGAAAAGATCAAATCATTTCATTATCAATCATTCAAACCCGGACCTCTCGAGTACGCAAAACCTTGAAACCCGGCATATATAACACTTGGCCACGAAGGTCGTCAAAAACATAGGCCGTGATAAGTAGTATGATTTTTTAAAACCAGGCAATTCTTAGTAAGATGTGAGACTTCGACTTCGAAAACATGACAGTTCTTTTGCTCTTATTAATCATGGGGAAAGGTAGGTAGGATTGTCTCTATACCTCTCTCTACATAAAATACCAGCAACAAGTACCTAATAAAATATGTCGGTACATATTATTTTATAATTTATTTTAGAAAAATGTGGGCTGCTAAATTGCATATTAAAAATAAAATTAATAGGTCGGTAAACCTAACGAAAGAGACGCTCATTTTAGAAAAAAAAGGCACTGATAATATCATCCCTAATAAAAACAATGTGAAATAGTAAAAAAAATAAGATTGCCTTTATCGCATTCTATTTAAATAAATTATTATTTAACAAAACAGGACTGTATATAGTATCCTTTGCCTTCTATGAATTGAAGAATTTTACCAAAAAAGGGTAGTTCCAGAGTTGCCAGGTCCCCCGATTTTACAGCAGATCTCCTATATTTCTCAAATGTCTTCTGCAAGCCAATTATGCTCGCTAATTGTGATATTGTTTTAATGACAATTTCACATTACGTTTTAAGTTCTCCGAAAAATGCGATATCAAAATGATATCAACTATACATCAACTTATGCATATTATGATCAACTCTTTAAAATGATATCAACTTAATGCGTATTACGTTGAACTTTTTGACTTAAAAAAGTATCGCATAAATGTCTAAAATGTGATACAGGATATGACATTGATATGATCTTTATGTGACATAGGAATGTTTAATAATACCATTTAAAAACAATGTCAACTTGGCATCAACATCATATTGACATCACATTAGGATTATATCACTAACGCATAATTGACCCGCTGTTCTTCTGTTTCTCTACATGAATCTACTGTTTTTCTTAGAATACGATTTTCTTTTTTATTTTATTTTTTTATTTATTTATTTACTGTTTATTAATTTCCTATAAATCATTCCGATTTTTTAAAATCGGACTTGGCAGCACTGGTGTGTCAAAAAATGACAGTTGTCTGACAATCATCGACGTCGAATCTTGTTCGTGTTGTTTTTCTGCAACTTAGCTTATTTTTTTGCAAATATGAATGAATCAAACCCTCTTTAATAATTCTAATATTGTTTATGTTGAACGTGTGTTTAATCGATTTTTACATTGTGTTTTAACACAAAACATATATTTATTTTTACTAATTATGGAAGCTTTCCGTTTTTTATTGGAAAAATGCAGACTGTGTCTTGAAGAAACTGGAGTTTTAAACATATTTAAAAGTGAGAATAAAGATTTGCCCGAGGATATTTATCTATGCACTGGATTGGAGGTATACATTTTAAAGGAAACTTATTTTCATAAATATTAGATAATTTTGCTTATTAGCAAGATCTTATTCAATCTTTAACACTTTCAGGTACATCTTTCAGATAACTTCCCTGAAAAGATCTGTAATCGATGCCTAAATATAGTGCAAGACGTCAAAAGACTAAGAGAACGAGCCTTAAAAAATAACATACATCTAAGATCACTTTTTGTTATTGATGGTATAGATAAAAATAATGATGTAAGTATAATATGAACTTGTTCTGTAAAAAAAAACTTCTTTTAGGACTAAACCAATTGGTAAGTCCTACTTATTATCAGTTTATTTGAAAATATTTTTATTTTACAGGTCACTGAACATCATGAAAAAGAGAAAGTCACAATTAAAACTGAAATAAATGAGCATGTTACTAGAGAGGACACTGAAAATAAAATGGTAATAATAATTGCTTCTGTGTAGCTCAAAAGACTGTTATTGTGATATTTAAATTTAGTATTGCAATACAGTCTGATATTTAGGTTGGCATGACAACTAAATGAAACTCTATTATGTTAGATTATCAAAAAATAATGAATACTTATTTTTTCTTTTGTCAATTAACCAATTACAAAGATAAAGCGCTTAAAATTTTGGAATTAAGGCCTTGTGACTTCACTTCTAAGTAAAAAGTGTATGAGAGAGAAATGACATCATGCGACATTTTAAAATAATATATCTCTGTAATGTTTTGATTAAGGGAATACGGGAGACATTATGTGTCCAATATTTTTTGATAAACTACCTGATGGACATAGAAAAGATAGTTAGTGATTGGACGATCACTATCTTTTCTATGGATATTAGGGATCTAATCACTCCATTGCTGTCATTGTTTCAAGGAACTTCAGACAGGTGCTAGTAAACTTATAGTGGAGTGGAATGGCCATATCCAATGCACTTATGTAATTATAATTATATTGTTGTGGAATTGATGACCTCCATGGCCGAGAGATCCTTGGTTCAAATCCTGGTGGGGGCAGGTGTTTGGATGATGAATACAAGCATTTGTACTCCAGTTCTGTATAAATATACTTATTATTATGTATATCAATATACGTATTCTATCTGTTGCCCTAGTATCCCATAACACAAGCCTACAGTGCTTGCCTACTCCTTTTGGCCATGAAAATGAATGAATCAATGAGCCTAGCCTAGCCCCAAACTAGGCTAATTGGTGTGATTGTTGGAAATATTATTATACTATTTATTTCTTGGGCTCATACATTTTCATGGCCAAAATTATAAAAAGTAAAAGGAAGACTTCCACTGAATAACTTATTCAGAACTTTATTTAGCTGAACAGCCAGTGTTACTGAAAAAAAATATATGAGACTATTAAAAAAAACGAGCAAGCCTTACAGTAGTCGCGTATGATGTGTAACATTTGAAACCTCACCTTTTTAGTAATATAAAAAAAGAAATTAAACCTACTACAAAAGAAATAAGCTATTTGAACATAATGTTCTAAAATCAAATCAAATAGCGCGCGCTTTCGCGACTTCCCTTTACACACTTCCGTCCCATTTCACGACATCACTCCCACAAATTGCAGGAAAGCGAGAGGAATGATGTTACACATCAAAAATATTAAGCTAACAATAAAAAAAATCTAAATCTGAATAAAAAAATCTTTTGTTCATTGAGTTTAAAATTCTTAGATTGTGTATATAATAATCTTTATTTATTTCTTCTTCTACTTATGTAATAAGTTGAAAAAATCTCATTCCAAAGTTCTCATTCAATGAAGTGCTTACTTAGGAAATTATTTAGGTACTTAATGGACATGATGACAATGGACTTATCGGAACACATAGAATCACGTTTAATAAGTTTTTGTATAATTTTCAGACCCCATCAAAAAATATATCTGTGAGAAAAGACTTATTTGAAACTTCGCCTACAGTGGTAAGTGGTCATGGTGGTAGTGTTAATATTATATGTATTCATATAAATAATTATATAACTGCTACATGGGTGCAGCTAAAGAAAGATATTTGTGTATAAAAAAACTAGCAATTAACTTCTCTAGGCCTTGACTTTGAACATGGAATGAGTGGAGTTTTTTTTATTGCATGTAATACCTCATCAAACGAAAACACGAACAAACAAACGAGCGAGCCTTACAGTAGTCGCGTAGGATGTGTAACTTTTGAAACCTTACCTTATATTAGTAAAAAAAGAAATAAAACCTACTACAAAAGGAATAAGCCATTTGAACATTATGTTCTTAAATCAAATCAAATAGCGCGCGCTTTCGCGACTTCCTGTTATATACTTCCGTCCCATTTCGAGATTATAGCGAGAGGAAAGATGTTACATCATCTAAAGAAGCTGTCTTTGGCCAGAATAAAGACAATGCAGCAATGACAACGAGAAATATTATAACTTATTTTCATAAAACAATTTTGACTTATTTATTCTTTTCCAGAGCCCTACAAAAGCACCACCAACAACAAATACTGAAGATCAATTAGATGGTGTACATTCATGTAAAAGAATTCGATTAGATGATAATACAGTGCTCTATGAATGCTGCGTAAGTATTCTTATCGATAACTATACAATATTCTATTTCTAAAATTTTGCCACCACAGTACATGTTCGGGCTGTCCTGTTAAATGATAAAAAAAATATATAAAAATATTTCCAACACACCAATTAGCCTAGCCCCACAGTAAGCACTGTAAGGCTTGTGTAATGGAATACTAGGGTAACGGATAGAATACATATACTGTACATATATAAGTATATTTTTATAGAAATACATATTAAACATCCATGACTGGAGTACAAATGCTCGTATTTATCACACAAACATGTGCCCCGACCGGGATTTGAACCCGGGACCTCTCGAGTTGGCAACACCATGAAACCCGGCGTACAAACCACTCGGCCACGGAGGTCGTCGGAGTCGATAAGAATTGATATTGTTAAAAAATATATTTGAGAATAAGACTAAATATAAAGTATTTGATAATTGAAAATGGTATGAGTACCTACGCTCGTTGTGGTACCTTGTTGAATGCGAACTTATATTTTTTTTTTCAATAATATGAAATGAGGTCAAGTAAAACTTATGACGTGGAGAAAATGCATTGTACGAAGCTAGCTAGTACAGAACAAATGATATTGAGTGGATATTATCTTACTCTTATTAATCTTATTAAAGTTACTGATGAGCAAAAACTTTACGCAAACTTAAGAACTTACAATATTAAATAGAAGGTAGGCTAATTTGTACATTTATAGGCACTTTTTTTACAGTCGATAATATCGGATGCGTTATTGCGACATCTGTTTTCAGTATATAATGTATGAAAATGGCTACAGAGTTACACACTGCTCCGTTAATAACGACGCACTAGAAGTATGACGAAATATCGCAATAACGCATCCGATATTAACGATAATAACACACCTATGGGGTTGACGCCTTAAACTGTCATAAACTTTCCAGGTATGCTATAAAACATTTGACCGTTGGAAAAAGTTGTATTTACACCATCGTCACCACAGAAAGACTGAAGTTTGTCCACAAGATGCATGCGGTAAGAAGTTTTCAACAAAAGGTGATCTAGAAAAACACATACGCACACACACTGGAGAGAAGCCATACAAATGTAACGAATGTGATAGAAGTTTTTCACAAAGAGTGACACTGAAATCACATAGGGAAAGAGTACACTGTGTTCTGTTGGTATAGTGTATTCCCAAAACCCTTTTAAGATTTGGATGGTTACATTTTAAACTTTTAGGAAAACGGAGACCAGTTCTAGAATTCAAAAAAAATGAGTGTTTGCTTTAATATGTTTCTTTTCAAATGAAATGTTTAAAGGCTTTCCATTTACCTGTTTCTATATTTTATTATTGGTAATAAGGTATGCAGGTATCATTATGATTTTCATAACAATAAAAACATATATGGGAAGGGAGTATAAACTATCTTTACATAGTTTCAAAAATTATCTACATAAAAATGTAATAAATACTATTGATAAGTATTATTAACTAATGAAGGCAGGTACCTAGTATGCTTATGTTGATAAATACCTATGTTCGCGTATATTGCAGTTATTAAGGCTATCTATTACAAAATGGTTGGAAAGGAATTGAATTTAAAATAAAACACCTTTATTTGAAAACATTTTGTAATCTCATTGGCGGGAGATTGTGGTGTGGGGCTTTTGATACATGACGCGACTTGTAATGCCATTTTGCCCTTACTGACTTTGATTACGGCTTGTTAAGTGATTATTGGTTACTTTAAAAAAAATAAACAGAGACAAACACTACAGGATTAGGATGACATGACAGCAAATTGTGTAGTAGTTACAGAACTTTTAATTTTTTACCACAGAATGCCCGTTTACTATGATTAATTGCTAATAATGTACAAAAATAATAGTGAAGGACATTCGTTTGTGCATGCTGGGGCAAATTTCATCGATGTCCTGTCGATCTATTTAACATGAATATTGATATGAAATTGCATAATTAAAAATGACGTGAGAAGTTTGTTAACTTGCTGTCTTGTCAAAAAACCTATTTTACAATGTGCAATAACAACATAGTATATGTTTAGGCAATAGTGTAAGTGTATTGGTTATTTTCTCTATAGTAGGTGCCTACCTTAAAAAAATAGATCTCAGATTGTTAAACCGTCCTATAATATCTTACACCTTAAAGAAAATAATACATATTTATTTTTCTGACTTGCATAATAATTAGTTAAGTATTAATATGTTTGTTTTTCATCTTTGGTATTTAAAAAAATGCTAGGTTTATTTGTTTCTTATGTTTTCATGCTCACTAATTAATCATGTAATAAATCACTTATTGAACTGTGCTATTGATAGAGAATCAAAATTTTGCCTTTGACATAGTTTACGGTAAAAATTGAAGAATATGTAGTTTGATATTAAGACCTATAATCACATAGTACAACGTTACACTTTTTCACAGCTAATTTTCCACCAAACCATCACTGAAGTCGGGTAATAATGTACTCTGCTGACTAATTAGGAAACTTATATAGAGCTTCAAGCTTAAACTGTGCTATTTTATAAGCTTTTAACATTATTTTTAATGTTTTAGTCGATTAGCGACCACGCAGCCTGAGGACCAAACATGTATTTTGACAGCTCCGTAATCGCATCGCATCGTTAAAGTTTCTATGAAAACTAAGCAGCGCACCTATCGGGCGAAAAAACAAACTAGCTTTTTCCATACAAAATTTGACGTTGACGATGCGATTACGGGGCTGTAAAAATTCGTACTTGTGACTGTGTAAAGGCTCCGAAATGTCATAATAATAATAATAGAATCCCGTTTTATACCCATTTAAATAGTGTTTTATAAAATGTATCTTTGTTAATTTTGAAGCAGATGTATTTACAAAGAGTAACATAGGTAATAGGAACTTTTATCATTAATTTGATCACTGATATTGGTCGAAGCTACTACATATTCGAAAATAAATCTTTGATTGATATTTTTTGTGGTTATAACTCTGCAATGCTATGATGATTTTAACCTGAAAGAATCCAAAAAAATTGTGTTAAGTCAAATGTTTTATAAAATTATGTTTTATCGTATCTACAAATCCAGAACTGTTATTGGAACCATATGTCAATAGCATGATAGAATATTCGAATGTGCTTTGTCCCCAAATAAATGGAATGACTGTTTCATTAGGTACCACTAGGTAATAAGTTACCCAAAACATAGTGTCTTAGTCCCGCAATTAATATAGAGTTCTATTCGTGCTTAAAATACCTTTTCTGTTTTATAGTTTTAAAGAAATGGCTATGTCGAGACATCCTACTATTTTATTTTGTTTTTTGTAGAATCAGCCACGCATCAAGTTTCCACATTCTTTGTCAATCGTAATGACTCGTAAAAATGGGAAGTAAAGTTCAAATTCAAGTGGATTTTTTTACTGAATAATTTGACCTGTGGCTGACTGTAGGTACCTACTTTGATTTACCGATTACCTGCACCCTTAGCACGAACCATTATCGAATTCGAATAGTTGAATTCGAACTAAATATGCGTTAAATGTGTACGTACAAACTTACTTATTTATATCGTTACGTCATTTGCTGCTGTTAAAATTTCTATACTAAAATGTTGGCACTCGCAAACGTAACGAATTCGATATTGGTTCGTGCCGAGGGTACTGTTTGTGTTATGATATGAAGGCATTTTGAGAACGAAACGCAATTGTTTTTATAATTTACTTTTATAAGTTATTAAGCTTAGTTTGAATCAAAAAGGGAAGATGTGTCACTTGTGTCTCAAAAGTGCGCCGTTTAAATTAGGTTTCTGTTTTATAGTTTTAAGTTTTAAAAATATATTCTTTTGTTTTTGTTTTATGTAGGCACAATCAGCCACGCATCAAGTTTCCAAATATGCCTAACTTTCTCAATCGATTTTATGAATCGTAAATCAAGAGCGATAAAGTACAAAATCAGTTAAAAAAATACAGTTTTGATAATGTGACCTGTGGTTGTCTGTACCTACTTTTATTTAACGGTCACCAGTTTGTGCAATGTCATAAAAGTATTTTGAAAAAGCAAAGCAATTGTTTTATAATTTTTCTTTTATAAAGTATTAAGTTTAAGAGCCCTTTCACTTATTTTGCAAAAGTCGTATTTTTGAGCGTCTCGTTTACCCCTTTAGAAAAGATTTTGACTATTTCCAAAATAAGTAAACAGCAGATTTATTCTTCCTATTGTAAGTTAATGTAGAATGTTTGCAAATACTATTTTCCTTTTTTTGTACTGATCGTTCTACTGCAGCTAGTTTACGGAAAAAACGATAATATGCACAACTTCAAACGCCTCAATCTCTTAATAATGTTCAATAAATTAGATCAAATTAATTACTACGACATCAGAAATATGTTTTTGTTGTAACATAATGTATTTGAATTTTGATTTTCCATCTCATTAATTATCAAAAAAACATCTAGCCTCTGTGAGTTTTCTCCAAAAAATAATGCAGGTTTAACTCGTATTTTGATATTGAATTAAATAGAATTACTATCAAAAACTTTCATAAAACTAATCCATCCATCATTGAACTACATTATTGAATATTTATATATTTTTATAATTCGATAATTAATAATTATCTTATGAGACTCGAAACATCATCCGTAAAATGTAATATATACTAGTGCAAATCTACCTACGCGCCAATCAGTATGGCAGCGGCGCAATTTTGTAAAAGGGCTCATAATATAATAATAAACTTGAGGTTTAACCTCTGAAAAGTCTTCTCTTCTCGCACTAGTAGGTACTATGTATATTTATTTAATAGTCCATATTCATTCAATACAATAGCACTAAATATAAAATTAGTTTATTTTGTTGTGATATTAATTAACGAATAATTGATATGACGTAAATATAGTAATAATAACAGAGATCCAAACACGAACTTTGACAGATCCGTAATCGTCTTGTCATCTTAAAATTTTGTATGGAAGGAGGATTGTATTTTTTATTTATTTATTTATTTATTAAGGACAGCCAACAAAACAATCACCAAATAACAATACAAACTGAGAAAGAAAAAAAGAAAACAATTCTTACTGCTGCCTTACTTAAAGGCTGCCACAGCATGCGTAAATATTTACTTACGAAGGAGACTTACGATAAACAAAATAAAGGAACCTAGTACAAACACTTCAAAACCACTAAACTTAATATTAGGTACATAAGGTACATATTCGTATCCATTCTGACATCATTCTCCAGACCCAAAAACAGATCCAACACCAGTCACGCACTTGCACTCTGTACAGACAATGACAAGGATACAGTGCCGTCATATCTAAGTCTAGGCCTAGAGAACCCTGCCAGAATTGACCCCGTTGTGGTCCACCATTTTTAATAGAAACTGACGATGCGATACCTTTACGGAGATTTGATACTAAGTTCGTGATTGGGTCTCTGTTAGTGATTTCTAAAGATCTCATTTTATTAGCAAATATTATTTAACTTATCATTTTTTTAAAAAAATAAGCATGTTCCTGCTTGACGTTTAAATCTAAAGAAAATATAACTAGAAAAAAAAACCACGCGGACCAGGCAGCAGACGGGACTCGAACCCGCACCCTTCTTTATCCGGGCGAATCATCAAGCAGTAACATGCTTTAAAAATATATATAAATAATTGCTATTTCTTCTTTCAAATGTTTAATACTTGTAAAAGTATTCATTTGACATTGTGGGTTACCTACAATGCGAAGAAATGGCGCTGCCTTGTAACTTTATCATGTTAAAACTTAGGTTAGGTTTCTTAATTTCGGATGAAAGTTCTCAAATTTGTCGAATCGGAAGTTGCCTGTTTTTTTTTCAATAGCATATAGTTTTGGGGTTGGTAACTGATTTTAGTTAGCATTATCGTTCATTTATACTTAATGTATCCTATTTATAAGCAAACGTAAATAATCTTTTAATGTCAAACTACCATTTTTATTAGTTTATTTATTCATAGCACAACATCCAATAAACTGTTAGTAGGCATTGGAAGTATTTTAATTTATCCATATGACACACATGCCTTAATGTCGTATATCTCCCCTAGCAACGCCCATGACACGTAGTACAGTAAATCTGTCGAAAAAAATATTGTTTCAGTGAAAAAAAAACCTAAAGGGTAAGTCTTGTTTTTTCTGTTGCCAAATGACGTCAGTAAGCCACCTTGGCGATGGGCATGTTCAACTCGTAGGCGTTTTTTGAAAAACTCAAAAAAACCGTCAAAATTTTTTTGAAACGCATTTTTCTTGTTTTGTATGCATTTTAGAAACTTTTTTTTTTACCATAATTGTAGAGGGCGTTGAGTACTACAATTTATGTCATTGTTACAATCTCGTACAACAAAAAATGCGCATTGTAGGTGGCGCTAAAGTTTCAAAAAAAGGGTTTTTTCACTTTTTCACCCTGAGAATATAATTTTAATGGAAAACTTTAAATGGCAAAGTTGTTTCGTACATAATTACCAACAACTTTTGTATAAACCATTTTTTTGTATTACTTACCGTTTTCAAGTTATAAATTGCGCAGGTATGAAAAATCCAATAGAGCGGTTTTGGGCAGTTCAAGTTTGCATTTGCAGTGCACATTTCAATGTACGTTTTTACTATTTTTTTTCAATCTTGAAAAAAAATAAAAATAAAACAATTATTTTTATTTTTTTTTCATTTTTTTTTTGTTTTTAAAAAAAATAAAAAGTAGTAAAACGTACATTGAAATGTGTACGTGAACTGCCCAAAACCGCTCTATTGGATTTTCCATACCTACGCAATTTATAACTTGAAAACGGTAAGTAATATAAAAAAAATTGTTTATACAAAAGTTGTTGGTAATTATGTACGAAACAACTTTGCCATTTAAAGTTTTCCATTAAAATGATATTTTCAGGGTGAAAAAATGAAAAAACACTTTTTTGAGACTTTAGCGCCACCTACAATGCGCTTTTTTTGTTGTACGAGATTGCAACAATGATATAAATTGTAGCACTCAACGTCCTCTACAATTATGGTCGAAAAAAAAGTTTCTAAAATGCATGCAAAACAAGATAAATGCGTTTCAAAAAATTTTTGACGTTTTTTTTGAGTTTTTCAAAAAACGCCCACGAGTTGAACATGCCCATCGCCAAAGTGGCTTACTGACGTCATTTGGCAACAGAAAAAACAAGACTTACCCTTTAGGTTTTTTTTTCACCACTCAACCTACAGATTGACTGTACTAACGGTAATATTTATCTATACAGTATTCTATCTTCATACAAACTGTCGAAAAGCGTGTCATACCTACGCCACTCGAGTTCGCGCGGCACCCGGTGGGCATCCAGTCGCAAATGCGCCGCAGCGACGACCGAACGGTGTGAATTGTTTTTTAAGCAGTTAGCCGTGCTTAAACGTTTGTATTGCGAATATTTGATTGAATTAAGTAGATACCTACATAATTTAATATGGCAAAGAGCAATAGTCAATGTTGTGCTATTTTTGGTTGCTTGAACTCTTCAATAATTACTTTTACTTACTTTATATACGAATGCGTATTTATTATACTATTAAATTAAATAATAAAGCTTTTTGTTCGTCTCAGTTGAGGCGTATATATTTTTCTGTCTCAAATCTATTTTTTTTTTTTATTAAATATTACACTAAAACTAACATGTATTTTATGTAACATTTCCTAATTCATTGACTTTTTTTTTTACTTATGAAATAAAATATGTATTTACAATCACAAAACTAGAAAGCAACTCAATTATGTAGATGAAATTAAAATACTGTAGGCGGGCAGCCCTACCGCGTGGATACGCCCCGCTGGGCCGTAGACAGTTATTTCAAGGACAGGGCCGAGTCACAATACTGTATGGATAATATTACTGTGCCCATAACTATCACCTAATATACAACAGCATGAAACTGTTTTGTTATAGGTTTTTAGTTCTGTCGTCGATTACTGGGAAAGGTTGCTGTCTACAATTATTTTCTTATACAAACCTACTGTTATCAATACAAAAACGCCACGAATTATCTGCTTTTTTCACCAAAACCACGGGAGAAGCATATGAACTGTTTGATTTCTTATGACCCCAAGTTCCAACATTTCTGCTACCTGCTTATCGATTATTTCTTTCTGTACCGGTAGTATCGATACGGATGGCACCTTACTAGTCGTTGATCCAGTTTCAACATCCACGGGAATAATCATAATAATCAAAATCATTTATTCAGTTTAGGCTGTTACAAGCACGCATGAATTTCTAGAATCTTTAATCTTGAATCGGTTCGTAAATCTACGGCGGAAGACCTTGTACTGAGAAGAATCGGCAAGAAACTCAGCAAGGGCTGTTTTTTTCTCCCTGAATAATTATATTATTTACAGAGTCGTCAAGTTAAAAAATTACTTCAGAGATGATTCATGAAGTCACCTTTCATTACATAATGTGAAATTATACATTAATTGTTAAACTGCGTTTTATTTATGTAATAACATGTGACCTTACCAATTGTCTATCCGAAAATAAAAATATTTATAATTTTTATTATTTTTAAAGCATGTAACTGCTTGATGTTTAAATCTAAAGAAAATATAACTAGAAAAAATTCCACGCGGACCAGGCAGCAGACGGGACTCGAACCCGCACCCTTCGCAATCCGGGCGAATGCACTGACCAATTATGCTACCGCGGCCCTCACGGACCTGATTGTGGGTTTACCTATAATGCGAAGAGATGGCGCTGCCTTGCAGCTTAAGAATAGCTAGAAGGAATTTCGACGCGGTCCGTGAGGGCCGCGGTAGCATAATTGGTCAGTGCATTCGCCCGGATTGCGAAGGGTGCGGGTTCGAGTCCCGTCTGCTGCCTGGTCCGCGTGGAATAAAAATATTTCCCTGTTTTCTCTAATAGCGATAATAACATTTCCTCTTCATTGCTTGGCAAATCTTCTGAAGTATTAAAATCGTTCTACCTTTTGGCACTCGAATGTCAATTCTATCTACAGATACGTTACAACGTTGGTGAAATAAACGTAATCCCCATGGGATAAATTGGCGAAAACCTGAATATCCTTATTAGACTCCTTTGTATTGATATTGATTGTAGATTCCTCTTTTCCGAATATCATAATTGGTAAAAAATTATTATGCTCTTCGTTACCAATGAAATGGATTCATTTTGTTCGGAGTGCAGGTTTTAACGGATTTTACCAACACCAGGTTTTTACTCTACTTCGAAACAAAGCGAGGGTGGAGCGCTAGTACATAAAAAAACAACCAAGTAAATAAATATGTTCCTTTATTTTTGTGTTGCTACAATTTAGTTGTATTTACATTAGATGGTATATTTTTACAGTAGGTACATACACTACACACAGTCATTTAACTATCACAAGAGTAAATCTTATCAAGTAGGCAATTAAGTAACCTATCTTATTAAATAACAATATTGCGATATTTAGTTGTTAAACCATTTTTTACCTATAGTTAAAGTGTTATGATCGCATTATAAAGTATAACATTATCTAATTATTATTGGTCGATTGTATTGTTAGATGCGGTGCTAAAAAATTAAATGCAATAAAATACTTATTCAATATTATGCTGTTATTTTGGGGATCGTACTTAATTTTGCACTGCCTGATGGGATATAATATAAAAACATTGTTTTTTTAACCTTGCCTCTAATATCGTGAAATAAAAGGACAACTTTATTTCAACGGATTAAGACAGATTTTCAATGTTCATACAATAACTTTAAAACAATTAGGATAATCACTAGGTGAGCAAATCAACTCAAAATCAAGAGTATAATGATCTAATAAGCTTTTGAATTATATGTTTTTTAAATCATCGAAATCGGTTCACTCGTTGCTCTTTATACAACTAATTTTATGGAAGCCAATATTTACCGGCGCCCGAAACGTGTGACATCACAGAGCTCGATTGTGGTCACTCCGGTCGAACTTTAGTAGCGTCTCTACGCATGCTCGCGCCCGAGCGCTAGAGCTCTGTGACGTCAGTCAACACGCGGTCAGCCGAAAATTTATTTAGTAATTTGGTCATAACTTCGTCAATATTTGTCGTAGAACAAAAATTTAATCACTGTTTTTTATGGGATCCTTTTAGCTCTATAAATCTCAACTTAAATCGCATATCACTCAAATGTCACATTTGTCATTCAATTAGCAGAGACAAAACATGGATAAGCAAAGAATATGCTTTATTAATAAATAAGGGGGGAAATATTTGGAACTGTAATTAAATCTTTTTCATGTGAGCAAAATGCTAGTAACAGTCAGTTTCTTGAAAAAGACGAATATTAAAGTAAATATTGCAGGCGATAGCGAGTGATTTGATCTGAAATTGTACTTTATCAAAATAAAAGTACTTACGAATTGTCCAAAAATTTTCAGTAATATTCTACCAGTGTGATGAGCTTGTGTCCTGCAAGACGTTTAGCCCTGGCTGTTTTGAATTGCAACTCCTATCACGATGTCTTGCATTTGAAAGATACTTATAAACTTATTTAAAACGCAATGTGTAAAATCTTGTAATTTAGTCATTTTATTTTCATTTTGTAAAAACCTTTCTAATACTGATGCAATTTGAAAGGCCATACCTACATACATAAATTTTCAAATGGTATATTTGATTGTCTAATTTAGATAGTTGGGCTGGACTCCACTTACAAAAAATATTACACCAATAAAACACCGCTGCCTGGTTTGCAACCCAATCGCTTATAATATAGTGCATTTAGAAAAGAGTTTGCTTCAATGGAACGCATAGAGGAGCAACAGGAAGGTGCAGACTGCTACAACGATGCCCAAGATGAGGGAATCGCGGCGTTTCCTCGCGTTGATTCTGTACATCAAACTGTTCAGCAGGGGGAACCTGTTTGGGACATAGTAGTAAGTTCTGTTAATATGTTTTGTTGTTCATTATTTTTACTATGTAATGTTTAAATGATGACAGCACTTCGTCTTAGAGGTAGACTGAAAGTAACTCTTTTCTGCATATTAAGTACTCTAGTGTTTAAATTAGACTTGCAACGAATAGTATATTCGGCAGTATACCGAATAGCCGAATATTAGGCAAAAGTATTCGGCTGGATTTTAGCGCCAAAAACTTGTGCAGAAGTGATTGTTTCGCGCTCCTTTGTTTTGTTCTAATCTGCCGTCCTCAAGCTAAAATGCGGCTAAATGACAAAACCAAGTTTTGAGAGATGGCCAAAAACGGCACGTAAATTTTAAATTATTGCTATTATGTAAGGAACCATTCATCGCATGATTGAATGAATTAAAAACTATTAACTTGTTTAATAGAGAAAATGATTAAATTATGTACCTGTTTTATGTACCAATGACTACTTAATAAATGATCATAAAAGAAATGAGAACCTTACCCTTCTAAATTTTGATTAAGACAATAATTGAAATACATAGAATCCTCCATTTTTCCAATTCAGAAGATGATTATGTACCTGTGTTATGTACCAATGACTACTTAAATGATTATATAACAGAAATGAAAATATATATACGTAATCGATCGATTTTAATTTTTCATTTTACCAATTATTTCTCTATGACAAAATATATTATTTAAGTATTCGGTATTCGGCCGAATACCGAATATCTACATATTATTCGGATAATAAAAGCAGCCAAATAGGCCGAATACCGAATAGTAACCGAATATCCGTTGCAAATCTAGTTTTAATACGAAGTGGTATTAAAACACTAGAGTCTATTAAACACGATAATAGGTTAACTCGAGTGTTTTAATACCTCAATCATATCTAGTCTCATACACTACTTCAACTTCACTCATGAGAGCAAATTATTGAAATTAAACAAGTAGCTTGGTAACAAAAAAGCGCGCATATAACCCGTGCAGATAAAGAAAAGATACTATTTATACTGTACATGTGCAATTAATTAAATAAATAAAGATCTGTAAATGGCATCCGCTAGCATGCTATCTCGCTCACAATCTATCGCTGTCTATAATCACACAGTGCAGTATGCGTTGTAAAAAAATATGATAATAATCAATGTTAGCAAACAATGATATTGTCATTGATGTTGATGATATTCTTCCGGAAATAATACATAATAATACTTTATTATTTAAATAAAGACATGAAAATATCCAGTGTTATATTTTAATATTTTCAGCTTTAACATCTAGCAGTTACATGCTTGTATGGTTGTTAAGGCAGGCACATTACATTAGTAAGGCCTCCAAGCGTTGAACCAGGAGTGAAAATGAGCAAATCTCAAGAAAAACTTACCGGCGGCGAACAAAACGGTCGGTATAATTACGCCTATGGTTTTGACCAAATACTACTTTTTTGTTACAGCCCCGAGGTTTTGGGCCAGCTGAATTTGAATTTCAACTCATGTCAATCAAAACCGCCTAAAATAGTGTTAAAATTACTAAATTATAAATAACGCCAAAAACTCACTGTAGGAATTTCATTCAGTTTTTTAATGCTCCTGTAAAATTTAATTTGATGTAGTTATACCGGTTTGTTCGCCAGCTCCTCATATATCATAGTTCATATTTAGAAACTGTAACCCATCCGATTTATTGTTATTGGCCACAAGCCTATGGTGGTGGTGGAGAGAGTATGGGAAGAAATAAAATTCGAGGCTCCGCTTCCCGGTTATCGTCATCGATCTATCGATGACTGGACTGGTGGACTCTAGTCCACCAATCCGCAACTGGAATCTATCGATAGGGAATCTATGATGAATCAATCATACCTATTTGTGATGTCATTAAATCTGGTCTGGATCCGTTTGAACGTCTGTCGCTGCGACGTGAGATGTTCGCGAGCCTCCATCGCTATGTTTATCTGTTCGTCTACAAGGATGTGAGAACTGAAACAAATTATTACATATCAATAATGTTGTAGTGTTATTTTCTTTTCTTTTTTTAGGTAGAAGGCGGAGGCCCAGTCACACAGGACGCAAAGAATCCGATATGACTTAAAATTTCTTCTTTCATCCATAGGGGAACATAACAGGAGAGGACGTCCGCTCCGCGTGCAGTTTTTGTCAGAGCTGCGCGGGAGACCCGCCTCACGCATCGCTGCTCTACGAAATAACATGAAATAAACAAGCGGAGCGTACGTCCACTCCGTGCTTCCGCTTAATTCAGCGCCTTAGGCTCAAACACCTAATTATGGCGTCTGAAACACAGACTAGGGGCGAATAATATAATACCTATGCAAATGGATGGCTTCCTTGGTGTACTGATCGCAGCGGCTCGAGGCCAGCAACCGGCGTGGAACTGCTACCGAGCAGTAGCTCTTCAAGTGCGGGAATTCACCGCCATAATTAATGTAGTTAACTGTGCAAATGGTTGGCCTCCTTGGAATACTGGTCGCGGCGGTTGAGGCCAGCTACCAGCGTTGGGCTGCTGCCGAGAATTTTTCCTCAAGCGTGGTAATTAACTACCATAAATAATTTAGGTACCTATGCAAATGTTTGGCCTCCTTGGCGTACTGGTCGCGGCGACTGAGGCCGACCACCGGCGTGGGGCTGCTGCCGCGCAGTAGTGTTTCAAGCGTGAGAATTCACCGCCATAAATAATGTAGTTACCTGTGCAAATGGTTGGCCTCCTTGGCGTACTGGTCGCGGTGGTTGAGGCCAGCTATCGGCGTGGGGCTGCTGCCGCGCAGTACTACTTCAAGCATGGTAATTAACCGCGATAAATAATTTAAGTACCTGTGCAAATGGTTGGCCTCCTTGGAGTACTGGTCGCGGCGACTGAGGCCGGCCACCGGTGTGGGGCTGCTGCCGCGCAGTAGTTCCTCACGCTCGCGCCGCGCACTCACTCGCGCCGACGTCTTCGTGAACTCTTGTTGATAGTCCTGATCAGGCATCAGGGTTTACCATCGAAACTATCTTTAAGTTAGGGCCTGTCGACATCTCCACGTCACGACGTTGACAACTTGGAACGTTGCGGTGCTAGTAATCGTGCACGATATGGCAATATCGCCGTGGGACGGTGCATCTGACGTCGTCGTAAGCCGACGTGGCTACGACGACGACCGACGTACGTTAGTGAAGAATGTACCGGAAGTTTACAAGGCACAGCGACGTCTAACTTTGCGGTGTCGTGAAGTGCATTTTTACGACACCTGCGGTAACGTAAATTTGCATGTTATGTCAACACACCCTGCCGCGTTACCGCACCATTCCACGTTGATGAGACGTCGTGACGTAGAGATTCTGTGTAATACAACGACGCGGTAAACGCACTGAGCTGCGACACCGCACCGTTCCACGTTGACGCCATGACGTACAAATGTAGACAAGCCCTCAGAAACTCTTCCACAGGATGGGGATTGGGTCAGGCTAGGAAACAGCATGAGTGATACTCTGGTATCCAAAGTGTCTATAGGCTATGGTGGCCGTTTACCATCAGGCGGGGCAATAATTATTCTGGTTTGCCACCCTTTTGACATAATAAAATAACCCACAATGTCAAATAAATACCTATAACCTATAAACATTTGAAAAAAGAAATAGCAGTTATGTTTAGTTATATTTCTTATTTGGGTTACCTACAATGTGAAGAGAAGGCGCTGCCTTGCAGCCTAAGAAGGGCTAGAGAAAAGTCGACACGGCCATCAGGGACTACGGTAGCATAATGTTCAGAGCATTCACTCGGACAGTATGATGGGTTTCACAAAAAGATAATTGATTTATAAATACACACGATGACACAATGCTAGCAAAGGATTATTAAGATTATTTCTTACTTATAAATTTCAGACACACTTTCACCCTTAAGGAATGTCATAGCTAAAATCACAAATAAAATGTTTTCTGTGTAAGCAATCCTAGTGAATCTGTCAGAATAATTGGAAATAGTTTTCGAATAAGGGCGGCGCATTCTATATCCTTCTGCTTAATTTTTGAGTTGTGAAAACACTTACCATAAGTATTTCCCTGTGCCTTTTGATAGTGTGCATAGTTGCATTGCCTCCTGGTGCAATGTCTGCCATTTTGTCATTTATTGAGGAAAGCTAAAACCAAATCCAAGTAATGTAAATGTGTTTTAAGTCTGATCATAAATAATAATTGTAAGTATATAATAGCATGCACCTTCTATGGCAACAAACAAACTTAACATATGGATGATTGATGATGCCAAGAAAATTATCCATTCATCTAATGCTTCATATCACATAGATGGGTAAAAGCAATTTTTTTGGACTTAAATTCATGTTTTTTTTCCTGATCTTATACAAAGTAATACTACATATTGATGTAGTATTACTTTTTAGTAGTACTTTGTAGGCTATTTGACAAGTTTCTAAAATCGATTTTATATGTTATTTATTAGTGTATAGAGAGACTACATAAAAAGTAATTCTGTTGAGTATATCAGTAAAAAACTAAAATAAAAATATTGTTTTTAAATATTCTATGGAAACATTTCTGTAGCAAATATATGTTTACAGGTAGGTGACGTCATATTATGGTCCACCAATCCCAGGAATTTTCAGTCATAGGACAATAGATCATAAAATACTTTAAGTTTTTGATTTTTACGAATAATATCAACTACCTTCTTTTGTCAGAATAGTGAAATCGCTCACAATATTCATGTTAAATACACATGCCAATAATTGGTACTTTTTGTAATACTGTCAAATAGCCTATTGCATATTATTCAATTAACTTACTTTAACTAGGTACCTACCTTGTTCAATAACTGTTCCAGCTCCATCGACATTGTGTCAAACATATCTTCACTATTGATAAGAGGCATGCTCTCTGAACTTAGCCCCGATGGAGCTGAACTCATGCCCAGTTTACTAAATGCAACCAACTTCATGTCTATGTCATTCTCCAGCAGTCTTGCTTGCTTTCGCAACTCTTAAAAAAAATACTTTCTTCATATAAAAAATTCATAGGAAAATCAGACTACTAAAAAAGTAAGCCCAAGGAGAAGGAGGAATATATCTTTATAAGTGTTTAACACAATAGTTTTGTAGTTTCCTCATATAAATGTAGTATTATATATTTATTGGTAAAACTGTACTTTCTGAGCCCAGGTGTTGAAAGTTCAAAATTTTGTGGTTGAAACAGTTTCTTTTAACCAAGTTTTTTTTTGTCACATCACTAACCTAACCTAGTTTGGAGTGCCATAGAAGCGAATAAAAGACAAACTGTGAATTTTAAAATGTTTATATCAAGGATTACCTTAAACAACCCAAAAAGTTTACTAAATATACATTATATGACCTTTGTGTCCGAGTAGTATATATGAAAGGTTTCATAGCATCACCTAGTCAGAGGTTCCTTTAAGAGTCATAGGAGGAGGTCGGTTTGAGTCCCAGTGGTGGCAAATGTTAGTATGATTATGCATTTGTACCTACGTCATGGATGTTTATATATATTCCTAGACAAAATATACTTATATTTGTATCAGTGTATGTATTCTATGCATACACTGCTATAGGGGTTACCCTAGCATCCCATAACACAAGCCTTACAGTGCTTACTTTGGGGCTAGGCTAAAGGTGATAGGTGTGAGTGTGGGAAATACGTATTTATTTATGATTATTTATTTATTTATTATGTTCTACATGGAATTTCATGCATTATCTTTAGTATATATGTATTGATAATAAATATGACACAAGAAACATTTATTAATTTTTCCTCAGATATTACATTAACATTGCAATTCAAGAAAATACTTGAGGTATTTTTTAGTATTTCATATTGGAACAACTGAATTACGATAATATGAATATTACATGCTTTTCACATATAACTAGCTACATAGATAATAACACAGACGAATTATGCTTTTTAACAGTTTCCACAAGCATAATACTAGTTGTGTAGTAAAATCAGACCAAGTCGAGAGAAGCTAGTCATAGTATGATATTTATTGAATAATCCTAACAAAATTATAATCTGATTATGAAAAACTTAGTCCAACGTACAACTACATGACTGCAACGTCATAAGCTGACCGGGTTCTTAAAATTGTAAATAGATAGGATAGACAGGTAAGCAAACTTTACTAACCTTCCCAAGAAGAACCGCTCATAGTTGACATTGTGTTCACCAGTCTAATTAGGAACAGAATTAGACAAAAACCTTAACAACTGTAATGTTCTAAGCCCAAATAAATAAATAAACTTCGAAGTTCGAAGCTATTGAAAAATCGAGTTGACTTGACAAACTTGTTGTGACTGTCAGTGTCACTGTCAAACCCATTAGGAAAGTTACGTATATATCGGAACAGGATAGGACGACGTGGAACTGTTGTCAATACGTTATTATAACAGCGGTGTTAGTGCTGCATATATAATGCACCTGTTTAGGTGCATTATCATGCATCTGATGACGTAGAATGTGTTTAAGACAAGTTTTTTTTTAAAACCTTGTCTAAAACACATTACAAAATACAAAATGAATGTAATGCTGAGACTCAAAGAGACCAACTCAGGCACAGTGAGGTAGTCATAACAGAGGCTTCTTGTCTATTTCTTACATTGTACCAGACTAAAATATCTTTTAAAATAAATGTTCAAATTATTTTTCTAGTTACTTAAAGTGATTGCTATGTTGATTTGAATAAATAAATATTTCTAACACTCGCATGAATCAGCTTAGCTCCACGATAACATTAAGGCTTGTGATATGGCATACTATGATAACGGATAGAAATTCATAAATGATTCTTAAATAAGTATATTTTAAAAAATATATATAGCCATGACTTAGATACAAAATGGTTGTCTTGAACGGCCCACACATCTGAAGTGAAACTTATTTTCTTAATAACGTAACATTAGGCAGGGGAATGGAGCAGCGCACGCACACACACACACACACACATATATATATACATATTTATACACATCTGGCAACTAGCTACGCAGCTAGTGAGACAACTAGCTACACAGCTAGCTAGGCAACTAGCTAAGCAGCTAGCTACACAGTTAACTAGGCAACGAGGTAAGCTGTTAGCTACACAGCTAGCTAGGCTTGATAGCCTGAGATGATATTTGATGAAAAATAATCTACTCAGCTGGGCGGGTAGCTGACTTCACATCTAGCTACCACCACTAGACAACTAGCTAAGCAGTTAACTAGCTAGGCAGCTAGCTAGGCAACTAGCAACGCAACTAGCTACACAGGTAGCTAAGCAGCTAGCTACACAGTTAACTAGGCAACTAGCAGTTGGCGACACAGCTAGCTAGGCGACTTGTTACGCAGCTAGCTAAGCAGTTAGCTACACAGCTAGCTAGACAATTAGCTAAGCTGTTAGCTACACAGCTAACTAGGCAACTAGCTAAGCAACTAGCTAGGCAACTAGCAAGGCAACTAGCAAGGCACCCAGCAAGGCCTAGCAAGGCACCCAGGAAAGCAACTAGCTACACAGTTAGCTAAGCAGCTGGGCGCGTAGCTAGCTTCATAATTAGCTAAGCAACCACCTAGGACAACTAGCTAAGCTGTTAGCTACACAGCTAGCTAGGCAACTAGCTACGCAGCTAGTGAGACAACTAGCTAAGCTGTTAGCTACACAGCTAACTAGGCAACTAGCTAAGCAACTAGCTAGGCAACTAGCAAGGCACCCCCAGCAAGGCAACTAGCTACACAATTAGCTAAGCAGTTTGCTACACAGCTAGCTAGGCAACTAGCTAAGCCGGCCACCCAGCAATACAACTAGTTAGGCAACCAGCTACACAGTCAGCTAGGCAACTAGTTAGACAGCTAGCTAGATAACTAGCTAAGCTGTTAGCTACGCAGCTTGCTACACAGCTAGCAACTGGCTAGGAAACTAGCAAGGCAACTAGCTAGCACAGCTAACTAAGAAGCCTAAATAGGAAGCTACCTAGCTAAGCCTAAATAGGAAGCTACCTAATAACTACGGGAAGTCATCTTCTATTTACACCTAACAACGTCACCTAACATAGCAAATCCGAACGTACTGGGACTACTTATCCGCTTACGTTAGGAGACGCCTGTTTGACGGTAAGCTGAAAGTCGAGTTGACAGTTCTGAGTTAATATTTGATGAAATATAAATCACCAGTCTATGCCTAATGTCCCTACTGCTGGGGCGCAGAATTTTTACGGATGCAATACAATGGACCGAGGCGTCGCGTTGAATTTTAGGTAAAACTCTACTAAAATACAATTTTCATCTATGTAGTGTTACATTTACTAATTTTGTCAAAAAAATTAAATACTAAGCTAGGAAATAACGTGTTTAAAACATCTATCTATTATTGACTTCAATCAAATTCCTGTCTTTTCGTAGCCTGTGTGAACCGGCGACAAAGAAACTGTGTTTTTTCTAAAATATGCCATTTGTAAAGGTCAATAATTAAGTTAAGATTGAACAATTCTCATCAAAGAATAAAAAGCTATCGTGTTTATTGCTATTTTATTTATCTTTATATTTTAGTGTAAAGTTTTAAGAGGACAAAACATTGTAGGGCCAAAGTTAGTTAAGTTAGTATAGTCTGTGATGTGCCGAGTCAGTCTGACTCGAGTACCGACTCGAATACCTAGCAGGTATTCGCATAGGTACTCGAGTATATGAAGTACTGAATTCGGATCCACAATACTCGCAAACAGGTTTCAAATACTTACAGTATTCGACTCCTAAATCAAACACTTTAAGGCAACTAAGCTTCACGCGTACAGTCGCAGTTTGAACGCCCAGTCAACTTTAAAAAGCATTGTGAAGTTAGTCACGAGAAGTGTTGATGAATCGTTACAGGTTTGAACGTCTTTAATTTCCTATTCAGCCGGTCAGATTAACAATCTCATTAAAGAATATCTATTAGAGATTTCTTAGTTTGTTTCTCGTACGTTATTTGGAATTTTGTAAATAGTGGAATTTACTGTTAAGTTTTAGTATTTTTTTTTTACCAATGACTTTGTGATACGATGGCTGCGAAGAAAAAATCTGAAGTATGGAACCATAACTGTACTCCGTTCGTACTAATGGTTATATTTTTGTTGATTAAATGAAAAGGTTGATTTAGTATACATTAATCTACTATCATTTAACACTTTCCTATGATTAAAATATTATGATATCAAAATATAATGCAAATCATAATGGTCAATTCAAAAAGCAATCGAGTCCACTGAAGTATTTAAATACTCGTTTAGTACTCAAATACCTATCCGAGCTTTGTGACTCGAGTCCTAACTCGATTCTTTTTATATTGAATATCAAAAACAGCCGACTCGACACATCACTAATAGGGCACGCAATATACTTAAGTTTGTGTTATAAAGTTACCTTTAGAGGCCACAGTTTTTAGAGGCGACAGTTTTGCGCTTGAATAATCTTAATAAATATAATGTAATAAACATTATTTATTTAAGCATTTAACTGCTCGATATTTAAGTCTAAAGAAAATATTACTAGAAAAAAATCCACGCCGACCAGGCAGCAGACGGGACTTGAACCCGCACCCTTCGCTATCCGGGCGAATGCACTGACCAATTACCTATGCTACCGCGGCCCTGACGGCCGTAATCTAAATAAGTTCAACAAAACAAACTGTTTTTGACGAATAATTTAAGCATGAACCTATAATTTAATTCTATTATGTCATTAAATTGCTTGTAACCACCACCATCCTTAATGGTTGTAAATTATGTTTTTAACATCGGAACCATCGTCGTCACTCATCACATCACCATCACGACTGAAAATGTAGCTGGTACTGGAATCATCGGCTCTAGGTGCTTTCCGAAGCACGAAGACGCGGTAATATGAAGAGTTCGAGATAATAAATTTTTGGTCACCCAATCTTATACGGCCCATTGCGAAAGTAAAATTACAATTATTTTATTTGTCGAATTAAAAATTCTTTTATTTCATTGTAGTACTTTTCAAATATTTCGATGCGATTTTTTTCATGTTATATTATGTACTTTGGAATTTTTAAAATAACATTTATATTCATCAAAGTTGAGGATTATTTAACAGACAAATGTACACGAAATTAGATTGACATTAATATAGGTTGACACATATTTTTATTTACACATATTTTTATGCAATTATATAACACCGTTGTTATGTAAATTAATATAGGTGTACACATATACAGTAAAACCCGTTTAAGACGATTTCACAGGGACTCAACCAAAATCGCGTCTTAAGCGGGAAAGCGTATTATGTGGGATAGGAAAATTTCAAATATAGGTATTGAGGTATAAAATGTACAATATGTAAGAATTATGTATGCCATAAAAAATATTGTGAAAAAATCGGAGTTGACTCATCTTCTTCTTGATCATTATCACTTAGGGCCTCTTCTTGTGTGTTCACATTCTCATTGAATTTTATGCTGATACAAGTGGTAATACGTGTTCTACGTGTTGGCGATTTAGCCGTATTAAACGGGATGACGAATCGTTATAAGCGTTAAGAAATGTATGAAAACATGTCCCAAGTTGCAGGGACTGACGCAAAATGGCGTATTATGCGAGACATCGTATTAAGCGTGATCGTATTAAACGGGTTCTACTATACATTGTTTACTATTATTATTTTAAAATATATTTTTGTGTGTATAGATGACGTCAATAAGTGCCTATAGGGGCTTATGTTGAATAAATCAATTCTGATTTCGATCTAGGTAAAATATCAATATCCCAGCCCCTCTAGCATGACCACCGAAACGGGATATGATAAAGCGATATATCGGCATTAACTGTCAGCCTACTATGGAGTTTGACAGTAGTCTGACAGTTAATGTCGATATATCGCTTTAACATATCCCGTTTCGGTGGTCATGCTAGTGGGGCAGGAAACGACTACCCCACTAGCATGACCATTGAGAATTCCTTAGAAGAAAACATTAATAGTGACATAGATGAAGTTATTGTAGCGTAAAAATTTCCATTGCAAGGAAATAAAAAAAATCTATTTAAAACCCACAAGAAAATATCATTAGTTCCAAAACGCTACCGCGAGTATCAACGGCAACGGCTTCTGAATCGCGTAAACCTTACGTTTATATAAAAAGTATATTATCACTTGAAAAGATCGAAGGGGATCGCTTCAGATGAAGCTTTTATAACATTTTATCATTCGTATTTAAAATAGAAATAATATCGAATTGATTTTGAGTTTGAGACGCAGTTTCACTTTGATTTAGGTATTGAAGTTGAGATACATAGATTGATTCTTTCTTTTTTATGTTTTTGTAATTTTCGATATAGAAAATAAAGACTCCTGCTCAAATGTATTGTGATAACTACAGGCAACTACGGAACCCTACACTGCGCCTGGCACAACACGCACTTAGCCGGTTTTTTTTATCATAGTGTACCTACAATCTACATGCACAAGCACTTCAACCAAAGGTCTCTTGTTGAGGTTTCTATATAAGTAGTAGGTAAAAGTTGTATAAAACCAGAAAATTCTATTATTTACCGAAACAATGCCTACTTGTCGTTTAGGTCTGAAAAATTACGCACTCATAAAGTGACTAGGTTATCGGGTAAAAATAAATAAATAAAGATTTTATTTATATTTTTGTGACTCCAGCCAGTGTATATGAAAATGGAAAATAAATTTATTTTTACAGTTTTGCAAACTTTTATCTACCCACTTACTTGTCTTCAATTTAATGAAAACGCAAAACATTTCATTTGATCATTTTCTAATTTCGCTCGCATTGACGGAATCATGCCAACTCTTTCCTTTGTAATGACCGTCTTGGTTATTGAACAGTTTCAACAGTTATCTATCCCTTTCCCACTTACGTAGTTTACCGCATGTGTGGATCCCTTTCGCTCGCTCTGCGCTCCGCATTCCCTACCCCACCCATTTCGTTACATTCTTTCTTTCGTTTCGCAAGCGTACAGTGTATTGTGCAGTTGTGAATTCCAGTTTATTAATAACATTTTGTTAAGACGATAAAACTTAATATTTTCCAATAATTTATAATGTAAAAATTGATAATGAACTATTTTTAAGTTATGTTATTTTAGTGTGTGATAAACTGTTGTGAACAAGGACAAACTGTCTAGACAGCTGCCAGTTCAACATGGCTGCTGTCAATAAAATGCAACCTCTAAAATTCGATCGAATATGTCGAGCTTGTCTGCAGATAAAAAAGGACATGAGACCATTGTTCGAACAACTTACAGCAACAATGTTAATGGGCATATCAAAAGTGCAGGTGAGTAGACGCACAAAGATATTTTGGGTAATCTGTTGTTATCTCGCTCGCTCCTATTAAGGGAACGCGCGTCGATAAGTAGTGTTGTCGTGTCGTGTCGCGTTATCTTTGTTTAGTTCATGGGGCTTCAACATTCCTCGACGCATTGCGTATTCTCAAAATTGAGAAATGTGTCGCCGTCTTTGTCTGATATTAGGGAGTCGCGTTAGTGTGAATGGGATAGATGGGAAAGTAATATGTGAAGGAATGAGACAATTTCAACATTTAATATTGTTATCCCTTGTTTTTTGGAATCATTGAAAACGCGAATGAATGAATTTTATTGTACGACTTTTCGATTTTATCAAAATGTGCTAAGTTTCCATGTCTTTCATCTGAGGTTTTTTACTGAGTCAATTTAACATTACAATATGTTAATTTATATAAGGTGGTAACTTTTAGATTAATTATTTCATGCTATCTATCAACTTACGGGCGCAGTCAAAGACGCTAATGTTTTATGATTATAAGGAGCAATTATTTAAAGAGACAAACATAATTGCTCTTTTATTTTCCTATTCTATTGTTTTGTCGCATAATTATTTATTTAACATTAATTGAAAATTAATTAAACATTAATGACTTCTCTGAGTGCGACCATCATAATTTTAGGGTACCGTACCTAAAGACTAAAAACGGGACCCTATTAAATAACAGGACAAGAAACATGAATGTTTTGTTCTATATTAATAACCGCAACAGGTAGACTCTTGAGATGTTCACGGAACATTTATTTGTATATTCACTTTAAAAATAAATAAATACTTACATTAAAATAAAATTTATATTTAAGGGCGGTTCCGATAAACAGACGTGGTTTTTTGCTTTATTTTATTAATAAAGTGTCTAATAATAAATAAATATTTCCAACACTTACACCAATTAGCCTAGCCCCAAAGTAAGCACTGTAAGGCTTGTGTTCAGGGATACTAGGATAACGGATAGAATTATATTGTACATATATAAGTATATTTATATAGAAATACATACAACTTTTTGCTCAATGAGTCATTTATTTTTAGCTAAGGACCGTCAGTCAAAACTATATAGGTGAAATCTTAAAATGCTACGTAGGCCGATAGATGTGTCCAGGAATGTATAAGGTTTCCTTTACCGAGTTCACTTCGCAATCCTCTTAAAAGAGTTTTCTTAAATATTATTTTTATTCAATTATTTTACAATTTGTCTCTTAACTAGGTTATTATTATTCAAATTTCAACCTGTTAAATAATATACTGTCCGTACTCGCCGCAGCCGGGACCAACGGCTTAACGTGCCTTCCGAAGCAAGGAGGAACTCGAGATAGAAGATTTTTGTTCACCCATCCAATGACCGTCCACTGCAAAAGTTGCTTAAATTCGCTAACCACTTGCGCCATCGATTCAGTGCCTGATTTAGATTTCTGACCGCCCTAGGCAACTATGAATATGCGCCCCCTGCCTGTCCTGTCCTACTTTTTCATTCACTTATAGGTACAACTTATTAAATTACAAGTACAGAAGAGAGCTTAGGTAACCTAATAATATAATTGAATCAATCTGTCAGTGAACAGGTAAACGAAAGACGAAAGGAATCAAATAATTCCAACCTCAGATTCTATAATCTGATATTCCAAAACATTTTTTTGGTCCTAAAAATATGAAAGAAGAAATTAAACATGAAAAAATCCTTTAATTAATTACCATTATAGTCTTAGAGCCCGCGACACTAAACCTAGTATGATACCTTTATAATTAGATGCGTCTTTAACATGGGAACACGAAATGAAGATGCTGCAAAGCAAAAAACCGACGGCGCTATTAAAAACTAAAATTGAAAAACCAATAAAATCGGTTTTTCGTAATATCAGACTTCCAGTAGTCTAAGAGCCAGTGTTCCGCAGACTTACGGTATAGTAGCAAACTTCATATTAATGCTAGTTATACTAATTCATCTGACGTAGATCAAATGGAGGTTCACTATTCCTATAGAGGATTCCTTTAGGCGTGCCTAGAAGTCCAAAAGCATGAAAATCGACTTTCAAAACGTGTTCGCAGCATGTCTGCCGTTTGACATCTTAAAATAAATATATTTTTAATAGAAAAACTTAATGTCAGACACCTGTTCCGGTTCCTAAAGGGTTCCTACTATATTTTATATAATATCATAGTTTCCAAACATTCATAAAATTTGCGTGATTTAAGCAAAGCTAAAAATTATATATGTTAATTATATTATTATTATAAACATATATACTACACAAAAATGCAGTGCTGCAAGCCCTCGTGACTGGCCTTATCTGTGGCAGCAGCATGAGGGCCCCCAAAAAAAAGGTATTTAGTATAATCGACCTCCTGAAAAAAAATAATGCTGATTTGAAAGATCATCAATTTCTATGTCAAAAAAACCACTGCTTAATTTTCAAGCACTGGAGAAAGTCCACGCAGTTGAATTTGGAGTTTTAATTCAGTTTTGTTACTAATCATCTGGTTTAAAACTTTATAACAAAAAATGAAACCAAGAAAATACTCAAAAGCAAGGAATAATAAATCTCTTTAATCTTTAGTTAAATTAATATTTGGAGTCGGTGCCATGCATGTATGATAGATCTGAGTAGGTACCCATTTATTGCATGGGTTGGCATGGCACTTGTTTAATGTATTTGACTGAAGATAAAAGAAATTAATATTTCTTTGCTTCTCTCTCGAATACTAAAATATTCGGCGGTTTAATTATTGTTTGAAGTTTTTATATTATTTTTTTTTGTGGCTTTTATTTTTGTAATATACAGCTAGGCATCAAAATCTGTGAGTAAAAAATCACCCCCATTTTCCCACCCTTATAGTAGGTTTCCAAAATGTAGGAACAACTTCGAGGTCTGTATACCTACCTTATTCAACAAAAAATAAACGTCAAAGTCCGACTACTCTGTAAAAAAAAGTTATGCGAGATATACATAAGAAAAATATACACACGTCCATTGCCGTCTTTGGCCTATTGGAGGGAGGCCCTGGGCATATTAGGATAATGGGGCCCCTATGACTTCCGTTGGTGATTTAACAGGGACTAGGGACTTTGTATTTGATCTGAGGGGGCCTCCTATCGATCGCGGGGCCCTGGGCACTTGCCCAAAGTGCCCACTGGGAAAGACGGGTCTGCACACGTCGAATTGTAAACCTCCTCCTATAATTTCGTCGGTTGAAAATTAAGAGTTTATTATTTTTTGATAAACTGACTTCCAGACAGAATTTCGTTTACTTTATCATCATCCCTATAATGGTTCGATTACACTGGGTCGTTAACCCATATTCTTCAATATTTACGCTGGACGACCGACGGTGTCGAGTAACCAAAACGAAAACCCGAATACGGGAGTACTTACTCGACTCCGTTCATTTACACCCATTCATAGTCGTTTACCCGAATTTCATTGGTAATCGTATTCGTGCTAACGACCAAGTATAATTAAGCTATATTGCTCAGTTGTTATTGGAACTACCTACCTAGTGATTTAATTCAAGTTTTGTTAAACGTGCAGGACTCACAAATATTGTTCCGGCAAGCAAGTCAAATGAGTGGGCTAAGGACTTTGGTTGCTTTATATTTGGCTACATTTTTATAATGTCCGTCAAGCCTCCCTAGGCGACGCTCTTGATGTACAAGTCTCAGCTCAGCGCTACGCGCGTCGCCCTCCACTCCAGGCTCCTAAGGCTCCAGCCTTAGGAGCCTGTGGGTAAATCAGGCCCTGAATCTCCTCCAAGAGCTCCTTATTTATATACTAGGGCAAGGATGAGCAAACTTCGGCCCTCGAATGGTTGAAATCAGGCCCGCAACTATCAAACAAAAATCAAAGTTACTCGCCAATAAGTAGCTACCATTTTGTCATAATGCAACAAATTCAATCAGGGGCGTATTTACTTTAGCTGCAGGGTGTGCGAAAGATCGTTACTGAAATTTGATTTATTAAAATTCTACAGAAATCAATTTCTTAAAAAATAAATAATGTTTTCTGATAGTAATATTATTATTGGCACGATAAGGAAAAACTTTGCCCTTACCTGCAATAGGGCATTATAGTGATTTTTACAACGAGGGCACTGAGACGTGCACAAATATCGAATAGAGATTGCGCGGCAAAATGCTGGTATCACTGTAGTTATTAGCTTCACGAGCTAGCGAAACAGAGTTTCTCCCCGTTTTAGTAGGTACCTTCAATTTTCATTTCTGCTACAAAAATCAAAGCAGCAAGCTTTAATCCTTCCAATGTATAGGCTTTTTTAACTTAGCTAAATTAGAATCCGTTTTATTAAAAAGCTGACCAAGTGCAATTACTTGAGTTGGGTAATGTTACTCTGACTTAAAAAGTTGAAAAGGAAATCATTTTTGTAACGAAAAAAAATCTCTTTATTACAAAATGCTATTGTGGTAATAATGGTATGGTTTGTTACTCAATCATGCAAAAACTAAGACTTAATGGATTTGATTGTTTGGCAAGCAGTTTCTGCCCCAGATTGAGACATGGAATACTTTTTATCCAGGAAATATTACAGGTTCCTGTGGGATTCTGAAAATACTAAAGTTTAAAACTGCCGCTAGTATAAGTTGAGAAGCTGGCGAACAAAACGGTATAATAACGCATCTGGTCAAACTACTTTTTTTACAGTCCGGAGGTTTTGGGCCTGTTGTATTTGAATCTCAAATAATTTTCAATCAAAACCGCCTAAAACAGTGCTAAAATTATAAATTAAAAACCATGCTAAAAGCTCACTGTAGGTATGTCATTCAGCATTATACAGGTCCTGTAAAATTAAATTTTATGTTACCATACCATTTTATATTGTTTTAAACTTTCATGGTCACTAACATTATAGCTATTAAGGGGATTGTTACCATGTACCTTGTTTTTTATGAGTCAAGCGCCATGATCACGGAGTAACAATAATGTTAGGAGCAATGTTACTCCGTGATCATGGCGCTTGCAACAGTGCTGAAATATCGGAGACTCATAAAATACAAGGTATATGGTAACAATACCGTTAATAACCATACCATTTTGTTCGCCAGCTCCTCAGTTTATGTTTGTTTACACCCAAAGCTTTTGTATTATGATAATGTTTACTATTGTCCAGGTTGCGATAGGCGACGGCCTACCATCCCAACTGTGTCTGCAGTGCGTGCATCAAATATCTCGGTGCCACGCGTTCAAGGAGTTGGTAGAGCGCAACGACGCTACCTTGCGCGACCAAATCAAGCGCATGGCTGAGGAGGCTGCCCTCAAAATCGACAGAGAGGAGGTAAAAATTTTACTTTTGTTTCCACCCAGGCGGGGTTGAGAAGGGTCCTATGGGGACTTTAAATGACGTGGACTGTAAGTATAGGTAAACTGGTATATTTATCACAAAACAGATTATTTTACATCGACGTGGTGTTATATTATGAACGCGGTTGGGCCCGTGCGATGCTGTGCGAGGTGCGTAAGCAAGTAGTGTCCGCTGCCGCTGGTCACTCGTCCCCTTAGTAGTGGTCCCTCCTCCCACACTTCTCCCGTGCGTAAGACTGGTTGGCGTTAGGGTAGTCGCTGAGAAATCCTCATGGATACCCTACAGCCAGCTTTAGGGTTATGTCAGACTCTTACTGACTAAAACGCACCCGTGAGGAGTATACCTATGGCCATAAGGTCCTTGCAGGCTTTGTCTGATGCAATCAACTCCCTAAGAAGGGGATGATGCAACGCTGCCTTTGTAAATACTACTGCACAGTGCGCTCAGAGGTCGGGTGCAGTCTAATGTGCAACCGTATTGGGTTGAGACTGAGCAACAGAGATTTTTTTATATACAATGCGCAATTAATTACTCTTTCCCTTCCGATGTTCAGTGTAAGTGGAGTCCAGTTTCAAAGAGATAGATGATGCGGCAGGTTTGTTGCTCCAGCCATCCTCGCCGTGCTCGCCTGAATCAGACCCGAGTGGGGGTCCCTACCCCGTGGAGCCCTGGAACCCTACTTATTAGCTGCAACTCAACAGCACCAAAAGGTGGTGTTTTAGATATCATTACCTCCACCTCATAGAAATTAGGTGGAAGTAATGATATCTAGTTTACCGTAGTGTTTATAGGATATACAATAAATTACATACGCAGCATCCTATTAGAGTAATTAATTAAATTATGTCTGACGCAGTTTGACGCTGAGGTACTATATTGCTTAATCTCATTTAAACATTTTGCAAACCTATAATAATGTTTACACTCTCACAGAAAGAAAAGTTGCTGACTCTTCAGAATTGCACAGAGCCATACATGCAGTACATGGAGCTGCCCATAGAGAACTTCTTCACCGAACCTCAAGCTGCGCAGGTCCAGCAAAAAGGAGAATTTGATGTCGAGAAAGTGTTCGAAGTAAGCATAAGAAATTATTATGTATTTACAGAGGCGAACTTAGATTGAGACCATTGTTTCTCAAAAAGTTCTTTGTTACTTCGAGTAGTACCTACACTGAAGTAGAGAAATATACTGACGAATTGAGAAACTCTTCCTTTTTGAAGTCGGTTATAAAGCACATAGTTTTTAACATGGAACCTGGATGGTCTAATAAACACCATAGTTTAAAGTGGTTTATTAAGCCTGCTGATGTACTGATGAATTATTGGCCCACATTCTATTTTAATACTTGTTCCTATCGTATATTCAGTCCGTAACGAGGGTACTTATCCAAAACTCTTCTCTCTTATAGATCGCGTCAAACTCGGACTAAATCTTCGTCCCTCTATAAACATGTACTTTGTTTGTGTTCAAAGCGAACTAGAAGATTGTTGCGATTTGTATACGACTGTACACCTACGTGAAGCAACTTCAGAGCGCACTAGAAGTTTCGTGCGATCGTACCTACTTGATTTAGGATTAAGAATTGAGAAAGTTCGATACTTCACCATGGTTTTATTGACTGTTTATTTTGACAGAACATATCGTCAAACCAGGTAAGTCAGCCACCCGCGCCCAGCGCTGTCAAAGATGAAGACGCCCTCAACTCAGACGAAGAGAGCTACCTCCAAATGGTCGTGTTCCAAGCGACATCCTCCGTGTCTCCGGGCCGGCACGTCTGCAACCTCTGTCATAAGGAGTTCAAGCATAACCGCTGGCTGAAGCAGCACATGAGGTCTCACACTAATTGGATCAAAGCCAACTGCAAGAAACCACCCATGTGCCCCATCTGCGAGAGGACTTTCAAGGTTAGTTTATGGACATTTATAAACCAGCTAAATCAGTCATCTATGTTAAGTTATCGCTGTCAAAGATGAAGACGCTGTCAAATTGGACGAAGAGAGCTACCTCCAAACGGTCGTATTCAAAGCGACGTTTTCTCATGCAGTTGACTTTGAAAAAAATACCTATGTCCGTTTTAGACTTTGAAACCATCCTACCGATGCCAGTGTGCCCTAAACCCGTTTCAATTTAAGACTTAATGCGACCATGTTTTTTCCACTACAAACTAAAGCCCCAAACCCGTTTCAATTTAAAAGACTAAAATAATGAAATAGGCACATTTGGTCGATTTATGAAGTTGATTTTTGACTTTTTCCATAGATTCCTATAAACATGTTCAATATGATCTCAAAGGATAGCTAAATCAAAAAGTTGAATTTTTGCAAATAAGCATTTTTACTTAGTCGTTAAGGTAAACGAAGATTTTCCTTTTCTCTATAGGGGCCGGGCATGTTGAAGATGCATATGCGCACACATGAGCAACGCCCACCGAAGCAGCCCACCTGCTCCGTCTGCCAACGCACCTTCGCCACCAAGACTTTACTCTATAGGTACGTTTAAAAGAGCAAATCAATTTAGTGCCGGGTTACACAATATACATTAAGATAGAAATTGGAGAAGAGCTACAAGAAACCTTTTGTGAACTTTTGCTTTACAGGCGGATGCTGCTAGTGCTCATGTCATCGAATTCCCAGAGGCGTATAAAGTCTAGTCGAGATGGATATCGTTATCGTAGGCTCGACTTTCTTCTGGAGTAGGCCGTTTGAAACGAAATCCGCACACGGTCCTCGTGGAGTCATGGGACAATCGCCCTATTCCATCAATTGGGAACATCTGTTTCCCAGCATTGGGGACAATAATTTGCTGATTATAATGATATTCGACCGCGTGGTTATTTTTAATAATATTTTCTTTAGATTTAGATCGAACTTACAAGCTTAAAAATATAAATATATATATATAAAGATAATTACCTATTGTTATTATTTGTCGACAGACACAGACAGACCCACTTCGAACAGAAGACGCACCAGTGCACTGTTTGCGAGAAGCGCTTCTTTAGCGGTTACGCGCTGCGCTCTCATATGGCGCGCCATCGCGGCGAACGGCCGTATACCTGCTCACTTTGTAGCAAGAGCTTCTACAACCCTACTGATCTGAAGGTAAACAATCATTGGACAGACATTGAATGGTCTTTTTCAAATACAAAACGCAGTATACTGCTAGCGAGTAGAACATTTTCAGCGGGTACGTGCAACAGCCCCACCTACCTAAAGGTAAACACCACAGCTACACAGTTAGGACCACAGAAATTTAAAGATTAACTATCTTCTCCCATAGTTCTGGGAAACTATCAAGCCCTTTATGTAAGATTTAAGTTAAATCCAAATATTTTAAGATAATTACAGTTAGTATATTCAGTTACTGGTGTAAAATTATTTAAAAATAGACGGCATCGATAGTGTGCCGCATTTTAACTTTTCAAAGCTCTCATCCTCCTGTTCCTTGATTCTAAATGCGTCTGCAAACGCTTTCCTAGAACGTTTAGTCAAATACTCCGGGAACTCGATTTGAAAGCGTATGATCAGGTTTCCTTTGGCCTTTGCCGGACAAGCAGGCACTGGTAGACCTTCGTCTTCTATGATTTTTTCGTATGTTGGTGTAATCACATCACTCACTTTTACTCTCAGCACTCTATCATCTAGTGTCTTCAAAGTTACAGTCAGACCGCAAAGGGCTTCTTCCAAAGTGACATTTTGAACAGTCACCAAGTCGCTCAAGCCGGATCTGACATAAGTCTCGTGCGGTCTGTCTTCCGTTATGAAAATAACGTCAGCGGGTATCCTAGTCGGGCCTTGATCTCCTTCCTCTTTGAATCTCACTTCTGTATTAGGGTATATACCGGGTCTGATGGGTATAGACAGCACCTTCTCTCGTAGTTTGAGTTCGGAACAAGTCTCGTCGGTGAAAACCAATCGTTGTATCTTCATTTTCTTCAAACCACCTCTGTAAACTTCTTCAAGAGACAGCGACAAAGGACGCAGTATAGTTGCATCTTTCTCTTTATATCCTTTACCGAGCGGAGAATCGAACATGGGCGGAGGATTTTCGTAATAGTCAAGTAAATCTGCGTACGGGTTCGAAGTGCCAAAGAATTCGTTGAATGTCCTCAAAGGTTCTCCGTGATACGAATACGGCTGTATGTAACTCGTAGGGCCGGGAACTCCTTTCTTGAGACCCTCTTCGCCGTATTGGTCGAATACAGCTCTCCTTTTGTGGTCTACTAAGACCTCGTAAGCTTCACCGATCAGAGCAAAGATCCTCTTCATGTTCTCATCATTGTCGTGTTTCTCGGGATTATATTTGAGTGCGAGACGTCTGTAAGCCTTTTTAATTTCATATTGGTTGCAGGAACGCTTCACGCCTAAAATGCCGTAGTAGTCAAAACCCATAATATTATATTTTCCGATAGTTTATAAGAAAAAATAGAGAAAAACTACATGAAATTCATGTCTTATTTATGGTTTGTCAAATAGCTTTAAATTTTTTGACATTGTCATTGTGAATAGCTTAAAGGTAACTTAAAATTAAAAAAGGTTGAGTGCAAACATTTTCTCTATAGCCTGCATGGATTTTGCTAACTTGTTTCATGATAGCATCCAATAGCTGTAGTATTTTCTAAGAAGCAACGGCTATCTATCTGAGATACATAAATAAATTGTAAATCATAAATTTTAATAGTAGCAAAATATTTCATAATTGAGTTGTCTTTAGGTTTAAATTTCCATCCGTATGTCTTTTACATAGATTCCTATCGCCTATAAGTTGACTTGTAACTAAGGATTGAAAATCCCTCTCTGCGTTATTTTTCCCAGCATGTATAGCATAGTTAGTAAATATTGTTATATTTTCTCCAATTTATCGTAATCAAGTGTACTCAAACCATTAACAAGGAAAGATCTATCACGATTTGAAACCGTTTCTGCTTTGGTTTAAGGTACACTTCCGTCTACACACCGGAGAGAAGCCGCTCAAATGCTCTGAATGCAATAAGACCTTCCGTCGCCACTCTACTTTATGCCAACACATGAAGAAGCACCGCGGCATCAGGAACCATGTGTGCAATATCTGTAACAAGGGCTTCTACGAAATCTCGAAACTCAACGCTCATATGAGGGTTCACACAGGTACAATACTAAATCTTTTCGTTGCAATAAATATTAGTGTTTGACTTTGGCAGGACCATAATTTCATATTAGAAATAATTATAATATGTTCCGTCAACGTATCTATTTTGTAATTTTACCTATAACAGTCATTCAACATCGCATCATTTTCCTTTGAAATCGAGACCGTTTTATGGATAATTTTAAAGTAACGAGGTGCACCCTTGAATGTGGCTTGCTAAGCACTTCCTACTTTATCAGACGTGAGTAACGGGCAATCGTGGAAATTGGTTTCTACATCCACTTACTATTTCGATTGAACGGAGTCTCGATTGCCAAAGTCGCAAAATCGTCGGCCGTCACTCAATTTGAAAAACTGTTCGTTCGCTGCCTATAATATCACCACGTCGTGCGCCGTCTGACGTAATTGCTATGGCTATCACTATCGCTTATAATTTCATTTTGTTATTTCTGACCGTCGAATGTTTTCAAATGCCTTGCGTTTTTTTTTCTTTTGCATTAATTATAACAATAGTAAATAAAATGTCCGTGAGACATTTAAAAACATCAGGCGGTCAGAAATAACAAAATGAAATCGTAAGCGATAGCAATAACCATAGCAATACCACTAGGCAATTGACCCCTGGACTGCGGTACTAAGCCCCCGTGAATCCGCCAGCGCTGACACGAAATTATCGTCATCTAGAAAAAGGGAGTGTTTTATACTTGTTACTTACTTTATTCCCGTATCCAGTCTCGCTTTCATCGGCAGATTATACTTATTTTAGTCTGACCTATCATTCGTCTTTTATTTTGGGTGTGTTGAGTATGCTACATTATCTTAATTGGAAATGATATGGAATACGAACTGCGCTAAACAGTGGTTCCACGCCAACTGCGATCAAGTGGGTGAGGCGAAAAAAGTGCTACCAACCCGCCAATCATGGGATTGGTTGGGATTTCCGTTTAACATTATCTTACCCAATGAATGGATAGCCGAATTCATTTGCAGATATTTGATTTATTAAATTATTTTGTTTCGTCTGAGTGCGTGTCGCTTTAGTATTGACGTTTAGTTGTATGAGTTTGGATTGGAACCATGTTTTAGCTAACTTCGTTATGAGTAATGCTTCCATATAATTTTTTCATCATCATCATCAGCCTATTAATGTCCCCACTGCTGGGGCACAGGCCTTCCCTATGGATGGAATAGGGAGGTTGGGTCATGACCCACCACGCGGGCTCGGTGCTGATTAGCGGGTGCTAACGACTGCAAATGCAGCCGGGACAAACGGCTTAACGTGCCTTCCGAAGCACTGAGGAACTCGAGATAGAAGATTTTTGGTCACCCATCCAATGACCGACCATTGCGAAAGTTGCTTAACTTCAACGATCGCAGCCGAACGAGCTAGCCACCAGCTTCTTATTCGTTGCCTAAAAAGTACTTTTTCTAACCCAAGGCGAGCGTCCATTCGAGTGCCACATATGCGATCGCAAATTCGCTCAGCAATCCGCTTTGATCTACCACCGTCGCACCCACACCGGCGAAAAGCCGTACAGCTGTAAACTCTGCAACGCTCGTTTCACCACCTCATCGGCGAGAAACAACCATCTGGTCACACACAACGGGAACAAGAGGTATCGGCAGTAAAATTTAAACCTAATGGTGGTTATGAAGTAAGCGCAAGTCGTGGCACAGTAGACGAAAAATTAAATTATGCTCATCCAGTACTTATAATATGTCTATAACAATCTATAATAGATTATCTGAAAATTAAAAAAAAAATAAGAAAATTACAATGTATTTATTAAAAAAAATAAGTTATAATGTTATTGAATAAATGCTATTATTGCCTCCAGGTACACCTAAATGATAAAACTACTATGGAATAAAAATATAATAAATACTATATTATTTTTATTATAAAAAGATATAATATAATACTTATATAAATAAATAATCGTAAATAAATCATAAATCTCATTATACAATATCTTATTGGAGTAGTATGAATAGATATTTTTTATGGGTTTTAATTTATTGGATATAACAAATTATGTCACAATAAGGAATTATGAATAAGACGTCCTCTCCTCTTCCAATTGCGATACCCTACAGGGTCCATAATGCACTTTTTATCTGTTAAAATTACCACCTTTGTATCTCCATTATGGTCTGCAATAAATTTTGAATTGAATTGAAATGTAAGACAATGCATGTGCCCGTACAATGTCACTCCTGTCACTGAATGGTCTAAAGCCTGCTGCCTGCCCGTAGTTGCGCTTACTGCTAGCTAACTTTACAACATCATACGTAGTTTAAATCCCTATACACGGTCATCATTATCTGCAGTCTGTAAATTTCCCCACTGCTGGACTAATGGCTTCATCTGCAGTCGTTCAAAAAGGTGTGGGGATCATGTAAATAAATAAGCTAATGGTGGCTAATAGTAAATTTGAGGATACCACAAGGTAGTATGCTTGTTCCCACAATCTGTACACCAAAATTTTGACTTATTTCCTACCAGCTTTGTCTGCCCAGTATGCTTTGAAAGCCGCACGTCTTACACGGGTAAATTTAAGATACGACAAGGGAGCATGCTTGTTTCCGTAATCCATATACCTTACTTTGCCTCTTTTTCTCCTAAGTTTTTTTGTCCAATGTAAAGTCACGCGAGTAAATTTAGGCTACCACAAGGTAGCATGCTTGTTCCCATAATCTATATACCTAACTTTGCCTTATTTTCGGCCAGGTTTGTCTGCCCAGTATGCTTTAAAGGCTGCACGTCTCGCACGGAACTCCGCGTTCATTCCACCAAGCACACCGGCGAAAAGTTGTTCGCGTGTGAATTCTGCTCTCATCGGTTCAGCTCTGCTTCATACTTGGCTGTGCACAGAAGGCATCATACTGGAGAAAAGAAGTACCAGTGTAATGTCTGTCAAAAATGTGAGTTTTTGATAACATAGTTTCATAAAAAAATTATACTAGCAAAAATTCCACGCGGACCAGGCAGCATTCGGGACCGCACACTTCGCTATTCGGGCGAATGCACTGACCATTATGCTACCGCGGTCATGATGGCGGTGTTGAATTCTTTCTAGTGTTTCTTAAGGTGCAAGGCCATCTCTTTGCATTGTAGGTAATACACAATGTCAAATGAATACCTTTACAAGTATTAAACATTTGAAAGAAGAAATAGCAATTATAGTGATATGCCTGCTGTCTTCTCCGCGTGAAAATTTTTCTATTATAATTTTCTTTTGATTTAAACATCTAGCAGTTAAATGCTTAAAAAATAGAAAAAAATACTTCCATACACTTTACTTAAATACACTTCCAGGCACATCTATCGGTCTAACTAGCATTTCAAGTTTTGACGGTCCCTGGCTAAAAATAATTGTTAGATTGAGCAAAAAATTCTTACCGACGCAGTTTTAAAGCTGATTCATGAACCATCTTCTCGTTTGTTTGTAAATTATTGCTCAGCCATGAACATTTATATTTTCCTACAGACCGTTGAAACTTATAACACTTAGTGGGTCGATAGATGTGTCCTGAAATATACTTACATAGATAGCGCGCTCGTGCGATATCATAAAATATCAACGTCCTTGTCAGCCTATTAATGTAAATTAATTCAATGAATAGACATTTATAGGAAGACGAATCATACGCCACTTACCAAGCGGGTCCCGGTGCGGATTGACTTTGGCGTTTTGGATTGGTGAAAGCCTTTGATTTTACCCTCCGAAACACGATAAAAATGTTTTTGTGCCCTAATCCTATAACAGCATTTTTAGGAATTGTTTTAACATTTTAATAATCTTGTCTCCAGGTTACATGGAGCCCAATTCCCTCAAGAAACACATGAAAACGCACGGAGTCAAAAACGATACAGAATCGTCCAATTCCGAGAACTCTGAGGCACAAATTAATGCTGAACCCAAGCAAGACCAAATAGTTGAAGAAGCTCAAACGATTGCTTCGGTGGAAGAACAAACTGACACTCAGGTGCAAACTCCGGAACAAACAGTAGTACAGGAAACTGCAACTACTACGCAGAAGAGGTACCGATGCGGTATTTGTGTGAAGACTTATATGTACCTGCATAGCCTTAAGAAGCATATCATGCAAGTTCATATGGTACGTAGTAACTATGTATATACATTTATGAAAAGGTTTAAGCGTCATTGACGAAATAACTTGAATGGTCTATTTATCGTTTATTCCCAGTCGCCCCCGAGGGGGAAATGCTATTTTGCTACTAACATGAATTGTCTCTTCATTTACTGGCAGTTTCTTTTCTGTTAAATGTTACACTTAAAGGATACCTCAAGGTAGTATACTGGGTTCAGTAATGTATAACATCTAAATTTAAAGATTTCGGTAAGAGTAGAAACTCGAATTTGTGAGACAGAGCTCTATGTATATCATAGCCTTTGGATTGCAATATCCGTAAAGTTCTATGATGTAAAAACACCAGTAGTGTAGAAGACTTTTGTTTTTTTATTATACTTATGTTAGAAGGTTATAAAATCTAAAATATAGAGGATTGTTATGATAAGATTTTATTAAATTTTATAAATAATTTTCTGATTTAACGACGTTGAATCCATTAAATTATTATACTACTATACAGAGGTACTTTTATAGTTAACTATAAGCCTGCAACAAATTCCGAATTGAAATTGAACATGGCTTTGGTCCATTAAAGATTTAACTGTTATTTAATCAATATAGCCGCAAGCCCAACAGCAGCAGCAACAACAGCAGCAACAGCAACAGCAACAACAACAGCAGCAGCAGCAGCAACAACAACAACAGCAGCAACAACAACAACATCAGCAGCAGCAACAACAGCAACAACAACAGTTGCAACATCAGTCACAACAACAGCAACAGGTGCAGGCAGTGCTGCAGGTAATAATTTATTGTATTGTTATTTTTATATTATATTTTGCTGGCACATTATTCTTCTATCTTTGTTAAACTATCCTTCGACTTAAAGGTTGTCTGGAAGAGATCGCTTTCAGCGATAAGACCGCCATTACCCACCATAGTTTACTATCTGTTTTGTAAACCATTTAATTCTGTATGTGTGAGTAATAAAGTGTTTATCTATCTATATACATATATTCACTTAACATTTATGTACTATAAATAGAAAAACGGGTAATCATATGACTCTACCCCATCTGATGTTAAGTGATGATGAAGTCCAAACGTGAAGATAGTTATAGAGAAAGCACTTTTTCTAAATATTGATCCATTTCATGTAGAGTATTGCTCAATCCATTCTCTCTATTAATATTTTTATTAAACATGGGCTTTAATTTGTTAATCAGGTGGGTGGAGTACAGCAATTAGCCGTTCCTATACACGCACAACACGTGCAACAAGGCATAGTGCAGGTAAGTTATTAAAAATGTATTTTGAATAAAAAAAATGGCGCTAAAAATAAAATTATTTTTGATAATAGTTTATGTAATTTTCACACTGTATAGAGAATGAAAAGGATAGATTGATGTTAATAATTTTTTTAAGTTAAGATAACCGTGTCACAATCGTGCCCATTGTTAATAATAACTGTAACTAAATTTTAAATGAATTTTGAAGAGCTCGAAGCGCATTTGGTTAGTTGTGAATATTGAGAAATTTTACCAAAGACCAATCGTGAGATGGATGGCAAAAAAAATATATATTTATATCCATTTAATTTCAGAGTGGAACCTACCCAGTGATATCTTCCGTGCAGTCATTGCAGTTGCAGCAAACACAGCAACAACAGATTAACACGGTAATTTATTTTTTAAAAACCAAAAAAAAAACAAAATTCTTTATTTCTATTGATACTCAATTTTTTGTATCAAATGAAATTATACGAAAACATCTAAATGTTTATTTTTGTAGCAGCAACCGCAGCAACTGCAACTGCAAACCATACAAATCCATCCCCAGCACCAACCCATACAAATACACGTAAGTACTTAATACTACTATATAATACAAGCGGGTGTATTAGTTTCACACCAACTCTGTACCCCTATTTCAACCCCTTCAAATTCTAAACGCGAGAAAACAATTTTCTCTCTCTCTCTTGGGTCCCATCTATCCCTATACTATAATCTATCATAATCGATCAGTAGTTCAGGTGAAAAGCGTGACAAATAAAAACAGACAATATATCGCATTTCTAATATTAGTTAAGATTGCTGTCTCTAAAGGCCGTAGTCATGTCAAAGCTCCACCTCGTTCGTTCGTTGTATCCTTAAACGAACAACTATCTAGAAAGAAATAAAACAATGGTGCAGCCAATACCTACAAGTAGTGTCCGACTGAAAGTTCGGTTTAGGCCGAGTTTCGGCCAAAAATTGAGTTTCGGCGGCAGTTTCTGTTTCGGCCAAAATTTGCCGAAACTTGCCGAAACCGAATCTGATTTCGGAAGTTGTCGTGCACGCTCGCCTTACTGCGTTTCTCGCACAGCAGTCCATATCCTATATTGAGAAGTGCAGTTTTCTATATTGAGATAAAAGAGATTGAAAGTGCAAATACAAACCAAAGTATTAATTAATAAGAATTCAAAATACCAATGGGTATTTAATGAAACTGTAACAATTTGTGAATTGATTTATTGATCGCTGATAAAAATTTTGCTATGAGAAAACTTAATTGCAAAAAATAATAAAAATATTATTTATATTGTTTTTATTATATTTAATAAATGATTACCTACAACAAAATAATATGCTGTGTTTCCATTTCATGTCCTAATTAATGCTGAATAATGGGTAAAATAAAATGCACCAAATTTCAGTATTCTAAGGAATTTTAATCTTGACCACGTATCAATATTCGGTTTCGACCGGAAAACCAGTTTCGGTCGGACTCTACCTACAAGGCTACACATGCCCATACGACCAATTGTTTCGCCTCTCTCGCACTTATCACTTTTACTTAACTGTTGCACAGGGGGGAACGCTCGGTCCATTTTTTTATATACTTGCTATTGATTGAGCCTTTTGCAAAAAATGTGGCAGCATCGACATAGATCAAACTTAAAAAGTAATTTGAATTCATCATATCAAGCCCTATTGGTTTCCTCAAAAGTGAAACTAGTAAATAGAATTTGTCGACTTTATACAATAAATTAATTTTAAAAATATGTGTCTTAATTTACAATAGAGATTACGCATGGTAAAGTAAACGAAATGCTATTCAATTCAATTCAAATTGTTTATTACAGACAACAAAATGGTCCATCAAATCGTTAGTAACATTATTTAACTTAAATGCTATGTTAGTATATATTATTTCTGGGATTCAATCGATGTGTGTTTTTTTTAAATACTGAAATTGTATTATATATAATATAAAAAGTAATCTAAACCAAATGTCAAACAAAATGAATTTATGTAATTAATTAATATTCTACATTTAAAGTCATATAATTTAAAATATCGTGTATTATAATTTAATGTACTTAAATGTCAAAGAATTCAAGTCTGTCAGTTCGATTATAAAAAATAATTGTCAATTTTTTCGTTGTGCTTGCTTGTGACGTCACTGTTTAGTAAAAATTTTACGAAAACGACGTCACGCGACCTTTCAAATCAATATATCTCTGAATGTTTTGCTTATGTAAAAGAATCAAAAAAACTGGTCCAATACTTTTTGATAATCTACCTGAAAAAATAAAAAGTTAGTCATTACACCTATTCTTTTTAGACTGTTGGCGTTCAACAAGTGCAGCAGCAACAACTGCACGTGGCCACGTCGTCCTGCCAATCGATGATACCAAATATACTACAGGTAAGTTAATTTAACATACTAGCGGACGCCCGCGACTTCGTACGCGTGGAGTTAGTTATTTGCACTTTTTGACCCCTGTTCACTGGTCGTTCCCCGTAGGTGATAGCGTGATAATATGTAGCCTATATGTTAAATCGACTTCTTAATAATATTGGTGCCAAATTTGAAGTAAATCTATGCAGTACCTTTCGAGTTTATCCCGGACATACATACAGACAAATAGACAAAAATCGACTGTAGATCGGTATCGACTGTAGATCACACCCCAAGTCCTATTCATTTAAAAAAAAAATCAATGTACAGTTTTGACTTTCCTACCATTTTATTATATGTATCTATAGATATATCTTTTGCAGCCGTAATTTAAAGCTGACGGCTTGATTAAGTAAGGAGTCAAGTGTCTTTTAATATTTTTTTTAAACACACCAATTACCCTGGACCCAAGTTAAGCACTGTAAGGTTTTTGTTATGGGATGCTAGAGTAACGGATCGAATACATATACAGTACAAATATAAGTATATTTATATAGAAAAACATATTAAACATCCATGACTGGAGTACAAATACTCGTATTCATCACACAAACATCTGCCCCCGCCGGGATTCGAACCCGGGACCTCCATGAAACCCGGCGTACAAACGACTCGAGTACGGATGTAGTCTCTTTCATCAAGATCAGCTATCTACACTTCTCGGGCACAGGCCTCCCCTATGGATGGACTAAAGAGATTGTACTACGCCGGCCCAGTTTTGGTTGATTGGTAACTGCTGATACAGCCGGGACCAACGGCTTAACATCCTTCTAAGCTTCAACAGAGGAGCTCGAGATAGTAAATTTTTGGTCAGCCATCCGATAATCGGCCATATCGAAAGTTGCGCTATCGAGCTCCTCACCTCAGCTTTCGTTTACTGCAACACGACTGGCGATAACTACACAGCCGCCAATAATTCTGAATCGAACTATAATAATCAAGATATCAGCTAAAACCAAAGGTGGTAGTGTCAGGGTTATGAACAATTTTTGCTTCCGCCCCGCGACTTTGTCCGCTTTACCATTATCTTATCGAAATTCGCTCAGGAATGTAAGTAACATTTTTCGGGAGTAAAAAATATACTGAGTCACAATCTAGGTAATAAACTAGATTATAAACATGTGCCATCTCTATATTCCATCCATATCCGTTCAGACGTTTTTGCATGATTGAGTATAGGTAGCGGCGGACTTCTTGACCCACAGACAAATGAACTTGCGCAGTAGACGTTTTTGAAACACCACCTAAAATTTGTGTTATTTTACTGTGGTCTCCTGTAAGGTGGAGGTTGCTTTCCCAGACGTAGGCTCTATTTCGAGCGGGAAATCCACTATGCTCTTCCTGTCTCGCTGTTAAATAAATATAATTATACTAACGGCCGCCCGTCTTTAGTTTTTTGTCAATCCCACAGGAACCGAACATTTTAAATGGAAAAAAGTATCCTATGTCTCAATTCAGGTCATAAACTATAGGCGTGTTAAAATTTCATCAAAATTAAATCAGTATTTTTTGCGTCATTGAGTAACAAACATACCAACTTTCACATTTATAATATTGATATTTACACACAAAATATACATATTTATACTAGAACAATCAACCTAAAAGAAAAAAACCTCAAAAAAATTAATAAAATAGCTAAAATATATTATTAAAAGGAGTCCCTTTAGGCAGGGTTCTAAAGATACTGGCAGCGTTCCCCCTTTGAATAGCTAGACTAATTCTTTGTCCGAGGTAGCCGCCAGCTCTTCGGTCTCCAGTGATGACCTTTATTGATATTGTTTGTTACCCTCAGCTTCAGCCAGCAGTGGCGGTGTCTGGCTTGGGCACGCAAGAATTGAGCGGAGTAGCTCACCGCATCATACTGCAACCACAACCGCCCGCTACTCACCCCGCCCTCTATACTATACACCACTGAAACCTGAAACACTACCCGTATCCGCTACTGTAGCAAAGAGACGAACAAAAACGAAAATCTTAAATTCTGAGTACACTAGGATATGGACATGACAAGTGGAAGTGCCCCTCTAATAGAAAGAGAAAGAAGATGAGAGACCGCTAGCTTTGTCTCTTTAATCGCGCATGCGTATTGGTCACTTTTATTAATAATTTTACTAACAATGTATAATGAGTCACAATAGAGAGAGATAGCTAGCGGTCTCTCGTCTTCTTTCTCTTTCTACTAGACGGACACTTTTAGAGCGACCTTCCCCACTCTATTTTTATACCTCTATGGGTGCAAATCGTAAGTGGTTCGGCCCAGTTTTAACTACGCCCCTCTGCTTCTTTATTGCCCCGGTGCCTCCACACCTCTAAATCCACACACCACACATCCACTAGTGTAGAAAACAAACTAATAAAAGGACAATTACGAAAATATAAAATTACAAAAACAATGGGCCCTATTCTGGCATGATTCTCTTAACTTGATATTAAAGACATCTATCTCTCATTTTCACTCCCTATAAAGCACGATCAGGAGAAAATTGACTTTAGGTTTAGATAGGTGTCGATTCTGCTGTGATTCTCTAGATTTAAAATAAAATTGGACAACAGTGGTGGCGATTCTGGCATGATTCTCTTAACTTAAAACTAAATTTAACATCAGTCTCTCCTTTTCATGATGTATAGAGAACGACAAGGATACACTGTTGTCAAATTTAAGTTTAGATTTAGAGAATCATGCAAGAATTTACACCATAATCATGCCAGCCAGAATCGGGAAATAAGCCAGCCAGATTCCAATTCTGGTTAATAGCTATTAAGAAAGGAAGAAATAGTAAATTTAGTACCTACCTCACTGGATATTGGTACTGAGAATCTTATTATCTCAGAAATATCAATTATATCTTTAATAAATAAAAAATAGTTATGTCATTCTAGAAATTATTGTCAGCTTTTTACACTACCCTTATTAATATAATAAGTAACCGTAAAACCAATATTCTATAAACTTTTGTACCTTAGATAACTGTCGATCACAGGGAGATCCATCATTTATCTATGTTTTGTATATTTAATCACATAGCATAGCATAGCAATAACTCGGCCAATATAAGAATAATATCCAAAATGGCAGCAATACATGGGCATACACTTCTGTTTACCTCTCACTCACTCTAACGTAACAGGTAAATAGGAACGCCCCATTTTTAAATCCCATTTCTTTATTGTACATAATATTCATTTATTTAGTCATCGTGACTGTCCCTTTTTTGTCATGTGCTCAATTTGTTTTGTTGTTAGTCACCTTATAAAGAAATAAGAATTTCACAAATTGTGATGTAGTAGAATTAGAAAATGTAGAATATTTATTTTATTTTGTTAAAACACTTGATATTTCTTTTATTAATAAATAATAATTTATACACACGACTTTCATTTGTTACCCTCACGTAGCTGAACTTTACATTTTCAATAATTCCCGGTATTCAAATTATGACTAGTGCTTGGATTAACCCGAGGGAAGAATGGGAAGAATTGACGAGAACAAAATGAATGTAACGGAACGTTGGTCGTCGTCGCTAAATTCTGATTTGGTATTAATTGGTATTAATGCAAACGCGTCTACAGCACGACCCAGATATTGTGACGACATTGGTGTCGATTCTGGCAGGATTCTCTAAACTTAAAACTAAATTTAAGATCAGTCTGTCCTTTTCATTTTGTATAGTGAATGACAAGGATACGCTGTTGTCAAATTTGAGTTTATCTTTAGAGAATCATGCCAGAATCGATACCATTGACAGCTGTACCCTTAGCATGAACCAATATCGAATTCGAAGAGTCCGTAATGTCATTGTCAAATGTGTAGGTGCTGATTTTTAGTTCTCGTTACGTCCGTTATGGCGCTGCTGTTCAAGTGTCCATACAAAATTTGACAATTACATTTCGGACTCTCAAACTATTAGAATTCGGTAATGGTTCGTGCTAAGGGTGCAGGAGGGCGCTGTCGGTGAATAAGTGGTGAAATGAGGATTACTAGAAAATATTATAATTTACAATAATTCCGAAACATTAATAAAAAATATAAAAGGCTAATGCCGCAATTACATTTGGTCCTTAGCCCGTATTGGGGTGCACGAAAGACATTACTCGAATTTGGGTACCCGAAGCAATGTAGACTAGTTATGGAAGGAAAACAATATTATCTGTCTAGTATAAATTATTGATAAGGTTCAATTCATACCGCTGCGTAATGAAATGGAAGGAAAAAGAAGCGAATTTTTGAAAGGAAATTGTATTTAGTATAATTAGCTTTATGTCAATTCAGTTAATTCTTTCCGTATATAAAAAGTACTCTTTGGCCAATTGTATAACATTCAAACTAAATAAGAGCCAAGAACTAGGGGAATTTTCGAGCATACGAGAGAATTCAGCGAAGATTTTTTTGGTTAGTATTTAGTTAAAATTCATTATGCTATGCACTTTCGTTACAAAAATCCGCTTCCGCGACAAGCGATTTCGCGGACAGTCGCGGAATGGAGAGGAAGCGACAGCGGAGCTTGTACAGACAAGCCTAAAAAAAGAAAATAATGTTTCTTTTTTTATTAAAGTGAGTATAAACCAAAGCATTTACTCAAGCATAGAAATATGTAATTTAACGTTCCTATGAATGGTACATACAATACAGGTACCTAAAAGCTCAGTTTCCAAAAGGTTTGTGAATGGGTGATACCTTAAAACATTTATTACACAGCGCCCCGTTGTTCTGTTACAAGTAAATGTTCAAGTGTAAACTCAACTAAGGCTAAATAGGTACATTTGAATAAAACAACAAAAAATATTTTAAATTACTTTTTTATATTGTACAAATTAATTGAATCTTAATTAAACCAATCTTAAATTAAATTTCATCAATTCATTGTAATAATATAATTTTGGAATATGCAGTGACCTACACTCATAATATCATTGCAGCAGTGCAAAAACAACAACATTGATTTTTTTATATAAAGAGAAACTATATTTGTATTTTAAATTTGGTGGGCTAATAGATAGTGGTTTCAAACTTCATGGCCAAGCGAATATACTAATTTTAAGTACCAATTTAGTACAGAAGAAAATCACGCACCATACATACCATGTCATTAAAAAGACACCAATCAACATTGTTGCAATTTTAATAATTTTCACATTTGGCATATGATATTGGGTCTTATGTACAATTTGGGAGTTGATCACTGCATTATAATCGAATTATTTCTCTCATACCAGACTCGAGAACTGAAAAAACAGAAAAAGCACTCTGCAAAAACCACCCTATAAATAAAGACAAACTTGTAAAAAACCTAAAACTACGACACCTCATGGTCAGAAAAATAATTCTGCAGCATTCTATGGTGAAATTTGTATAAATTATTAATTCTTATATTATGTTAAATAAGATATGACTATTCCACTTTATTGAACAATATTTCACCAGGTTTTTGCTGCAGCCTAAAGACGCCTAAGTCTTATTTACAATACCAACATTCACAAGGCCACAAGTTTCAATATCGCATACTCAATCTCAACCAAGTTGTACACATAAACTTATCAATTATTACTCTTGTATGAAAGAGATATTATAATTTATAATTATAACCTGTATTTCAGCACCCAAGTAGAGATATTGAAGCCTTATTAAACATTAAATTCAATGATGATTGTCAAAAATTTATGTAATTTAAAAATACTTATAAAATATCGCATATTTATGCCACCAATAAAATGCACTGAGAATGAGGTCTTAAACTAAAATAATAAAATAGATGATACGTGGCAGTTTAGGCCATCAAAGGACCGACTACTAATTAAGTAATAATAATAGATTAAACAAATTATCCTACTAAAATATTGTTACAAGTCATATTTATGGTTTCCTCATTTACATTTCACATAGCAAAAGGTGATAAAAGGCTCAGTCGAATTTCAACATAATATAGATCCTATGGTCTTTCATAAGATTTTATAAAATCAATCTATTTTGATTCTGAAACCATAAATATTTTGTTATTATATAAATCTGATATTATAAGGCATCCTGTTGCATTCTTCAAACTATACTATATATCTCAAATTCACTACAACCAATTTGCAGTAGGAGAAACAACAAAACTTTCATTTTCGATTTTATTATAATGATTAAATGGTACTTTATTGATAAGCAGTCTTTTTTTAAGCAAGTTGGGGGTTTTAGTCTTGGTAAAAATTATTTAAAGTATATTGCTATAATTTTTTTGGAATAATTTTTATCAGTAGTTGAATAAATAGTAGTGTTGATAATACCATTAAAATATATATATGTTAATAGGGTATTTGACAAGTTTTAGAAAACGATCTCACGTTATTTACTAATGTTTATAGAGTCCATAAAAAGTGGATATTCATCATTATGTTCTGTATTTCGATTTTTTATGTTATATTATATGATATTTTCGAAATTGAGTGTATTATTTTATTTTTGTAATCATCAAAAATAAAATCATACACTCAATTAACATCACCCTAATTAGACGCCGAGCATTCACTATGCATTGGGTAGTGCTTTAAAAGTATTTTTCTTTCAATGGCATTTACGAAAATTAATAAGATACGCGCTTATGACTTCATCCTTATGAGAGGCTCAAGCACAAATTTTGACAGCTCTATAATCGTCATCGTCAACGTATGGAAAAAGCTAGTTATTCTTACGTCCGATAGTTGCTCAGTTTTCATAGAAACTGACGATGTGATACGAGAAAGCTGTCAAAATTCCTGCTTGTGCCTCAGAACGACAATTTAAAAGGTCTAACTCTCACACATTGAGCACTACTTCACGTATTGTGTAGTGTATTTTCACAAACTTGAGCACTGTTAACCACTGAAAACTGCACTATAATATTCCTTACAATCGCACTGTTAAACACTTTGAGCACTAGAATCAGTATCGGGCGAATGATCAGCCGCGTATCTTATATAAGCGGCGTGGACGGCCAGTCCGGAGGGTAGTTTCACGTCGCGGAAGTATCGGTGGCGACGCGTGTCCTTGGCCGATATCCTTTTAACTGGATCGTACACGAGCATCTTTTGTAGTAGATCCATACCGACCTCGTCGAGGTTCTGTACCTGAGTGGATTAAACAACGTAGATAATACAGTGGAGAACAAACAAACAGTAGAAATGGTACCTACCTAATTTTAGAACTCGATCGAAATATTGAACTAATTACCATTTCATTATGTTTGAATGTTATGAAAATAAAATAAAAGAAATGGATAATCACATGCCAGATTGAGACAAAATAGATGAACTATGTACTATGTCGAACTTATTGTACTCTATTTAGGGTGATTAAATAAAATTCAATTCAATTCAAAAAACAAATAAACTGTGTCAAGGTAGCAAGCTACCTTGGAACTCTTTATTTGATTTTCTGAAAAAGTATAAAACTTACAACTTTCAAAGTTATACACACAGAAAGTGTGTTTCACAATGATTAAAATAAATAGATTTTTTCGTCTTTCTTTTAAAAGAAAGTCATTTTCCAATTTTTTTAACCGGTATAATGACGTAGCGAAAAACACATGTAGACTATATTCATTCAAACTTTTTCTTGGATAAAAGTTTCCTCTATCACGCAAAACACGGAGGAGTTCAAAATAATAATTGTTTGTCACCCATCGTAAGATCAGACTTTGCGAAAATTCCTTAACTTCCACGATCGCAGTCTAGCGCGCTAAACACTGCTTCCTATCTATATTCGTCCTGTGTGCATTGTATTTTTATAAAATACAAGAATAAAGGGATACCATTAATAAAAACTTACATGATTATGCAGGTTGAATGTGTTCCAATTGGGGAAAGTAGGTTTGTAATCTGGGAGAGAAGACACTCCTGGCCATATCTCTTCTGTGGGTGTGCGTAGCATTCTGAAATGTTTTTTTCTCACATACTTAAAACATACATACATACATTCAAACAAAGAGCCTGTCTGATGGTAAGCAACCACTATAGCCTATACATTCGATACTTAGTTTAAAAGGGAAGATACGGCTCAAAATGTACAGCTTAAATTGTGGTGCATGAACACAATTCGCTTAAATCATAATTTGACATTCAAACACGCTGCATGTGTACTCAATATAACAAATATTGCGTATATTCTGTGTTATAAAGATAATTTTAAAATGTCTTTGTTGCTTTTAAAAAGAACAGAAATAGTTCAAGCAGAGGCGGCGTAAGGCGTGGGCGACGTGGGCCACCGCCTACGGCCTCGCGGTACAAGGGGCCTCGCGCCTCAAAAATTTTTGGGGCGCGAGGTCGTTAAAAGCGTTTTTTTTTATAAAATCCGTCTTCAGGTCGCCACAGAACAGGGCCTCGCGAAATCTGTCTTGCCCACATCAAATTTAGGTCTTGCCCCGCAACTGAGTTCAAGAGTACCTAACAAATTCCACGGCAACACTTTACAGTTATAAAACTAAAAAAAAACTCGAAATTCAGTTTGTCATGAATGTTATTTACTTATTCGTCATTTGCTATCAAGAAAAGGACTACAATACAGCTCAGCCGTTTGTAGAGAGGAATAAAGAAACGCAGTCGGTTGCGAAGCGACGCGGACTCGCCCTTTCGCTCGCGCTGCGGTGAAGCGTACAGTTCTGTCTCGCTCGCTTGATTGAATGTTTATTTACAGAAGTGTGCTTGTGTGAGAATTGCGTAGTTGAGTCGGAGCATATTTTATTTGATGCTAGTATGAGCCTACCGTATCTTATACCCTTTTTTTTGCGATACAACAGCACTATATATTGTTTTAAACTTTCATGGTCACTAACATTATAGCTATTAACGTGATTGTTACCAGGTACCTTGTTTTTTATGAGTCTTCGATATTTCGGCACAGTGCCGAAACAGCACCATTACCTAGCTGGCCATATCTGCAGCGGCTGACTAAAGAACAGTCCCCATGCTCATACTACGGGGGACTGGTCTTCAGTCGTCCGCTGTAGATATGGCAAGGCAATGGTGCGATTTGGATTTGCAATAAATTAATAGTATTTATTTATCTGTAAAAATTTCAGCTACATATTTGATGTATGTAGTTTATAAGTTACTGAATAGATCACTGATGTACAATGTTGTGCAAAAGTTATTCTCACTTTTGTTTATAAATTCAAAATTAATAAATACAATGGTGGGAATTTGTTAAAAATGTTGTGTACCTGAAGATGCGGAAGAGTTGATCAATCTCCGAGTCTCCCTGGAACAGGGGCTTCTTGGACGACATTTCTGAAAATATGCAGCCCACTGACCAAATGTCTATTGGGCATGAGTACCTGAGAATAAAGAACCAAAAACAATCTAAGTAAAAGCCACCTTATTAAAGTCAACTACTAGTAACATTAGACAACTTATTGAAGTCAACTAGTAACAGTAGCCAACTTATTGAAGTCAGCTAGTTAAAGTATAGACACTATTTAAGTAAACTAGTTTCGTAAGCCACATTATGGAAGTCAACTAGTTTCAATATAACACTTTTATGTCAACTAGTTACACATAGACACTTTATTTAAGATAACCAGTTACAGTAATCACCTTTTTGAAGTCAACTATACTTCATTCCAGATAACATTAAAAAGAAGTAAAAAAAGGTTCTTTTATAGGTGCACATTTTCAACTCATTGTGGTAATAAATGTTTAATTACGCTTTTGTCAATTTATGCGTGAATTGTACAAGCACAGCCATCTAAACAAAGACCTACATAAAAAAATAACTATTTATTATTTATATTACACTAAGACTCGTTCGAAAACTAAAATATTACTTCACGTTTACTACAAATTACAAAATGGCTCTGTTGAAAAACCCAAAGAAGCAGAGGTTTGCAACCTACATTGAAACGTTTAGGTATAATAAGACCAACTAAAAATAAGGATGTTCGATGATGATTATTGATGATACAGTTGGCGAAATTATGACGTTTTGATTTTACTGGATGGATCATAGTGTCGCTTGTCATCAAATAAGGAACACGCCTTGCTTGAAAAATCTTGTCATTCTCTTTGTTTTTCTTTTGGTGATGCACATACATATAATATATTGTTTAATTTTTTAATTAAAATATGAATGATACGCATGCAGGCCAGGCCCCAGGGACTCTCAAGCTTTGGGTATAGGTCTCAAACTATTCAATAGAACCCGCGGCGAAGTCGTGGTCCAAATATTAATTAAGCACTCTTGCTTTTATCTCCTAAAAAGAAATGACCAAAACAAAGTCCTCTTCACGCATTAGATAAAAATTTGATTTCTTATACATATTTACAAATATATGAAAGAAACTTGGCCAAAGGGTTCAACATTAGAGAAAAGTAAAATTTCACAAAAAAACAGCAGAAGCCACAGGTGCATTTTACCAAATAATTAATTTACTTTTTTTTTGGCACCGGATTTCTCTTCCGGTTTCAAATCACTCCTCTGACTGAATCAGAGTCCTTGTTTATGTTTATTTTAATTACCAATGTTTTGTTTAGTTCCTCTATATGTATTACGTCTGTGTCGTTAAGTATTTAGTTTTTACCAAGAAAAAAAGAAGATTGATTTCGTCAGTTGGATAATGTCATTGATAATATTTTGTATTTGTAATATGGTGGAGCAATTTGTGATTAATATAGGGTAATCGTCATCGTTTTCGGTGTTCTCATCTGGTGGAGGGTATGGTTATATTGAAAAGGGGACTGGTTATATTTTATTATCAATCTACAAATAAGTTTTGCTTGTACTTGATAAGAGTAGTTCCATGTTGGAAATAATAATGAAAAAATAATATTTTTATTATGTTGTATAATTTGACCCAGTTCCTATGTTTGTAGAAAGTCACACAAATAGATAATAATAAATAAATAACATTACACTCCAGAGTATCTGGTAATACATAATATAGGTAATATCAAATATGATTATCATATTTCACAATAATACATGACATGAAAAGGTTTCGAAACCCTGCTTCTTTCAGCTACTTTTTTTAATGTTATCTGGAATGAAGTATACTTACAGTATATACACATTAATTAAGGGCCGATTGTTCAATCTTGAGATAAACAGATAGATAGCTTTTATTCAATAAATAGCAAGGTTTCGAGTTTTTCAACAGTTGGATAAGATTTAACTGTCGAATAACTCTGCTAACTGAGGGATAAATTTATTCGCCGCTTCAACCATCAGATAACCGCGTCATTCGACGAATAGTTTGACATTAACAGTGATTTTGTTTGATGTTATTTTAACAATTACGTTAGGTCAGTTACATTACACTGAACAAAGAGCTAATCATGGATATTTTCGATTCCGTTGATGACTTGGCAATCGAAGAAGAGGGCATAATGAATGAATATTTAAATCCAATGTTCCAAAATATAGTTGCACGTTGGCCTGGATCAACCCATGATTGCATGATATTTTCAAATTCGTGTGCGAAATTCCACTTACAACTTTATTCGCTGGATAGTTATTTGACTTTATATCTGAAGATTGAACAATCGGCCCTATGTCAACTAGTTACCGGAGTTGCCTTATTGAAGTCAACCATATATAAACAGAAATGACTTTATTGAAGTTAACTAATTACAATAGGAACCTTATTAAAGGTAAACTAGTGACAGACAGACTTAGCTACCTTATTGAATTCAATAAATACAGTAGCCAAATTATTATTATGAATTTAAACATCTGGCAGTGTTCTTTGCTAGTTTATTTATACGAAGACAATACATTAAAATAACACAAACTTAACTTTTTCTGGCATTTGTTATATATGTGATTATATCAGGTTATCAGGCTCATTCTGGGGGAAGTCGGGTAGTCAGTGCTTAGTCATTAATTGCGGGTTATTCTTACGATATTCTAGATTCATCAATTTCAACATTACCATGACATTAAACAATGCACTCAATATTTCTCACAATTTTCACTATATAAATGATGCTCAGTAAAAATTTTATTATAATATTTTATTTGTAAGCAATTTATTTATGATGTTTAAATCTAAAAAAAAATTACTAGAAAATCTTCTGTAATGTCTGCTGCCTGGTCTGCATGGAATTTAATCTAGTAAAACCTTCTTTAGATTTAAACTGTAAGATTTATCAATTTTAGGGACCTATAGATTATCTTCAGTAAACCTCTCACCTCTGACTTCCCAGCAATACTTCAGGTGCTCTATACCATAGAGTGACAACTTCATGTGTGTACACTCTTACCGGTACACCAAAGGCACGTCCTAAGCCAAAATCAGCTACCTATTAATAAAACAATAATAATTAATATTTCTTAATTATTTTTTGAATTTTAAAATAGATAACTATGAATGTACAATGTGTTAACTAGCTTTTAAACAACTTGGAAATAGAATATAGATGGACAGGTGTACTGTGCAGCACCTGCATTGTACTGAATCATGTGGGTGCTTGGAAATTGTGATTAATATTATCATAAAAAATAACTCAATAAAAAATACAGACAATTACATTGCAATCAGTACAAAATACATTGGATATGATAAAGGTTTTTTAATATAAATGTGTTCAAGTAGGTAAAATTTTGCCAAATGGTTATTTTTTTCTATAGGATTTCTCTATACTCAAATCAAACTACTTATTAATTAAATAATGCGGCTTAAGTCTGCCAAGTAAATTGATGTCTGAAAACAATGATCACATTCAAAATAATTTCTGAAACTGAATTGCTATATGAATTTATACAAGGGAGAGACATTTTATTGCAGGTATGGAAGCAACTAATACTTTGCTGAAAATCCTGCCCGCGATATGGACAGAACTTATATATTTATGCCAGGATCAATGGCTTAACGTGCCTTCTAAAGCATGGAGGAGATCAAGAAAATAGGTTTTTGGTCATCCATCCAATAACTGACCACTACAAAAGTCACTTAGCTTTCAAGATCGCAGGCTGATTGCGCTAACCACCTGTGCCATCAAGCTTCTACACACATTTAGATAGGGCAAATCTGTAAACATCAACCTTCTTGAAAAGAAGCTTCTCAATGCATACCTTGATAATACCCGTCTTGTCTATGAGCAGGTTTTGGGGCTTGAGGTCTCTGTGCAGTATGGTACAATCCTGATAGGGCTAATCTGTAAACATCAATCTTCTTGAAAAAGCTTCTCAATCAATGCATACCTTAATAATACCTGTCTTGTCTATGAGCAGATTTTGGGGCTTGAGGTCTCTGTGCAGTATGCGGCGCTGATGGCAATATAAAATAGCACTGTTTATTTGGTACAGGTAGCTCTTCACCACCGCCGGCTCCATGAACTGTACAAAAATAAGGTAAGCTATAATGGATTGTGTAAAAAAACATTTTAAGTTGTGTTTAAACAAGTGCCTACAGATTATAATTATGTACTAAGAAATAAAATTTCTATCACAAAGTGGCAGCATCAACTTTAATGAAATATGAATAATATCAACTATTTTTCCGAGTTTATGAGGAGCTTTCTTTATGCAATTGTGTAAATTGATACAAAAGATGGAAAACTATGCCTAACAATACAATCTAGCCAATAACAGAGAAGGTTAACTTTCATAAAACAAGCTAGTACTAAACTAATTTGTTTTTTTCAATAGGGTGCGAGGTGGAGTACACCTCCTCATTCCCAAGTGTAGTCCAATTATATTGCAATAATAATCATAATTATTTGTCTATTTGTTTCGATTCTTCTGCATATTTCTAAACCTTTGCAGTATTTTGTGGAGTTTAGATTGAGCAACTCCAAAAAAGTGATACAGTGCAGCAAATATATCTCAAGCAGATCAGATAAAACTATAAAAAAATTAGATTGGCTCCACTACAGTCATAGTAAATCTAAAAGATAATATGTAAGTTTTACTATATATCCTGCCATTAAAAGGCGAGATACCATAATAAAACATTTGTTAAAAATATGTATTGCAATACTAATAGCCAATTATTATATTTAATACAAAAGAGCCTGAAGAAAACAGATATATAAATAAAATTAACTTTTATTAATAATACATAATAATATTATTAAGCAGGCAATATTAATCAAGTTCTGATAAAGCCAGCACTCTGCTTATATTTTGTTTCTCTTTTGTGTTTCTTCATTTAATTGACTCATTATGCTTAAGATAAATCTGCAATTGTTAAATAAAACTATAAACTATTGCTTACTTTCCCACTTCCAAGAGAGTCCATATATTTCTTTAGGTCCATAGACAGGAACTCGAAAATGAGGTAAAGGCGACACTCTTCCATCAAAACATCTTCTAATTTCACAATATTAGGATGACTTAACTCCTTCAGCAGTGAGATCTCTCTACAAAATATGCCAACACAGTGTAAGGTTATAATATTAAACGATGTAAATAAAAACGTCTAATTTAAAACCAATATAACTGAATACCCAAAATTGTTCAGAAAATAACTATGAAAATAAACAATAAAAACCTTATAGCCGTAGAAGGAATGCCTTCATCTTCCGACTCCAAGCGGATTTTCTTCATAGCCACAAATTGACCAGTTATTTTATTTTTTCCTTTATATACCACACCATATGTACCTTCACCAATTTTCTCAATCTTGAGAAAATCATCCATCTTATATTGCGGAATTTTGTGAGATTGCAAAGTAAACGCGCCCAAAGGAAGCTTGGTCCCTAAACAGCAAAACCGCGTGGAAGGGATTTTTTAGTTTGGTATTGTTTCTAATTAAATCGTCTCAGTGGTATTAGTTAACAAAGGCTATAAAAACAATATTTTTGACACGTTTTATGCAGAAATATTGTAATTTAACGAGAAAACTATTCGGTAATAACGTCTTTCAAACGTAAAGTTTTCAAATTTTTCGAACTGTCAAAATGAAGCTGCCTGTTTGTCAAATAACTTTTTAAATTTAAATGCCGCTTATCATTTTGAGGCATTGGAGTTTAGCCATTCACGGGTGTAGATTCTGCCATGATTCTCTAAGCCTAAACTTAATTTTGATTGTAATTTTCTACATAGAATGATAAAGGAGGGACTGATATTAAATTTAGTAATTCAAAGGCCAAGTAGCGTATAATAACATAACAAAATCTAAAGGGACCGAATATACTTATTACATTGGTAGTTTTCCAATTACAGCATTATAGCGCATTATGCGGCATAATGCTTAACGTTGAGTGTTTCAACTATAGCAACGCTTCGCACAATCGAGTACTCTCAAAAGTAATGCTTTCGTGTGATGTGTCTCAACCAACTCAGTGACAGAAAATTAACAAGTGTTTTTTCTTTAAGTTGGCATTGATCGAAATGTTTTATTTATATGTTATCGTAAGTAATATTATTTATTGTTGAAAAATTATTAAAGCTTTCGTTTCATTAAATAGTTTTTTTTTAAAATAATCAAAGTTCATTCAAACTGTTAAAAAAATAAATAAACATTGACTTTTTTTTCAACACTGAACTTAGCGCACTCTGCTGGTGCATTTGAAAACTAATTCACGTTCCAATAATGCATCAGCATAATTCGGCATTGTGCGCCATTGAGTCGCATTATGCTCTGTAATTGGAAAACAACCAACCAAGCAGGACCAAGGAAGTCCTATTCTTGTAACAAGACTGGTAGCTTTCAAATATAACATTTTAAACACAACAGACTCCCAACATCTATGAAGGATTTAAATTAAATCTGTTTAAACAGAAAATTAAGAAAATGTTAATTGATAAAAATGTTAATATAATGTATCAGAAGTTTTAAATGACAAATTGTGAATTGTTTTGTTTTATTCCAGTATGTTTTTGGTAATGCCAAATTTTATTGACATTTGGTAATTCAATTGCAAGTATGGACATGTATTGATAGTTCTTTAGGTATATTAGATTATTATATTGATTATAGAATATTGATTAGTAAGTATTGAAATACATAGCTCTGCACCGTTAATCAAATAGTTAACTTCGTTAATCGTTAATCTGTTACTAGAACAATTAACTTCGTTAAACTTTATATTTCGGAAGATTTAACGCAAGTTAACGTTAATCGTCAATCCGTTAACACGTGCTAAAAATTGCATTTTTTATATCCTTGTGTTAGTAATCTGCTTACAAATACCGTTGTTTTGGGTTCTGGAAGTTAATAGGTTAGGTTTAACAAAGACAGTGTATAAATATATAAAAAAAATAAGTGTAATTTTTTCATACTCAGGTAAGTATCTGCTCTCCTAATCTAGATACAAACCTAATATAGCCACTTAAATGTGTCCACGGATTTTCGTCCGTAAAGGAACTGGACGAATCCATGATACTTCTGGCTTTAATTTACACAGAAAGTACTTACACTCTTATAAATACACACAGTTCACAAAAGCAAATAATCAAGGACGGTACCCAAAAAGTACGTAGTATTTATCACTTAAAACGACCAAAATACTCGTCACTCGTAAGCGTCTCGCCATTAATAAATAACAATAATAATAAATAAATATTTTTAACACACCTGTTAGCCTAGCTCCAAAGTAAGCACTGTAAGGCTTGTATTATGGGATACTAGGGTAACGGACAGAATACATATAATGTACATAAATAAGTATATTTATATAGAAATACATATTAAACATCCATGGCTGGAGTACAAATGCTCGTATTCATCCCACAAACATCTGCCCCCAACGGGATGCGAACCCGGTACCTCTCAAGTCGGCGACACCATGAAACCCGGCGTACAAACCACTCGGCCACGGAAGTCGTCAAAAGGAAAAGTTATGAATTGAAAAGATCACACTCGCCGCCAATACATGCCTACATAGTTTCAACACGCGTCGGCGCCGCTCTGCCCAAGCGAACGTACTTGTTAGAACGCGTTTTTCTCTTTTTTTTTACGCGCGGTGCCTGCTGTATCTTTGTGGTAAATAGTAGGTACTGGATTAACGATTTATGGATTTAGGATAATTTAACGGAAGTTAACCAGTTCGTTAACAAGTTTTAAAGTTAACTTAAAAATTAATTCGTTAATAGAAAAGTTAACTTCGTTAATTAACGGATTAACGAGTTAATGGTGTCGATTCTGGCGTGATTCTCTAAACTTAAAACTAAAGTTAACATCAGCCTCTCCTTTTCATTCTGTATAGAGAATAACAGGAATGCACTGTTGTCAAATTTAAGTTTAGGTTTAGAGAATCATGCCAGAATCGACATCACTGCCCAGCTATGTTGAAATATTCTTTAAAGTATTTGCCCAATTTGTTGTCATTTTTCATTGTATTGTCAGTGGTATCGATTCTGACATGATTATCTAAACCTAAAACTAAATTTAACATCAGTCTGTTGTCAAATTTAAGTTTAGGCTTAGAGAATCATACCGGAATCGACACGACTGTTGTCAAATTTAAGTTTAGGTTTAGAGAATCATAACAGAATCGACACCACTGTTAACATTTTGATTTTTGTAATTTAGATCTTATAATAATAATATAAGAATATAAATAATAATTCATTTGAATGCCGATAGTGGCACGACATGTTGTATCAATTAAAATTTAATTCTTTCTTTCTTAAAATCGATTTTGTTTTTCCATTTTACATTATCAAATGCAAAGAAGCCGACCGGGTACAGTGAAGTAGTCAGTCATAATTTAAGTAACACATCCTTTGTTACGTTCTTTAAACATACCATACCCAAACATAATACACATGTTAAAAAAAAAATCTTTATCGGTTAAGTGTTTAATAATTTTGTGCAAATTATAATGAATCTCATATAAGTTAAGAACATAACTACAAAAAAACAAACAACGTTGTCGGAAAGGCCCTGAAGCACTTCCAGCGTCAAATTTTAGTTGATTCGTCGCTGGAATATCTTGGCTATGGTGAGTTTTTCACAATTTTGGATTTTCACGATTTACTGATGTCGATTCTGGCATGATTCTCTAAAGCTAAACTTAAATTTGACAACAGTGCATCCTTGTCATTCTCTATACATAATGAAAAGAAGAGACTGATGTTAAATTTAGTTTTAAGTTTGGAGAATCACGCTAGAATCGACACCACTATCTAGTATATATTTTTTGTATCGTTGTACTAATTTTTTGAAGATGCGCCCCTTTCTTATTTTGAGAATCCCCATGAAACTGTATCCTATGTCTCAGCCCCTCTAGCATGAGCACCACGATATGATATATAACGCGTTTTTCTCACCGTCAATTGACAAATTAACACTTGTACGCAATAAAAAACATGATAATGATAATGTAAATTGAGCTGTTTATGCTACGGCGGAGAGTACAGCGACAGCTCATAAACTATATGTGTATCAAATTTCATCCAAATCCGTTCAGTACTTAATTTTTTCTTATCTTTCACATTTATAATGTTGGTGTCGATTCTGGCACGATTCTTTAAATCTAAACTTAAAGGAGAATGGTCATTTTACTTTGGGAGTTGGGCTAAGTTTTTTTCATTGCGTCTTATTGGAATAAGTGTACAACAATAGGGAATCAGGTGTATATTGCGTAGGAAAAATATCATTAGAAACTTAAGTAGTGGTTTAAAGAAAATATTAAATTACGTAAGCATTTTAAGGTTATGTCATATTTAGATTCGATTAAATTCGATATTTATACCATACTTAATTATTACTAGGTATACTACTTTAAACTGTATTTAATTAGGTTGTGACCTTTTGTCTTCTATTTTGGACTGGGAGTGAAACAAAAATTGAATGCACTTCGTAAAATCTTATCAACGGGCAGCGTATATTTGTAAACTGTTGCGTTGGTGAGCTGCTATCTATCTCTATTTATTCCAAACATCTCAGATTCAATAAATGTGGCGTTGTTGAGGTGCGGTTATATTAGTGCTATTTATACTTATTCTCTTTACGCTCAAGCTGCACCTTTGATGCTCTGTTAACCCAATAATGGATATAATATTATTTAAGGTTTAGGAATCAAAAATAAATAAGACAAAATATTTTAATAATGATAATCATTTATTGATAACACATTTATCCAAATCGACATTATTAATGTGATATTTTTATTTTATATTTTTGGGGTTATGCCGTATCCAGTGGAACTGTAGTGACTTCGCCTAAAATATCTTTTGTATCTCGCCACCATGTCCTGTTGAGTTTGAAATATCCAGTTAAAGCTCTGCTAAGTTCAATTAACACAGCAGTTTATACATTAAGCGTGCTCTAATCCTGGTTTATATATTGCCTTTTTTTAAAAAAGAATTGACTTATATACCTTCTTCAAATACCTCATCTAAAAATGTAGCTGGAGCATGTGTATCGTTAAATCGCCCCCAGTTTAATATCATTTGGTAAGATTGGATTACCAAACAATCCCTCCGGGATTATTTTATTTCTGCTGGCCACTTGCTCCACATTTACAAAGTTACATGACCAAAGCCCAAATGTCTTGACACAAAATCTTCTAACTAAACAATTTCTAGCTATATTCATTTTGCTCTCCAAGGTCCTACGAGACATTTGAAAGAGGGAACTTAATCGTTCATTGCTGTCCCCAGTTCTTAACTTGACTATGTAAATACAGAGTGCTAAACGGGGATTTTTGACACTCTGTAATAAGCTTGGTACACATGCCAAGAGTTCATCAAACTGTTCAGCATTCATTCCCAGCCAATAATGGCATAAGAAAGGAGCCATTGCAGAAATATTTTCAAAGTCGAAACAATGGGAAACTGCTCTCTGCATTATATTCAAAATGGCATCAAACTGTACACCAGTAAAATCTTGCAGATTTGATGTTAAATCACTCCAACGCCCATTATTCAAGTGATGTTGACATATTCTACAACATGTGGGAACATAGAATTTATTATGTATTAATAACATTTCTCTTATTACTCTGGGTACTAATAAACATTGTTGTTCCCGGCATCCTGAAAACAGACAACTCGATGAAGTGGCTTCAGCACGCTTATATACTGATGACTGTATCTTAGGTATAACAGGTCTTGAGCTCTGAACAGGTAATAGACCAGCGGGAAATGGTGGTGGTACTGGGATCACTGGTACAGACTCTGTTGGTTCTACATCAATTTGTTCAATTGATGACCGATTCGCATCATGTGACTGTTGCCTTTGCACTTCCCTATTAGCTGCTTGCCAACAGGCAGCACAAACTCTTGAAATTCTTGACACCTATAAAAAAGATAAGTGAACTTGAATTTAATGAAAAACCATCTACAACTATTTTATGCAATAGAAATATATTTCTTATAATAATAATAATAAATCATTTAACTGACAAGATATGGTAAATTATACAGATCTCAAAAATATAACCAACATGACCTGTCGCTTTTATCAACATGCAAATACTTATAGGTACTTGCAGTATTATCCAGAACTCAATCTTTAAAAACTATATATATTATTTATATACCATAGTCATGATTGAGTTAGTTATTATATAATCAATTTCATTAATATACTACATGACAATTGTGCAATGTAAAAAAAAATGTCAGTCATGTTTCAGTTAGTATTGAAATCAATTTAAATAAATTATTATTAATATAACATTTCAATCATGCAATGCAATAATAATGATAATGTCACAGTCATGTTTTAATTAGCATTGAAATCAATTTTAATAATTTATTATTGATAATAATATCTTATACCATACCTGATGTGCTGGAGTCCATCTAAGAATAATATTTCTTTCTGGACAGTGTAGTGAAACCCTGTACGATCGACTTCTTAATATGGATTTTCCACAACAGAATCAGGTGCGATCCATGAGCTTAAAACATTAAGCATTGAATTGGATAGCATGTCCAAAGAATGTACTGGCTGTCGTCGTGGCACTGTTAACAGTTAATACAACGTCGTTGCATACTGCCTGCGTTTTCTTGTGTAACACCAGATGCCATTGTAAACAAAAATAATTACAATGAACTAAGAGTCCAAATATCTCTGTTAGAATCACTAAAGGTAACTTAACACTAAATCAACGAGTCCAATGCTCTCTTTCCCAAAAACAGTTATTAACGGAGGATTATCAACTCAACATTAAAACTATTCTGCCACAATAGACCACTGAAAACACAAATTCAATTCAAAATTGAAAACTGCACCGGAACAAACAACAAACACGTTGACAACAAGTTGACAGCTACCTACTTCACTTGCCTATGGTATATATTTCGATTTGATTCTATAGGAATCGATTCCTACACAATCGATTAATAAATGTTTTATTTTTCAATGCAAATGCTTAAAATGTTCAAACCATGAGTTAATTTATATATGATTAAGTAATTATATATAACATAACTGATAATTTAAACAAAAATATATTCCCTTTTTTAATCTAAGATGTGAATATGTAGAGTACACATATAAAAGTTTTTGTATGCGATCTACTGTTTGATGAACAAAATAGTCCGCAGACAAAAAATCCTCTTTTGCGCAGCCCATTAAGTTCCTTTTAGTTTTTAGATGCAATGAAAGAGAGCAATCCCTGGTAGGTACAGTGACATTGTCACAACACAGGTCTTACAAATGATAACTTTATGAATTTAATGTTATTCATCATGATATAATATTGGTAAAAATGCTCGTATCCATCATACAAACATTTGCCTCACCGGAATTCGAAACCAGGCCCTCTGAATAGGCGATTTGGGGAAAATAATCTATCCATCGATCCATACAAAAATCAAACAACTAGCATCGAAGACCTCAAAATAAAAAATGACTACGAATTAACGAATGATCATTATTTCGTAGTCATTTACGGTGTTTGGTAAAAATGTTTCAGGCTATTTACAATTGTTCTATGCTTTCAATTATAATAAACGTTTTATTTTTTCTTTTTGAAGTGAAACTTCTTTACGCACTCTTGACTTGGGGAGTAAGCTAGCGAACGTAGTGTGATCGGGCGAGGCGAACGGGAGTTGAGTGGGGGATGTAAGCATGAGAAAGCAGTGCGCGTGCACATTTTCTTTCTCTCTTCCTCTCATAGCCAAATACGTTCCGTATATCTAAGCACAGTGCAAGCCTTTTGTCTGTATCACAGTGTAGGAGCAAGAGCGCGCGCACGCATTTTCTTTCTCTTTTTCTCTTACAGCTAGTAAATGAAAGAAGTTTCACTTCAGTTGTGTAGTCATAAGCACACTCGTTTTTTATGTTAAGAATATTTAAATAAAGAAATATAATCGATTTTTTTTCCTACGATCGATAGTATCGACCAGGTGATACAACTTTTATCTATGGTTATTGGTTATTTACTCAGTTTAATAGCCATTTATTTATTATTTTAAATATCCGCATAATATTTACATAATAAACACACATATGAAATGATAATTCAGAAGAAGATTTTTGATACATAAATGCGTCAAGCGCAATCTAGGCGGATTTGCCCATTCTCCTTTGACAACAGTGTTTCCTTGTCATTCTCTATACAGAATGAAAAAGAGAGACTGATGTTAAATTTAGTTTTAAGTTTAGAGAATCACGCCACAATCAACACCACTGTAAATGTTTAACAGATTTCCTGAAATTTATCAGATCATATCTTGCACTTTTTTTTGCCCTCTATTTCACGTATGGATATATGGACGCATGTATTTATTTATTTATTTATCTTTAACAAATATGTATGTATGTTAATAATTACAACAAAGTAAACAGATTGTGAAGTTAATCATTAAATATATCGGTATTTGAATCGATATACATGTCTAGTGATGTAATTACGATTTAGTATGTTTTTTGGGGGTATTTTCTTAAATTATAATCTGGTCACATCGCATATGTCACTGTCAGTCAATTTGGCATAAGATGCTATGCGTAAAAATAGGTTATGTTTTGAATTTTTAAATAAAGTTTTAACAACTTCCTATATTTCGAAGTTTGTGTAATTTTCAGTTACATCAGAATAGAGCAACCAATCCAAAAATTCAAGTCTGGCGAAATACTCAAAAGGGCACTCTCAATATACTAAAAGAACAAGAAGTTCGTGTATATATTTTGTTTACGTTTTACTGGAGTGATAATAACTACATACCTACAAAAATCACTCACCTTGAAATGAAATTGGCTGTTTGCTACTAAGATATCTATCAATCAGTAGGTTCTAAGTATCTTTTACTGTTACTTAAACTTATCGCCCCACTATCTTTAGAGTTAAGATCATCGAGATGGCTGGAAAAAAAATAAGTATTAAACTCTCCAGTGGTTGTGAAATGCCATTAATTGGCTTGGGTACTTATGCGGTAAGTATAATTTTATACAATTAAAAACCTAACATTTGCGTCCATGGACTTTAATAAGTCCATGTTTCCGTCGAAGGTCAATTTAAGGTTGTCTACCAACCGTATTTAATACCTTAATAAAATACCTCCTAATGGGAATTAAATATCGTTGTTGTCTTTACCAAAATTTATTCAATTTCAAGCCTCTGACAATAAAATGGAAAATAAAGCTTTTGTAGAAAGTTGTTGCTAATAATTATATGTGACAATTTATTATTACCATGGCCCAATCTCCCTATTCCATCCATAGAGAAGGCCTGTGCCCCAGCAGTGGGGACATTAATAGGCTGATGATGATGATGATGATTATTACCATATGACTGTTTATATTTTAATATATATTTGTAATTTGTCTGAAATTTCTCATATAAAATAAAATAAACCTTCACAGTATGCTGGATAGTTCAAATTTAGGTTCACTGTAATTTTATCAGTTATTTAGTTTAATTTTAACAATTTTGTAGCGTAAAGCTGATCCTGCTCAGTTTCGGGAAGCAGTTGAATGGGGAATTGATGCTGGGTACAGACACATTGATACAGCATCTTCTTACAAAAATGAAGAAGAAGTGGGTGAGGGAATAGCCAATAAAATCAAACAAGGGATTGTCAAAAGAGAAGATCTTTTCATAACAACTAAGGTATAATTATAACTACCTATAATTTGAACAATAAAATTTATTGATGAAATACTAACATTGTAGTAATTTAATAATCTCTTATAACTTGTCATTTATCTTATGCTTCTGTTAGAATTTTTGTAGAATAATTAAGAAAAAGTTTTGTAATATTCTTACATATTAATGGTTTTAAGAATTCAACTATGTATTTCGCAAGCTTTCTTTTGATTACACCATTTTTTATTGAGGGTGAAGTTATGCATAAGTTTTTGGACTAATGCATAAAATAATATAATATAATTTTGGGTGTAAATGGTTTTCAGTTATGGAACGATTGCCATGGAGAGAAAGATGTCATTCCAGCCCTGAAAGAATCACTGAAAAGGCTTAAATTGGACTATGTTGATTTATATTTAATACATTGGCCTGTTTCAGTAAATGTAAGTATATTCAATTACGAGGGCAGGTCCATAAGTTTGCGGAATGGAGGGGTTGGTGGGGGTAGGTTTACTCATCCAGGTAGGCACTAGTTGAGCACCTCATTAAGAGTATATATACCAAGTTTGAACTTTATCGGGTCATTAACTTTTGAATTATCGAACTGCAAACAACTGAATCGGGAAGGAGTCAGCCAGTATGGAGAAAATTGAACACCGCGCCGTTATTAAGTTCCTTACCAAGCAAGGGAAATCTGCTCAGATTCTTTTTCAAGAGCTGTTGGCGGTTTACGCGGACTCTGCCCCTGGTAAAACCATGGTTTACTAGTGGCATGGTCTTTTCAAACAAGGAAGAGAGTCCATTGAAGACGACCCCCGCTCCAGACGGCCAATTGAGGCCACCACACCGGAAATCATCGAAAAAGTAGAAAAACTTGTATTGGAAGATGCCCGGTTGAAGAAGAAGCAGCTTGCAGCAATGATTGGAGTCTGGGAAACAAGTATTTTGAATATTCTACATCATCATCTTGGGATGACTAAGGTCAGATGTCAGTGCAAGATGGGTTCCGAGAATGCTTACGCCACTTCAAAAACGCGAGCGTGTCGAGTGTTCTCGCCAGTTTTTGGAGCTCTGTGGAGAGAGAAATAAAAGAATTTATGGCCCGAATCGTTACTGGTGATGAAACCTGGGTTCACCACTATGAACCTGAGTCAAAGCAAGAGTCGATGCAGTGGCATAAAAAAGGCACACCTCCTCCAAAGAAGTTCAATGTGACACAATCGGCTGGCAAGATCATGGCGACTGTCTTTTGGGATACAGAAGGTATTTTACTGATCGATTATAAAGAACGTGGTGTGCCTATAACGGGACAGTACTACGCTTCTTTACTAGAAAGATTGAAAGAAGCCATCAAGGAAAAAAGAAGAGGAAAGCTGTCAAAAGGTGTGCTCCTTCTGCACGACAATGCACCCGTTCACACGTGCCATGCTGCGACGGCTGCCATTCACCGATGCGGCTTCGAACAATGGAACCACCCACTCTACAGTCCAGACTTGGCACCCAGTGACTATTATTTATTTCCAAAAATGAAGAAAGAGCTGCGTGGAAAAAAATTTGACGACGATGAAGAAGTGATGTCCGCAATTTCGGCCTATTTTGACACCAAAGACAAATCATTTTTTTTCGATGGTATAAACAAGTTATTTGAGAGATCTAAAAAATGTATTAGGGTTAAGGGAGAATATATTGAAAAGGAAAAATAGTTTGGTGTTTAATTTCAACCTCCTTCCCTCTTATTCCGGGAACTTTTTGACCTCCCCTCGTAAATCATGTATTCAATTAAATCAAATATACAAATTAATATAGATTTTGAAATACTCAAGGAAAATAAGTAAATGAAGTTTATATTCCTGCTTCTAGTTACAGAAATTATAATCATTGTATTATGATGTAACTAAATTAAACAATTCAGAAGCTACTTAATTTTTTGAGGGGGGAAATAATTTATTAATCATTTATCTTTGTTTGTAATATACAGAACAAAGGGGAAGACATGAAAATAGATTTTTTGGAGACTTGGAGAGGCATGGAAGCTGCAGTGAAAGAAGGCTTGGTGCGATCTATTGGAATATCCAACTTCAATGAGCTGCAGTTAACTAGACTTCTAAAGAGTGCTATCAATAAACCAGTAGTTAATCAAATTGAGGTGAGTAGTGTTTGTAACCAGAATTTGAATTAGTTGAATAAGTTTTAAAATCATTCCTGTTTGTGTGTCGAGTTAGTTTGAAGTTGATGCATTAGTTTGGAACTATATTTTAGCGGCCTTTGTTACAGAGGAATGCTTCTATATCATTTCTAATTTGTTGTAAGCTTATTTTGTTACAACCGTTTCAAAACAACAAGATAGATTTTGCTTTAATGTACGTAACCTTCTTCCAAAAAACCAAAGTTAATGCGGACTAAGTTGCGGGCGGCCGCTAGTTAAAAAATAAAAATAAAATTTCAAATCTTTGATTCATATTAACACAGTTTCCTTCTTATGAGAAGGCCAAGTGCAATTACGCTTTCTAAAGAAAGCAGCTTTCTTTTGTAAACAAAAGAAAACTGTTTTGACATATTTAAGCGAACTATGGCGCAAGTGGGTCAGGAATCAATTGGTTCGATCGTACATCCCTTATAATGCGATACAAAATATGACGAATGTGAAGTTTCACATTCGTCATATTTTGTATCGCACTATAACGGCTGGTAACTATCAGGGAGCACATCTTTGTGCGGTTTCAGTTTGGAGACATCCCGCGTGCACCTTCATCACCCTACATTTTTGTATAAAGCGCCGCGACTTGCGCTTACTTCACAGCTAGCTTGACTCGCACTCTCATATTCCACCATGATAACATATGACATTTACATGCTATTTAATTCAGAAAACTGAATAGGGAAGATGACTTACTTTTCTCTTAGCCTTGGTTTAAACCTGATGTTGTCTCTGTCTTCTTTTTATCAGAAAAGTGACAAAAGTGAAAAAGTTTTAGTCCAGGTTTAACTTACGTCTATGTTTTGTAATAACCTGAAATAAGTTTAAAATTCTAAAGTCTGTACAACCCATAATAAATTATCTTTGTTACATAATAATGTTGTGGTTGTTCTTGTAATTTTTCAACCTTTCTTTCTCACTCTTCTTTTCATGTACAAATTATGTAGCTTTTTAAGTTTTTTTTTCTTCTTACAGATAAACCCTACACTTACTCAGCATAAGTTAGTGGAATTCTGCAAGAAACATTCTATCGTGCCAGTAGCGTACACTCCCTTGGGTCTCATATCAGAAGCGAGACCGGAGTTCAATGGAAAGGATATCATTAAGACTGATCCAAAGTTGGGCGAGATCGCAGACAAGTATAAGAAGACTCGCGCCCAAATCGCTTTGAGATATCTGGTGAGAATTTGGTAGTTTCCTTAATTTATTGGCACTTTTTAAACTTTATTATTGTGTAAAGTTTGTGATTTTTTTTGTGTGAATAAATACAAGTCTGGATTTGCAGCATTGCAATCACACACACCACATGTTACAAGCATAATCATTCTCTCTCTCTGTTCTTTCACAAAATAGAAAATATAAATAGAATTAGACAATGGCATTACTATAGGAAGTTGCTTCATAAATTTTACTATACAATCCTGTACCTAGGATATTAAAATCAGATTTTTCAATTCTTGCATAAAACTTATCTGTCAGGCAAATGATATGACAAAACATTTTCATTGTGACAGAAATTATAGGTATACTAGCTGACCCAGCGAACTTCGTACCGCCCTAAAAAAATAATGTCCAGCGGACAAAATTGTGAATCTAAACCATTCTCAGATCCCCTTGAACACACACAAAAAATTTCATCAAAATCGGTCCAGTCGTTTAAGAGAAGTTCAGTGACATACACACTCACAGAAGAATTATATATATAAAGATAATCCAGAGATTGAAAATGTTAGAGCCAGGTCAATGATGCAAAAATACAGACTTTCTGCATTAAAATTTAAAATCTATTATTTCAGATTCAACGTGGCATTGCAGTTGTACCAAAGTCGTTCACAAAGTCGCGTATAGAAGAGAACTTGAACATTTTCGACTTTGAGCTTAACAAACAAGAGATGTCTGTTGTCGATAGCTATAACATCGACCACAGATGTGTACCTGGTACGATATTTGCTCAACACACGAACTACCCGTTCTAGTAGTCTAGACACAAATCAAGATAACACAAACTGTAAATTTTTCTTAATAGATATTTCATTTTCTTCTGTGATGTTTCTACGGAGACTTAACCAATATCCGTCCAGTGCTCAATATATATTGTATCTTGTCTCGGTTTGTCTGTTCTTTTTAACTCTGCTTAAGCTGTATATTTTATACTAAGCAACATAAAACTCAAAATCAGTCAAAATTTGACAGTTTTGGGTAACTCGACCTGTCTATATAATATAGTATGCCATATTAACTATTATAATAATGTATAAAGGGTAATGATGCTCCTTTATTGTGATATACCAACGAACAAAGAAACTATTTTTATTATTTTACAAATAAATTGTTGTCATTGGTTGAGTAATTCTTTTATTTTTAAATAGGTAGCTGGTGCCCGCGGCACATCTGTGTAGTATAATTGGTTACCCATACAAAGTTTCATCCCCCCATTAAGATTTATGTTGAATATTGTGTTAAAATAAAAACTATTAAATATGGCAGCTAAATCACAAATTGTACCAATATAAGACGGCAACGGAATCAAACAAACGTTTTATAACCACCATTTTATTGAATAATCAAAAAACAATAAATATAAATTATGTCAACATTTCATTTCAAAAAATATATATATAAAAATAAATTAACCCGGCAAATAAAATTACACGCTGTCTCTGGATTGACCCGTGACTTTGTTACATTGGAATGTTAAGACTTCTCGAGGCAACCATTAATTTAAACAGGGATTATCACCAAATGCACACTCGAGAAATCTTAATGTGAACATTTGTTTAATGTGGATATTTGTTTAAAAAGTTGGAGTACAAAAGAAAATGCATCAAGTAACATACTGTACAAGAGGTAATTATAAAAACTGGATTGTGTAGAGTAGACATATTTCTCAAAAATTACAAATTTATAGATAGTTCTTTACAAATTGAACTTTTAACAATTGCAACAAATTTTAAAACAAAAGTAACAATATCAGCTGTCTCCTATTTGCTACACAATAACCACAATTTTAATTTATTAACAATCATTAAAAAAATAATAGTATTTTATATTTTTTACAAAACATGTAATATTTGTTACAGACACTGTGAAACTAAAAAAATATTTAGTATTTTAATATTCCTGAAATCATTGTACCTATAATCACTAAAATACTATATAGTATTAGGTATTTGTTGATGAATTAAAAGAATATAAGCACGCTCGTTCTCTCACCATGTCAGTTGTTCAGAACATTGCCATTGAATTATGATTCTTATTATCAAAGCAACAAGGCACATCATTTCACATTCAACATCAACATATATCGACAGCAAAATAGCTCTCTAATAATGTTTAATAACCCGTGCCCCCCTAGCATGAGCACCACGATATGTTAAATAACGTGTTTTTATCACGCTTAATTGTCAAATTACTATGGAGTTTGACAGTTAGACGCGGTAAAAAAAGTGATATATAATGTAAATTGTGGTGCTGATGCTACGGGGAATGAGGTGTTGTTAAGTGTATTTACAACGAGAAGCTCTGGAATAATAAAAAGTTTATAAACACAGTCTTTATGAACTTTCTGCGTCATCTAGTACCTATTTTTAAATTCCAACTGTAAATTTCATATCAATTAATCGTTTTGCGTTAATGTTTCAAGTTCATTATTCCACCAATGTACACCACTTTCGTTCCACTTATTAAATTCATCTGATTTATGTTTTAGTTGAACAAAGTTAAAACACGGAACCTCATTGTTTTGAAATTAACCACAGTCGGCATTATGAAACTGACAACCCATAACTCAAATAATAAGTAAATTCAAATTGTACATAAAAACTATATATATGCAAAGTAAATGTGTGAGTCATAAGAATATTTATAACGTTTTTGTATTCATGGTCGAAATAAAATTATCAAATCGACAGTGGAAAAGCATAATCGCATAAACGCCACTTTAGTAAGTTTACACAAACAAGGATCAGTTTTTTTTACCAAAAAAAAAAATACAAACATATTCATAAAATTACATTTTCTAAATTTCCTCCTATTAAAAAGTTACTTAGTGCCTTTACGAATTAGATGTCGCTTAAGCATTTAACTGATCCGTGTTAACTGCTAGATGTTTGAAAAATTCCCACGTAGCAGACGGGATGTTAAGCGAAAATCACTCGGCCCGCCATACATTTTTTGCCAAGCAAACATCAAATCATACGCCAAATAGTAGGGCGTAAGGAATTTGGTTCAAAAAACACCAAAATTGATGTCGCTTCAGCGTTGGGAACAAAAAAATCTTCAAAAAATTGGTTGCTTAAGTAACAAAAAAAAGGAGCCGCAAAAAACTGATTAAAATGATATGATATATAACTCATTTTTGACCAAAGTGGCGTATAAGCGATTTTGCCAATTCACCATCGAAATGAAGAACAGCCTATTTTAACAATAAAAATGTTTTGATCAGAACCTCATTGCCATTTATAGGATATATCCATTCATTTGAGAAATCATATCTCCACTTCATCATTACAAAAATAAAATAATAAATCTCCACTTAAAGTTCATAGCATTCTCATAAAAATTATACTTAGTAAATGTGTACTGATATAAAAGCGGACAAAAAAAAACTTTAAAAATCACAAACTCAACATGCCGCTTGAGCAGCCAACACATAAAACAAAACCCTGATCGATCAATAGACATCCAGCAACAAAAATAAATAAGTTACATTCCATTTTTGTTATACAAAAATATAGTTCTCGATGTGTCAAATACCTACTTATGTCTACTTAAATCTACGAGCTGACTGAAAAAGCTTATTTGTACATTTGTGTTCCTAACGGTCAAAAACTCGAATATTTCTTATCTAATAGTCTTCTCATTTCAGGGCCACTTGAACTAGTCTTCTTAAATAATATAATTTAAGCGGAATCCGGTTCAAAAATTCAACGTACATAAGTTTTCAACATAATTTAATTTCGTCATTATAGAATATTAGTGCAAGTAACCCTAAAAGTATTTAAAGCTGACATTTGACAGCTATTTTGCTAATTTACAAATATATTGAGAAAGCGTTAATACAAAACAACTGATCGAATATTTCGCCGTAAGGTTTCTTTAAACTTCTAGGACATCGGTTGCGCAGTAGTGTATTGATTTACCAAAAACACCACGGTTACACAATTTAATATTAAGAGAGGCGCGTAAGGGAAAAAAGCTTTGTAACAAACAACATGAAGTTAAGCTAGTTTTACCCGAAAAAAAGGAATTCAATTCCAAATTTACAAGTTAATGTAAGTTATCAGATATGCATCTGCAGTTACGTGGTCTCTCAAACTTATTCATTACACGACCAAAATAAGGTAGCGGCACCAATTACCAACAAAAACCAAAGATCTTTCTTTCTGTGATCAATGAAAACAAGAGTAGGCAACCAATCACTAAACATTATAACACTGAGCTCAGGGGGCCAATCGCCTAACTGGATTGCTTTGGAAAACGCTATCGCTTACGATTTCATTTTGTTATTTCTAGCCCCCTGAGGTTTTCAAATGCCTCGCGCTCTTTTTTTTTCTTTTGCATTGGTAATAACAATGTTAAAGAAAATGAGCGTGAGGTATTTCGGCGGTTAGAAATAACAAAATGAAATCGTAAGCGATAGCGTTTTCCAAAGCAATCCAGTTAGGCGATTGGCCCCCAGAGATCAGAAATCAATATAGGTATCTTTATTCAAATTGGATGTATAGTACAACTCTTTTGAATCGTCCATTTTTTCCCTACCACTCGTTATTGAACATATTTTTTAGCTGCAGAAAAAAACGAGCGAAAAAAACTCCACAACATTAAAATAGCTATAGCTATAGACAGTCACCCCCTTATTGATAAACGAGGAATAAGCTTAGACTAGTTACGCCACGTTTTGTACATATCACTCGAATGCTATTTGGCATTCAATGAACAGAGACAAAACACAAAGTAATTAATCCAAGCTGTCTTCATTTATTAATAAGGGGCTCAGTGTTACTGTCTCAAGTGATCGGTTACCTAATCTTACCTTCATTAATCACAGGAGAAAAAAACGATCATTGGTGCTAATATCTTACCTGCATAACATAATCTTATGTTTTTATTTTTTAAGTATTTAACTGCTAGATGTTTAAATCTAAAGAAAAGTTTACTAGAAAAAAATCCACATTTTTGCTAGTAAACTTTTCGTTAGATTTATAACATAATCTTGCTGCGCTCTGTAAATACAAAAGATACATCACCATTCGAGCTGAAACCCTCATCTCCTTCAAAACTCACGTTGCCTAGTGTCCTATTAAGATTATAAAAACGTCATTTCTAAACGCTATCTACTTCCATACCATGTTGAATACGTCCATGATGCTGTCGTATATTGTGAAAGTGATCGCTACGTCGAATACGACGCGGCTGAGACGCGGCACCGTTCCCTTATAGAAGGCGAGCGGTCCTTCAGCCTTCCAAGTTTTGACGAAACAATCCCATGTGTTCTTGTATTTGGTCGCTTCTAGACCTTGCATACGAGTCTTGACCACGTCTATGGGCGTGTTACCGAACACTGATGCGGCACCTGTCCATAGATATGTATAGGTTAATCTTTGTTCCGTCTTGGGAAGTAACCTTCACCTCACAGAAGACAACAGTAAAATAGCACTACTTTTTGGTGGTGTTGTGTTTCTGTCGGTAAGTAAAGTTCCAGAGTCCATGGGGTAGGGGATGGGGTCAGGATAGGCACCGGCGCCAGTGATATTTTTGGTATCGCAAGCAACTATATTAAATACCCTAGATACACCACGTGCGCTCAAAATGTGTCCCAATCAAGAAGTGCTTGAATACCACTCAAGCACTTCTTGATTCACAGTCATGCGCGTACCGTTGAAAAGTCAAGTTGCCGCAGAGCTCCGTGAAAAAATGCGAAAAAAATACTGATAGTAGGTATGTAAAGTGTCGTTTTTTCGACAGGTATCTAATCAATGTTTGTTAATATAACTCATTTGAAGCAAATGTTGTTCTAATACTTGTAAACTGATTTAATAGAAAATATTTGTGATATTCAAATGCATGGTCGGTAATATAGAGCATTCAGAATTGCGCGTAGAATCAAAGAAATAATGTCTATATTCTTCCACATATAGCAATAAATCGTTAATTGTTACGAGCTTGCAATTCGATAATTCATAACTCTTTGACGCATACGTTTTAATTAAGACCTTATACAGGTTGCATTAATGGTAACTTTCAATATTTTAATGTAGCCTTACATTGTTTTTAACTACGCGATCATCTTATGGAGCTCCGTGGATCGTCCAATGTACCTTTTGGACAGGTTTCGGGCACGATTTTGTTCGTGTTGGTGTATCTAGGATATTTAATATTATTGATCGCAAGAGTCTATAGGCTATGGTGGTCGCTTACCATCACGCGGGCTGTAAGCTTGTTTGTCACCTTTTTAACATAAAAAATAGTGTCCATTCTGGCATGATTCTCTAAACTTAAAACTAAATTAACCTGCAGTCTGTCCTTTTCTCTATGTACAGAGAATGACAAGGATACACTATTGTCAAATTTAAGTTTAGGTTTAGAGAATCTTGCCAGAATCGACACCAATGTCTTCTTATGTTGGCAAACAGATCTTAAATGATACCAGCGGTCGCCTGCGATTTCATCCGCGTTAACTTTAGTTTTTCAGATTCCCACAGGAACCTGTCATTGTCCGGGTAAAAAGAATCGTATGCCTCTCAATCTAGGTCATAAACTATATGCATACCAAATTTCATCCAAACCCGGTCAGTAGTTTTTGCGTGATTAGGTAACAAATATACAACCCTACAAACTTTCACATTTATTATTATAACTAAGATCAATTACGTTACACGAATTTCATAAATATTGGCCCTCCCCCCTCGCCTTTATCAAAGTTGGTCAAATTTGTTAGACCCCCCCAGTCTGACGTCACATATGTTGCATTTTTACATTAAGAAATTACGGCCGCAATGAGTTACTTCAAGAATAAGACAGCACGTCACTTTGAAAGAATCAAATTGAAAAATGACGTCTCTGGGTTTAGATCGATAGGAATTTAGTTAAAGTAATGAACCAGCGCAGTGCAAAGCGCTTGAGTTACTGATGCAGTAGAAATGAGTAAACTATGCCTAATTGGAAGTCATATTTACCTCGAAAAGATCGATGGTGCAAATGGTTAGCGCGATCATTGAAGTTAAGCAACTTTCGGAGTGGTCGGTCATTGGATTGGTGACCAAAATTTAATATCTCAAACTCCTCCGTGCTTTAGATGGTACGTTAAGCGATTGGTCTCTGCTGCATCTGCAGTCGTTAGCACCCCCGAATCGGCACTCCCCACGCGGTGTGTCGTGGCCCAATCTCCCTATTATATCAACAGGCAAGGCCTGTGCCCCAGCAGTAGGGACGTTAATAATAGGCTGATGATGATTTACCTGCGATGCCACCGAACAAGCCGACGATGTATTTAGGCACTGGCTTGTCTCTGTCGCCGCCCTTGTACCAGTCACGCAACGATTCCATCACGAAGAACCTGATGGCCTGGTTGCTGCCCTGCTTCATGATAGTGGCTGTGACACCCTTGTACACGCCTCCGAAGCCTGGCAAAAGAAATAAACAATTAAATATTTAAGTATACAATGGTGTCGACTCTGGCTAGATTTTTTTTATCCTAAAAATCTAAAGTTTAAAGAATCACGCCAGAATCGCCACCAGTAAGAAAGTTCACCAAGTATGTTTTTGGGTGCAATACAACTTATTTAGCTTCGTGAAATGAAGCCTTTTAGCATAGCACCATTTAGCAAGTGTCTGCGAATTTCTGTGTGGAATTAATTGGATTTTCTCTGAAAAAATAATCATCCCTTATTGATTTGGTATCATTTTCAACACTGTTGTAGAGTACCTATGCTTTTGAAGGTCAATTTGTAGCAAAGTGTAATCACGGGAATTTTGAGATAGGCCACTTTCATTCTAATAGTGCGATGTGATTGATAAAAAAAGAATAAAAAAGCGCTAAACCTATGCCCCCTTACCCGTAATCCTTAACTTGACAAAGTTATTATTATTAATTTAATTTTATGGAGTGGAGTATATATCCAGACTTTTCGGCATATTCAAACAATTAACGGAGTGCTTTGGCGAGTTTCAAGCAAGATACGGTCAGCGCCCTATCTCGCACGCTTTAGATTTTCACGCAACTCTCATTCGTAAGTGACTTGTGTTCTCATAATATTCTATATATCGTATCGAATGCGCACTACGTGATATTACAGATAACAGTGTCACGGTCGCACAGCTTGACTACTCACATACCTACAAGTGACATTGCAGTGGGAAGGATGTGATAGGCACCTGTTACATCACCGATGTGCAGCGAAACTATCTATATAGACGTCGTTAATCACATTTTTTTATATATTCTTTTCTTATATGGTGGTAACTACAGGTCTTTTATATTATTATATTTTTATTTATATTATTTTATAAAATTATTAAAGACCTGATGTGGATTATGATTCTCTCCAAATAAATACAAATAGAAAATGTAAAGGAAGGACAAAACTTGCTGAGTTTCTTGCCGGTTCTTCTCAGACAAGGCCTTCCGGTAGACTCTTGAACCGATGGTATCAAATTTGACTTTCATAAGCGTGCAAATTTTACCTAAATGAATAAAGAAATTTTATCTATATGTTTTTTACTTAAGAAACAGGCGGATAGCTGTATATTTAGATCTCATCATGTGTGCACGAAAATTAGACACAAGGTCCAGTTGCAGAAGAAAGATATGTTAATAGAAGGTAACTATTAAAAATTGAAATTGCTAACTGTTCATACTGGCTGTTGAAAACACTCTTCATCGTAGCGTAGCAAAGAGTTTCAAAAGTCCTGTGATGTTTGCTAAATCACTTGTGATCTCGTATAAATTAAAAATCGCGGACTATTGACTCACACTGATTGTGGAAAACACTCTTCATCTCTTCATTCACATAATGTTTTAGGCAAGAGTTGTCCGCACGATGTTTCAAGGCCCTTAGATGTTTGCCAGATTATTCCCGCTTTCCAGTTTTGTTCATCATCATTAACCGCACTGGTGGGTTACAAGCCTTCCCTATGCAGGGTCGGGTTAAGAGATGTGGTGGCCATGTGGCAACAAAGGAGTGAAAGCCCTTTACGAGGGCATATTTTTAAATTTGGTACCTGGGGTCAATTACGATTAGCACCTCCTACGCCTGGTTGGTGACTTGTATGTAGGGTAAACGGGTCATATGGACCTATCACGCGTGCCCTGTGCGGTTGGTGACCGCTAAAATCTCGTTTTATTTGTCGCTCATTGCTTGCTTACGATGTTATAACATAAAGGCATTACTCAGCTGAGGAATAATTTATTTAAATTTATACTTTTACATAATCGACGTCAATACAATGTAAAACGGCTTCTGTTTAATGTTCGGTTGTAATGCAGGAGGCTGGAGGCATATTTTGTTTATATTTGTATCGTTGTTAAAATATCGTATTTATTGTATGTAAGTATGTATAATTTCTGCAAGGTACAGGGGTACAGTGAGGCCTTAAATACAGTTATCTATCATACATCTTTATTAGATAACCATTCTTATTGCAATGTAATAAGACACACGATTCTTACATATTAGTAACACACTAACTTGGGTTTTCGATGTTCGTTTATAAGCAATTATCATCTTAAAATTTAAGAGATCACGTGGTAGCGTAATGGCATATCTTAGCACGTTTTTATTTATTTATTATTTCTTTTTAACGACCGCATGTAGATATGTTTTAGATATTATTAACATTGGACAGAATTCAAGGACTGCCTATTTCGGTGAATGCTTCGTATATTTTTCCAAATGAAATTGTCAGCTACATATTATGTAAGAGGTATAATGATTATTCTATACCCCCTCGTCTGTTATAGGTGGATGATTTCTGCCACGAGTTGAGAAATTTGTGTTGAAAGCGTTTTATCATATTAACTAATGGTTTTTAATTTACACATCTAACATATAGACAAGTTTGTAGAGAAACTATTCAGGATTGATTTAAGACATTAATGTAGCCTGGATGTACTTACAGTAGAACTCGAATAATAAGAGGATTTTTTTCCGGCCGTGAAAAACTAAGTGGAAGGCTACAAAGACCAGGGAATATATCTGTTGCATGCAAATTATCAAGCATGGCTGAATGACACATAGATCTCGAGAAAGATATTTCTGTGCATCTTCCTTACGTAATCTTCAATAGTAATAACCCCTTAGAATAGTAAAACATTTTGTGTGCACTATATGTCGGTGAGACAACTCTATAGGTGTTTATTTTGGGAATGCCTTCGTAAGTTATCGTGTGTTTGAATAAGTCAACCAATGATGGACAAGGAAGGACGCACGAGACATTTTACTCTAATTTTTATTTTCTATTACATATTTAATTCTTATCTAACGCAGGATTTCGAGTGATATAATGAATACCAACTCAGAAAAATAACAGATTAAACGGACCTGCGAACCTGTAATTTTTGCTCAAAGACATCTTAACGAAATGTCGCGCCTTGGAAGTGTTACGTAGGTATAATATACTGTGGTGTTGCTATGAGAATATAAAAGACTTGTGATATTTTTATCTTTCGATCTCCACTTCTGTAGCTTGATCGATATACTAAGTATTTCTTAACATAAAACGAGGTAAGTTATCAGTTTTGAAAATCTATAATTTCCTTGTCAACATTTCTACCACATCTGATTTTAGTTTCTACCCGCATTCGATTTGAGCTTTTAATTGAAAATATTTGATGGAGTCGTGATATGTGCCGCCCGAATTCGAACTATATTGTTCTACCCGTAGAGTAGAGAGAACCTTAGCAATTAATTAAACACACGATTTACTGAATTTTTACACTATTCTTGACGCGTCAGATCCTTTTGAGTGTCAAGTATTTTTATGTGTATGCAGGCAAACTAGCTCGCATTCCACTCCACCTGATGGTAAGTGGTCACTGCCGCCCTCAGACACTTGCAGCATCAAGGGTACCACTCATACGTTACCGGTTCTGAAGAAAAAGGTTTACCAATCTTTTGAAGACTATCGTATCATAGCTACTCTTAGCCTCTGGAAAACCGCAAGGAAAGTTCGTTCCAGATCTTTCTGGTACGCAAGAAAAAGGGACAGTTACAATGTTTTTTGAAGAACCCTCCTCTCTGACGATCGTCCTGATGCCATAGAAGAACCCTCTGAACCTGGTTCTCTCCATACGCATGTCGTTGATGAATTTCACCTTCATAGTCTCCATGGGTGTGACCCATTTATAAAGCGTCTTAGTGTTCGTAAAAGTTCAAGAAACAAGCATTGTTAAAGTTTACTCACCCTCCTCTCTGACGATCGTTCTGACGGACGCCATGGAAGAACCCTCTGAACCGGGGTTTCACCATACGCATGTCGTTGATGAATTTCACCTTCACAGTCTCCAGGGGTGTGACCCGTTTATAAGGCATCTTACTACATGACTGTGTGCGTGAATTTTCAAGAAACCAGCATTGTTAAAGGTTACTCAACCTCTTCTCTGACGACCGTCCTGACGCCATGGAAGAACCCTCTGAAACTGGGTTTCTCCATACGCATGTCGTTGATGAATTTCACCTTCAAAGTCTCCATGGGTGTGACCCGTTTATAAAGCGTTTTTTATATGATCTGTGTGCTTGAAAGTTCAAGAAACAAGCCTTGTTAAAGGTTACTCACCCTCCTCTCTGACGATCATCCTGGCGCCATGGAAGAACCCTCTGAACCGGGGTTTCACCATACGCATGTCGTTGATGAATTTCACCTTCACAGTCTCCAGGGGTGTGACCCGTTTATAAGGCATCTTACTACATGACTGTGTGCGTGAATTTTCAAGAAACCAGCATTGTTAAAGGTTACTCAACCTCTTCTCTGACGACCGTCCTGACGCCATGGAAGAACCCTCTGAAACTGGGTTTCTCCATACGCATGTCGTTGATGAATTTCACCTTCAAAGTCTCCATGGGTGTGACCCGTTTATAAAGCGTTTTTTATATGATCTGTGTGCTTGAAAGTTCAAGAAACAAGCCTTGTTAAAGGTTACTCACCCTCCTCTCTGACGATCATCCTGGCGCCATGAAAGAACCCCTTGAACCTGGGTTTCTCCATACGCATGTCGTTGATGAATTTCAGCTTTATAAGTCCATGGGTGTGACCCGTTTATAAAGCGCCTTAGTGTTCGTAAAAGTTCAAGAAACAAGCATTGTTAAAGTTTACTCACCCTCCTCTCTGACGATCGTCCTGACGCCATGGAAGAACCCTCTGAACCGGGGTTTCTCCATACGCATGTCATTGATGAATTTTACCTTCACAGTCTCCACGGGTGTGACCCGCTTATAAAGCGTTTTTATATGATCTGTGTGCTGGAAAGTTCAAGAAACAAGCATTGTTAAAGGTTACTCACCCTCCTCTCTGACGATCATCCTGACGCCATGAAAGAACCCCTTGAACCTGGGTTTCTCCATACGCATGTCGTTGATGAATTTCACTTTAACAGTTTCCATGGGTGTGACGGCAAAGATGGCTTCGGCGACGCCGGCGGCGAGACCGCACGTCAACTTGCCAGTGTTCGATAGGGTGCCATCTTCCTTAAGCATGTACTGTTTAGCCTGTTCGAACACTCCGAATCTGTGGACGAAAGTTTTTTTTTATTTATGCTATCTGGCTCTAGACCAGAATCCAAATTGGCCTTAGAATTTTAACCACTTTTGTATGATTGTTAATAATCACAATTTTTTAGTAATTATACTTTTCTTATATGTAATAACTTTGTAGAGATACTATTCTGTATTGTATTAGGTATTCTATTAAACAGTTATAAATTGTCGTTTCCATGTCATTCTGAAGGACAGTGTTAGTGCACTTGGACACAGTGTTGCCTAAAGTTACTTTCTGTTGCGAAACCGTTAACTTGAAGTAACATTTTATTAAAACTTTAACGCACTGTAAGTATTTGTAAGATAGATTGTATATTTATAGCTTTTTTCATTTTCCCTGATAACATTAAAAAAACGTTGCGCCGCTGAGTTTGGATATGATGCTTGTTGAAAATAGGGCAAACTTACATAATATGATAAGATCATGTAGGTAGCTTATGCATATTGCGCAAGAAAATAGATAACAAATGCGTCATACGTAAATGACGATAACGTCATTAATGTAAAAGTAATAAACGAAATTCCCTGTAAATACCAGTGTCACTACCTATTTTAATGTATTCTTTAATAAACAGGGATAAGCTGTTATTATTTAATGAAGTTTAATGTTTTGTTGCCCGCAGCAAACGTCCAATTTATAAGCGTACTGCGTTTATAAAAGTGACGATACTATCCGAGTTCCGATTCCGTCCAAATATTTGGATACGTCGTGGTATCTAGTATAGTCTTGCGCATAGATTTCTTATCTCTTCCAAACGTTTCGGTTAATCTTATAAACAACTTGGAAGCAACTTCACACAAGTACCTAATATTCCGACGATGAAATAGAGTTCCAACCGTGAACAATATTATTAATCGATATTTATTTATATTATATTCAAAACTTATCTAGTTATAATATCGTCATTCTATTTGACGCTGTATTATTAGCTAAGCTTTTCAACTCAATGTTATATAATACCCATTGACACAAGTTAATAATGGTAGTCGTTTTCAGACGTAACTAGCCAATTGAATGTAATGTTAGATTCATGCGCATAAATTGTACACGCGCTTGTGTTTATAATAACTCCTACAATTTGCAACTTATCTCCAATTTCAATGGTGTGTAGAATACACTTACCTAGTGGTTACAAAATTCTAGCGAAATTATTGTGTGTTTTCAGTTAAATACATATTTGTAAACTTTTGAAATGAATTTACTGTATGTGTGCACTTGTCACCACAGTAACTGTCTTATTAAGTAGTTAATTTATGTTTTTGTTGCAATTGCAAAAGATAATTTAACACTACATTTATCTAAGATATGATAAATATTTTATACACGAATTGATGACTTTGTCATATTAAAAATCCGATTACAGTAGGCTTTTACAGAGAAGCTGTTTAATCTTATGACATCATCTTCATCTCGTATACAAATCTTTGTTTGTCCGTGAAATTATCCAAATAAAAAATCTTATGTCAAGATAATGTCAACAAATTCCAAGTCCCCCATACAAATATTATTCTTATTTGACTTGTTTTTTTTTCTTAATGGGTTTGCCGATGCGCTTGACTGCAAGAGGCAGAGATCTAGGCTATAACGATAACGCCTAAGTTCTTTTCGAATAATGAGCAGTGCTTAACCGTTCCAGTCGAATTAATCTATGTTATAGTAATTCAAAATAAATATTGTTGTGTTATCGAGCCCTGTCATTATTATCAGAAGTCATACAGAAAGTAATAGCAATATCGTGTGAAATTGAGATAGAACCGTACAACTTAAGTCGTTTATATTTGCCACCTAAGGGTGCGGCCATAGTGCACTCAGATTCAGATTCAGATTCTGAAAACAAGCGCGAGAAATAAACAGTGTAGTCTAAGCAGGTTGCCTGCTTTTTCTCGCGCTTTGTTTTCTGAGTCTGAATCTGAATCAGGAGTGCAATCTGGCCGTACCCTTCGACTACACTGTTTATTTCTCGCGCTTGTTTTCGGAATCTGAATCTGAGTGAACGAATAGACTCTATGGGTGCGGCCAGGCACCCATAGAGTCTATTCGTTCACATGGACGCCTTTTCAAGGTGTATTAAGAAGCTATGAAATAAAACCAATGGGTGTGCCCGCCCCGTACTGTTTTGCCCTTAAGCCTCGATGACACGGGGCGAGTTTACAAGCTACAAGCCAGCGAGTTTGCTAGCAGCTCGTAAACTCGCCCCGTGTCATCGGCTTTTTTACCATCTGCTACTCTATGATACGGGGCGACTTTACAAGCTACTAGCGAACTCACTGGCTTGTAGCTTGTAACTCGCCCCGTGTCATCGAGGCTTTAGGATTGCAGTTTTATAAAGCGACTTTTTTAATAGAGCATCTGATGTAGTGTATTTTAAGTGCTGCTCATTGGACGTAAATTTAAAACAAAGTTGAGCGCTTTTAAAAGAATAACCGACCTATACACAATATGGCTCGTATTACAGAATGACAACTAATTGCTGATCTTTACTTGAGTACAGTTAGAACGTTAGAACGGGATAGTAGTATAGGATAGTATAGTAGGATAGTACATAGCGACATCTCTTTCTGACTATGCTCAAGACTAGATTAATTACTGAGACTCTTTCTATAATACGGGCTTATGTCAACTCTTTTTTAACTCTCGTGCGAATAAGGGATTAGGTGCCATACCGCCACGTGCGAGAATCGCGGCGATCTTATCGTCATAGCATAATATTACTGATATTTCTATAAGTAAGGTATTTGGTAACTAAATAACTCAGCAGACTGACCTATAAAATTGCTTACCTTACAGCTGATTTTGGTATAGATCCGTATAAGAGGACACTTAGACCTCTGTATAGTCCGAAGAAGCCATGTCCTTGCACTGTTTTCTTAACACAATCTACAATACCCGTATATTTTTTGGTGCCACCTGTAGACAATAAAAAATGGGATTTATATATTATGCATAAAACGAAAATTAGATTTATGACTTATAATAGTTATAAAATATTATATGAACACCAATATAGTTTTTGTGTCAGATTGTGCTGATAGTACCTATAATAGGAATGTACGATGTAATAAATTAGACGATTCAAAAGAATTTTCTAATAGTACATTTAAATTAAGTACTTAAATTTTGATTTTCATATCATATGAATGTTGTTTCTCTATTCCTTTTGATAGATAACTAGAACATTTTGATTGTGCGTTATCACATCACATATATCTACTCGTACATTGATCCCAAATAATCCGGAACCAAGGTGTTTAGTCCAAATAAAACATTTCATTACGTTGCAATTTATAATTTTATTTATTACTAACGGCCGCCCGCGACTTCGGAGGCGTAGAGTTAGTTATTTGCACATACTTTTTAACCCCAAAAGGGGGTTTATTTCTAAAGAAATCTGTGTATCTTGTGTGTCAAACAGACAACAATTCTTAAAACTATATTTTTGGCTTCGATATCGACTGTAGATCACACCCCAAGTATTCTTTTAAAAAGTACAGTTTTGACTTACCTACCATTTTATTATATGTATTAATTATTAAAAATAAGAGGCTATTTTATTATATAAATCTAAATATATAATCGGGTCGAAGTAAGTCATTCAAATCTGTTTGTATATTAATGATCTAAGTGTCCTTAAAAACAAAATCCAAATTTAAGCATTCGTATAACAAACTCAGGATATATTACATTATAAAGTACCTAAAAATAATACATTAAATCGTAAACAGTATAATAATTTATACTGATAATGCAGCATGGCTAGCATGGTTGCAGCTTGCAGCAGCGTGGCGCGCCGGCCGGCGTTAGCAACAGACAAATAAAATTATGAAGGTCATGGTATACGTCTTCACCCACGCGTCTAGTCCATTGCATCGCGTGTTCAATGCTCTCTCTACTAACCAATCAAATTTTTATCGCAAATAAAGCCTATCTTACGATCATATCCCGCTATACATTACACAATAATCAATGTGCGATATCAAGACTGACTAAGAGTTAAACTAGACATTGCATATTCAAAACTACACTTTTTTACAATAACACTGTGCTTAGTCTGATTATCACATGACGATGTGATAATCAGACTAAGCACAGCACAGACGATGTGATGACCAGCACAAAATTTCTTGTTAAGCAGACGTGCTTAACAAGAAATTTTGCTAACTCCACTTTTGGTCAAAAATTATCTAACAATGACGTTTGTTTCCTTTAACTGGAACACATCGTTTACGTAAATTTGGCAACTCCTTGTATAAAGTGGAGATAGCAAATTTACATGTTAAGCAGACGACATGCAATATGCAACATAATCTAAAAGGGGTGTAATAATAATGAGGCGCTCTGCATCTGCAGTGAGGGAGAGAGTTCCATGACGTAGGTGGTTAGCGCATTCGGCCTGCGATCGTGAAAGTTAAGCAACTTTCGTAATGATCGCTCATTGGATAGGTGACCAAAAATAGCTCCCCCGTGCTTCGGAAGGCACATTAAGCCGTTGGTCCAGGCTGCATTTGTAGTCGGTAGCAGCCGCCAATCCGCAATGGGAACTGGGCCCCCTATTCCATCCGTAGGGATGGCCTGTGCCCCAGCAGTGGGAACGTTAATAGGCTGATGATGATGAATAATGAGGCCATTATCACAGTCGCGACGGCTACGTATTGAAATTGACAACTTCGGTCTCGTTAACATTGTAATACAACTTTCCCGCTAATGCGGCGCGACGAAAATGAAACATAACGACGTGACCTATTTTTCGTTAACCGTTCTGTTTATTGCGTAGCCTGAGGGGCGAAAACTTGTCGCGTAGAAGAATAATAACTCTCCCCTCTTTTTAAGTAGTGAAATAACTTCGTCGTGATAAATGCTGGCGGAATCTTTAAGCTTTGATCATTATATGGGTCTTCACTTCACTAATTGAACTCAGAAGAAAAAGAAAAGAATCCACCTGTTGTTAACTTTCGAGCGAGAGAGAGAGTTAAGAGAGCAAGACAAGATAGCTTCAAATAGTTGTACATGATGGGCTGGGGCGTATTATCCTAAGGCCAAGGGAGCACGGGGTGGCAGGCTTCATAAGGGTGTCTGCATGAGCTGCGAGAGGCAGCAGAAGCCTTAAAAAGCATTCCTTGCGCATATTTTGATTTGATTTATTACTTGGGGGGGAGGGGGGATGTACACCCCTGATGATGGGCTAGTTGGACTCTAGGCCCAACCAACACCAAAAGCGACGTGTACTTGAGACAAATATGACAAAAAAATATTTTTTTATGATAAGTTGAAGTAAAATCAACCAAATTTTTGGTAAGTTGGCATACCACACAATCATAATAAATAATTCACAGATGTTAATAATATTAAACAATAATAAATTAGAATAAAATTTCATTCTTCTAAAGAATGTAGAATTACAATTTATGTGGGTCTATCAAATAGGATTAATTTTTAATTTTACTCTTAGGTAGGTAACCTTATCCTTTATAGGATTTGGAAATAATACTTCTGGATTTTTCCATTCTTGGAAATATACATTTCTAAAACACAACCCAACACAAAAAAAATAATAGTTAATATCTTATGTGTGTTTGTTATTCAATCAGGAAGGTAAATTATAAGATTGGATTTTAATGAATTTCTTTATACACAGCATACTCATGTAATCTTTGCAAGCGGTTTTCAGATAAGGTCACAAGTAAGTGACAGTAACTTAAAAAGCATTCTGCTATCATGTTACTTGTTTAAATCAGATCATGTATTGAATAATGTTATAAAACCTTGAAAATGTCGAAGTGGTTACATCAACTCAAATAACACTTAAAGAGAGCAAAGTCCAAAACAAATATTATCGTATTTTGCATAAAAAACTCGATTTGATTTTGTACCAGCTAGTCTAGAGTAACATTGAACTCTACTTGTTTCTTTCGTACCTGACTCTAATAAGAATCTTATTGCATAAGGCCATTAACTAAGTACATTCAAACAACAAAGATTATTTCAATTGAATTCTGAATTTCGACCCTGACGTATTCCGTTAGTAGTATTTTTAGGTTTTCGATAAAAATAGGACATGTTTACGTATTAATGGAAGAATGCATTCGAAGCATTTTGAATGAAAATACGGTTTGATTATGTTATTTAATGTTTATACTGACCTTTTTCATCTAATTGGAGCTGTGTTTTAACGTATTCAGTTGGGAATGTGATACAAATTTCAATGCCACCAGTAATTCCGCCGGCAACTACTCCTTTGAGCCCCGTTGTTCCCGATCCTCCAGCCGCAGCCGCTGCCCCAGTTTCCGTCATCCATGGTCTAGAAAAAGGATTTTTGAAACTTCCAGGTTTCGACATTGTTAATAAATTTTATTAGACTTGTCGATGGCGATGGACAACGACTGCGAGCGTGCTCCGCCTGCAGGAGCAATTTTTGACTGACAGAAATGTGAACGAAATGATAAGTGAATGAGAATGATAAGTTAATGAATGAATGAATCTGACACTTTCTTAGGGTCGCAGTAAACATGTCGTTTTGATCCGGTCTGATACAAACCCTCGAAAATGGATGATGCACATTCACTACACACACACACACACACACGTATTTGTAGATATTTTAGAAGTTATTACCTGTTAAGAATTATCGATAAGAAAACTACCGGAGTGGATATTAAAATTTATTAAAATTTAAAATTATTAAATATTAAAATTAATTCCATGCAATGCGAACGTTTTCATTTTTTTTTCAATGAACCATGTTGAAACACATGTATATTGCTGCTCATAAAAGGTAAATTAAAATCTTAAGCTGATAAATCATTGAATATTACCATAGATTTCTAAACACTGGATTGCCATTGGAAAAATATGAAGAATGGAGTGAAGATTAACCAAAGTGACAATTGATTTAGTCATTCATTCAACACATAGCTTGATTGATAGACATTTTTCATTCATTCATTCGTCTTGCGTTGCTTTGATTTTATTTTACGAATGTGAAATTGTGGATAATTAATTACTGAAAAGACTTGTTTTGTTTAGACTAGCGAAGCAGCAAACATTAAAAATGGCTCTGCGAACGTACGGCGATAAGCCGATAAGTTTTCAAATAGAAGAAGGCGGAGAATTTTATTGTGTTGGATCAGAGGTATACCTTACTATTTTATTTTGCACTATAATCTAAATATTAGGTGCATTTGGCTGAAAAAGGTGTGTTGTTTTAGGTGGGAAACTACCTGCGGTTATTCCGAGGGTCTCTATATAAGAAGTACCCTGGTATGGCCAGGAGAACTCTTACCAATGAGGAGAGGAAACGCTTGGTTGACAACGGTCTTGGACCTCACGTCTTGTCGAGTTCTGTATCTTTACTAAAAGCCTCAGAAGTGGAGGATATCATTGAAGGGAATGATGATAAGTAAGTTGGCAAGTAACGACTTACAGTAATATAATGCATATCTACTTCAAATGTTCAGAAGTAATCTTTGATTGTAATCTTACAGATATAAAGCAGTATCAGTAAGTCAAGAGCTGGCAACTCCCCGAGAAAGTAAAAGCAAGAAACCACATAATCCATCATGGTTACCAGTTATGCCCAACTCGTCACATTTAGATGCAGTACCTCAAGCAACACCCATTAGCAGGACTAGGGTGCACAATAAAAAGGTAAGTGAACAAGATTTTTGTCCTGAAGTAGATTGGTAAAGCATAATATGTCCTGCTCAATAATATGTTAAATAAGACCAATTTCTTCTAGCTAAATAAAACAGAGCATAAATGTTAAATTAAATAAACTGTGTGCATTGTATTTTTTCATGTGAATAATTTTCAGGTACGAACATTCCCACTTTGCTTTGATGACACAGATATGACTGCAATGTTAGAGAATTCATCTCAAAAGCAAGTTCTGGTGCCTATCAGATTGGATATGGAGATTGAAGGACAAAAGTTAAGAGATACATTTACTTGGAACAAAAATGGTAATAACTTTTTGTATTATATGTAAATTATATATTGACTCAACCAAATAACCTGCTATGGGGCAGGCTGGCATGGCTGCCTAAACACAATATTATGTTTTTAAGTGAATGTCAAAATGAAATTTATTTTGAGCCCTTTAACTTTCCTTAATAAGACATCACTAGCTCTAAACTATGGCACAATAAATATAATATACTTATAATACAAATTATTGTGTCATCAAAGTATGGTACAATAATCTATAGATTTCTATTAATACCACTTAACTATCATTTTACAGTTAAAAGTAGAATGAATAATGTATATTTAAAGAGAGGAAGTGAAAATTTATATAAACAATATACCAATATTTTTTTCCCTATATTAACACTCTGATCCTGTTATGTGAAAAAGATGTTTCTAAAATAGAACAAAAATTTCAGAATCAATAATTACCCCTGAACAATTTGCTGAGGTGCTATGTGATGACTTGGAGTTAAATACATCGACTTTCATCCCGGCTATAGCGACTTCCATTAGGCAGCAGATTGAACAGTTTCCGAGTGAACCACCCGCTATATTGGAGGAGCAATCTGATCAGAGGGTAGTCATCAAGTTGAACATTCACGTTGGAAATACGTCGTTAGTGGATCAGGTGGGGGTTGCTTCATGTACTCCATGTCATTAACCATAACAATATTTACTCTAGTTGTGTTACCGTAAAAAATGTTTTTTTTCTTTGACTTAAACTATTAGTTTTATAGTGAATATAAAATATTACCCACCATTTTCAATTCATTATTATTAATTACTATTCCCTTCCCCTTCAGGTTTCCAAAAAAGTAATGCTACTATCTACAATATATTTTATTTGTTAGAGCTGCTTTTCTCCCATATCATTTATACCAAAGATTTTTTTTAAAGTTGCATATATATTTAGTTTGATATTTATTTCTTATCAGGTGGAATGGGACATGTCTGAGAAGGAGAATAATCCTGAACAGTTTGCGATGAAACTGTGTGCTGAGTTGGGTTTGGGCGGAGAGTTTGTGACTGGGATAGCGTACAGTGTCCGCGGGCAACTCGGGTGGCATCAGAGAACTTACGCTTTCAGCGAAGCACCACTGCCTGTTATAGAGGTAAAGTGATACTGTACAGCATGACATATAATTTTATCTTCATGTTAACACCTGATGCTTTAGTAAAATACTTAAAGCAGTAGTTTTTGTGAGTCTCTGTTTCTACACATAACTAAAGGCAGAGTTTTTAGTTAGTTATATTACCTATATGCTGTACACAAAAATAAGTTAGTGGAGCACTTTCATTACGCCTGAGCACAGCTTTCAACCCAACACTAAGTTTGACGACACTACAAGCTCACATGACGAGCTTGTAGTGTCGCTCAAGACAAGCTCGTCATGTGGAATACATTTTATGTATTTGAGTAATGTATTTTGAATTTTATTTTACACATTACACTTTTATTAATTGAATAATAGAGGAGCTCGATGGCGCAAGTGGTTAGCGCGTTCGGCTGCAATCGTTGAACTTAAGCAACTTTCGCAGTGGTCGGTCATTGGATGGGTGACCAAAAATTACTATCTCGAGCTCCTCCGTGCTTCGGAAGGCACGTTAAGCCGTTGGTCCCGGCTGCATCTTCAGTCGTTAGCACCCACCAATCCGCACTGGGCCTGCGTGGTGGGTCATGGCCCAACTCCCTATTCCATCCATACGGAAGGCCTGTGCTTCCAGCATTGGGGACATTAATAGGCCGATGATGAATAGTGTAATTTGTTTTTTTTTAAATAATAAAAATGTTTATAGAAAATAATGCATATACTGTTATAAAATTTACTTAAAATTTTATATAATCAAACCCAGTATTATTCATATTATGTCAATATTAAACTTAAAAATTTATCCATTGTCCGCACAGACTCCATATCGCCAACCTTCCGAAGCGGAGCAATGGGCGCCTCACTTGGAAACCCTAACCAACGCAGAGATGGAGAAGAAGATACGAGACCAGGACAGAAACACGAGACGTATGCGAAGACTGGCGAATACCACACCCGGTTGGTAAAAAAAATGTTATAGTAAATGGTAGTTTAATTAGGCTTACCATAATCTTGAAGGCTAGCTTTTTAACAGGGATGAGAGATAAAATTGTTGTTGCTTCCATGTCTCGAGAGTCTAATGGTCGCACTCAGATAAGTCTAAACACTAAATTTCGATTATATATACACTTATAATCTATTCAACTTCCACCGACACTGAGACAAAAGGTAAACAAAGAATAAAAAGATCTTCAATTGGTCGAATTTCAAATTCATATAAAAATATAAGTAAAAAAGTGACATCAAAAAGACCTAAAGCTATAGTTATACCCAAATTTTTAACGCATTGTAATACTATTGAATTGAAGAGTAGTGATAAAGCAAAAAAAATTAAGTTGATATGTGAAATTTTGAAATCAGTCTCGTTACACCGTCCATCTTTACTCTTGATAGAAAAGTTTTAGAAACATTTATATATAACACAGATATTTTTTTTGTCGCTTCCGTGCAGTTAATACGATATCGAGGCGTATATATAATCAAAGACTAACTTTTAAGTTTGACTGAAGTTGATTTTCTTACGATAACAATAAAAATGAGACAATACGTTATTTAATGAAGCATTCAATTAATTTGACGATTCTGAGTACGACTGTTAGTGTAGATGAGGCAGCAACTGGGATGAATTAAGAAACCAATGATGTTTAAATTCGGCACGTATGGTAAGTCTAGTAGTAAAAATTGAAGTTATTTTTGAAGAATATTATAAATCAACTGCTGCTGATTTTTATTAGTTTTTGGATTTCGCCACGCCTGCCGAAAGAGCGATCCATAACTGTCGCATAAAAGACTTGTAACGTTATTCAAGCAACCAAAAGAAACCGATAAACAATTAAAAGGAATTGAATAAAGTCTGCGATAGCCGTCGAATCGACAAGTGCTTTCGGTAGTTGTGGCGTCATAGTGCGACTCAAAGTTTATGGCGGTTGTGAAATTAGTAGCGAACACAATTATTGTTATACGCAGGTATTAAAATTTGTCAAGTTTTGGAAACGTTCATACGTTATTTATTAGTATATAGTGACTCTACAAAGAGTTATTTAAATTCCTGTTGCGTGTATCAGTAAAAAGACAAAAATAAAAATTCTGTTTTCAAATATGCCGCGGTAACGATACTCTAGCAAATATAGCGTCTTACAGGCAGGTGACGTCACACGGCTCTCATTAAAACGTCAAACAGTACAAAGTAAGGTCACTTCGACAACATGTTTCCAAGCGAGTGACGCTCCGCTAATCCTAAGCGTTTTTAGTCACGTGATAATAGATAAAAAAATAATTTTAGTAATGTAATCAACTACTTTTTTTATAATTATTTTTTATGCATTTAACTGCTATGACATGTTTAAATCGAAGAAAATTTTACTAGAAAAAAAATCCACCTGGACACGCCCCTTCGCGTGGAACTTTTTCTAGTAAAATTTATATTATATAGCAGTTAAATGCTTAAAAACCCCACAATTGCTATTTCTTCTTTCAAATGTTTAATACTTGTAGAGGTAGTCGTTGACATTGTGGTTTATCTACAATGCGAAGAGATAGCGCTCCCTTGCAGCCTAAGAAATACTGGGAAATATTCGACACGGCCGTTAGGGCCGCAGTAGGCGGTCTGAAATTGTTGGGATCTTGTGTTTATTAGGGACTTCATCAAACTCGGAAGTTAAATAATATGTTATTTACTATATGGTTTTGGTATTAGATAATTTGGTATAGATTCTAGTTTTGGTTTAAACTAGTAAACACTAGGCATTAAAACTAAATTAATTGTTTGTTTTATTTTTGTGAACTGGTATGACTAAATATTTGCAGATCATCTATGAATTAAAAATAATTAAATCATCCATATAAATGTATTGATATGTAGAGAACTATAATATTTTTCAATTATTTTTAAAAAGGATGAATCAAAATAGATTTATTATATTTTTAAAATTTCATCATTAATATCAAAAGTCTGTTGTTATCCAAAAGAAAAATGTTCTTAACTTTCAGTATTTACCTATTATAAAAATTAGTGATTTAATTGACTTATTATAAATACACTGAACTTCTATTAATTTTGAGTAGGTATCATTTAGGCTTATAAAGTTGTATGAGGGACGATTTCTTGGACCAATGGAATCTAAAGAACTAATAATATAGGAACATTTAACCTGTTACGAAAAAGGAAAATTGCATTAACATTACAAAACCTTAGAACATAGTATAGCCCACGGAAGTTGACAACAGTTTGCGCATCACTTTTAAAGCGCATAACAACATCGTAACATGAATGTTGAACTGTAGTGTATTGTACTTAAATGATTGATTTATTACATATAAATGACGTCATTGAGTCGAATGAGTCTTTTGATATCGCTGTACAAGTATTAATCTAGTCTAATTTTAATTGGTTGATAAATAATAACCAGAGAATCATAAAGACTTAATAATTTATATTTCATCTTTCATTTGGAGAGTTTTGGCCACGCTTCTAATAAACTTTAATAGAGAGGACCGCGGAAATATAACCGAAGCTGGCTTTTGTATTATTGGTTAATTAATTTGAAATCACATGCTGTTTTTTTCTTTCTTGTCATTATCAAAACATTAGGTAACGAGTAAATAGGTTCAGCGAAAACATACATTAGACAGATTTTAAAATTAACACGTTACAAACATATATTAAAATAAATATTTTATATACAAAGAGTGTTAGTGTGGACTCAAATTCGAGTCATTTACTCAATTTTGAAATGTTGGACAATATTTTTCGTAAGATGAAACTACATAGAAGATAGCAAAATAGGAATTTGCATAAACAATATGCTTATTGATCTTATTTTGACAAACTGTTAATTTATTTAGAATAAATATAATACGCGGAAATAATATTGATTAATGTACTTAAAGGTAAGGTCACCCGTAGCTATTGTAGCTAGGAGGCAAATGTAACTGTTTCAAATAACTCGTTACTGTTTCGTTTTTAAAATAAGAAACATATGTGGCTCTGTAGAGTAACCCACCTATAAATAGATTTCGCCAATAATACGAAACAGTAACAAGTTATTTGAAACAGCTACATTTGCCCCCACGGCTACAAAAAGCCCCAGGTGCCTTTAATGTATTACGGAATTGTGTAAGTTAAATAGGTATTTTATGATCAACATCACAATCGCTATCTTAAGAAAATCATACATAATTTATATTTATATTATTATTATTATACATTCTGAAATCAAATAAGTTCCTGTTGATCCTTCATAATGTAAAAAACCATGCAGTTTAAACTTCGGTCAGCAGTGCTATTTTGTAAGAACAAACTCACTTTTCACCGCGAATTCCCCGGTGTGGTGTGAAATTTATTGTTATTTTAAATTAGTGTTTTCTAATTTTAAATCATATCGCGGATTCCGAGATGAAAAGTGAGTTTGTTCCAGAATAGCACAGCAGATGAATAATTTTTAAACAAAACTAATGAATTGAAATGTATTGTGTAATATGAATAATCCGGTCGTAGCATTTAAATTATTTTTTATTTGAATTTATACTTTTATTAGATTTTATAGAATATACTTAATTTTGGTAAACAATGGTGATGCCTTACATGAGTACAAGTTCGTATAATGCAATCGACTTGGAATGTGTGAAAAACTATGTTAACTTGAAATTAATTAACTGGATGATTGCAAACTTACAATAAAAATTAACTGATTCGTAATAAATATATTTTTTGCACATTCCTCGTTAATAATAAATGTATTAAAAACGTAAGTGGACTGTTAAAATTCTATCACATTAAAGATTTTACAAAATCGATTTTTTTTCGTTTCATTTTCTAACCATCATCACAATAGCAACTAACAGTTTTGCATCGGTTTGCATCAATGGGTGATTAAATTGACACAATCTGCTTACCATAATTCATTGTTTAGCTGTATACAAATTAAATAGGCGTAGATATTTTTTTTTATTTTGTTGTTGAAAACGTTTGCATGTTTTTCAAGTGCTGAAGATCATAAGATCGTCCATGTACTTTATGGTAAGCGTTACCCAAGTTTATGTTTCTGTTTTCTGGTAACAGATGTGTCGTTGAGTCGGGCGGTCAACCGGCTGATTCGCGCTGACGAGGCCATGTTCCAAACAACGCCAGAAAAGAGGAGGAAAAAAATTTAATCACCCATCGTTACCTGCACGTAACCCGAAGCCATGTCCACGAGCTATACTTTTTTATCTCTGTTTCCCTTTTGTCACAATGAAAATTGTGTTCAAATTTCAGTTAGTAATTAAAATATTGGTGTACACATGTCTTGAGAAACTACAATTTTGTAATAAACTAATCATATAATCATTTACAAAAAAAAAGTGTTATGGTAGGTACTTTTAGAAATTAAATATATTCGTATCTTAACGTGAAATAATTGTAATTTGTTGTGAATGGAATTTGAAATGTTTGATGTTGGTGGCAATTCACTTAGCATGATATCGGCGTGGTTCCTATTTTTACGTCTTAATAGTCTTAATATTCTTAATCGCGTCCTCAAACGTTCCTCGACTCAAACTCATTCGAGGGCTCCTTAAGGAGTTCCTCCAAATAACCTCGAAAATGGTATTCTAGTTGGTATCTTGAACAAACTTGAGAATTCCTCCACTGAGAATTCCTCAACATTGTGACGTCATCATTTGGAGGATTTTATTTCTATAATTGTTAACACAGGAAATATTACTTGTATGACTGTATCTTTTCTAAACCGAAATCTTCTTTGAAACGAATCATTGTCGTAAACCTTAAAAGGATTTGCGGCATCACGTAAATACCGTCGCGCCGGAAAATTATATGGTTAATCATCGTGTATGTGTTACTGAATAAATAAATAAATAAATCGTATACGTAATCCATAAAATCCACCAATTCGTCAATAATCTCAAAATCAGACATAAAACTTGAAAACACCTTAAACACCACTCGAGGAAGCCTTAAGGTACGTCGAGAGCTACCTTGAGTTTGACAGTTTATTCCTCGACTCGACCTCCACTCGAGCGAGGAATATCTCAAGTGAAGGATATTTTTGTTGTCTAAGCATACGAATTTCCTCCAATGAGGTTGAGTCGAGTGGAAAAAATCTCGAGGAAACGACTAAGAATATGGGTGTTAGAATATAGAATCTCAAATATTTCACTCACCACTGGATTTCTGCAATTCATTTAGCAATCCTCAAGTTTCTTAAATGATTTGTAAGGTTGATTGGAAATGAAAATGACAGTTTCTCAACGACATTTCATCTGTATTATTTCGTTTTAATCCGCCGGTATTAGTTATAATATAATGTTGAACTAAGTGAATATATACCACAGAATTTGTAGCTTGTCTTTGTTTGTATTTCTAAACAAATATCCAATATAAAATAGTTTAAGCAGTAACTTTATGTTCTAAGACATTCATTGACTATGATCTGTTTTGCGAATTTAGATGTTTAGTTTTACGTGGTACTAGTACACAAATGCCTGGTACTATAATATGATACTTTTAAAAAGTACATTTAGCTCTCTCATTTTCATTCCATTTTTTTATTCTGCGACAAAAAAATATTTTTAAATTTACATAAAGAGATTTCTATTTTTATGTAAGAAAGTATGTCTCGAACAGTAGATTTTACTAGTTAAACTGTCAGTAATATAAATGCATTGTAAAGTATTTTATGTTTTTTCTAAACGTGTATGATGATATAACAAGTTAAATAAAAGTTAAGTAAGCTTTTCCACGTGCATAAAATTTAGATCATGGTTTCATTTATTATATGTGTATTTATAAGGTTTTCCTTCCCATACAACCCGAATCAACAAAATTGTGATGTCAGATTGGATCAAATTAAAAAAAAATGGAAAACAGTTAACGGCCATGACGTGGTTGTGGAAAATACTGGTATCGATTCTGGCATGATTCTCTGAAGCTGAACTTATATTTGACAACAGTGTATCCCTGTCATTCACTATACAGAATGAAAAGGACAGACTGATCTTAAATTTAGTTTTAAGTTTAGAGAATCCTGCCAGAATCGACACCACTGTGTGTGGGGAAATTTATGAATTGGATTGGAGCGTCCGTTTGGGGAATCAACCCTCATCTTACAGAAGACCGCAGAAAAATAACAGCACCTGTTGGTAGTGTTGTGTTTCTGTTGATGAGTAGGGTTTCACGGCTCCGTGGGGGCATTAGATTAGGTCCAGGCCGGCAAGGTGAGGATGGCTGGAGCAGCACACTTTCTGCCGAATCATCTACGCGATTGGACACTTAACATCAGGTGAGGCGGAGTAATTTGCTGCGTCTCGTATAAAAAAAAAACGAGTGTACCACACCACACGACTGAAGTGAAACTTTTTTAGCTACATCTGTATATATATATACTTGTATGTACATAAACATATTTCATTTACTAGCTTTAAGAGAAAGAGAAAGAAAATGTGCGCGCACACTGCTTTCTCTTGCCTAAATCCCCCACTCAACTCCCGTTCGCCTCACCCGAACACACTTTTCGTAACGCGTAACGCAATCAAGTGTGAGTAAAGAAGTTTCACTTCAAAAAGGCATTAGGGTAATAGAAAGGGGGGGGGACAATAGGATGAGCTCTGTTAAATGTCTACGATACGAGAAAATGCTAAATATTGGCTGTAACTCTTTGAGTTCTTGGGCTTACGCTGATACACTTGTTACAGTCACAATTGTGATCCCAAAGGCAGTAGTCCGAGTTGTTGTCAGTACGTGAACGCCCACGATCATCTAAGGCTCATATTACAGAATGACAACTAAGTGTTGATCTTTACTTGAGTACAGTTAGAAAAGGATGTCGCTATGTGCTATAAATAATATAGCGACATCCCTTTCTAACTACGCTCAAGACTAGATCAATCACTGAGAATCTTTCTATAATACGGGCCTAAGAATCTGTGGCCCTGCTTTCCTGAGACGCAACGTAATCATATCGTCATCGTCAAATTTTGTATGGCCTTCCATGGCTCCTTAGCCAGTTGGTCTTGCGTCCGGCAGGGGCGCTGATAAGTTTTCATAGAAACTTTGACGATGCGATACGATTACGCAGCTGTCAGAGTAAGTGCTTGGGCCACTGGTCTGGACTTTTAGTAAGTTAAGAGTATACAGGAAATTATATGTTTATATTATGTCACCGGCAATCTGTATAATGAAGGTGTTCTATACAATACCTAGGAGGCAATGTATAGAATGCCTGCCCCCCTAGCATGAGTGCCGCGATATGATATATTATAACGCGTTTTTATCACGCTCAATTGTCTAATTACTATGGAGTTTGACAGTTAGACGCGATAAAAAACGTGATATAATGTTAATTGTGGTTAGTTGGACTTGCATAAAAGTTCGCTATTAAAACTCTCACGTCTTTGGAGACAAGTACGTTGCGTATGGATGGAAGGTTAAAAGCCTTGATGTTGACCGCGTATCCAACTAAGAGTCCAGGAATTGCCTTGGAGGCGAATTTGGGACCTCTCGGACCTTCAGAATTAAGTCTTTTGTTCCAAACGAATGAAGGTGATATAGCCACAAGGTTTTTTAATACCCATTTTTCGTAAGGTGTTTGATGATCAATGGCGCTATTGCACTATTACAGAGATCGTTGGCTGTTGAGACCGCTTCTGCCCTCAGATGCATTGGTGCTTTAGCGTCGACAAGCATCGGTCTTATTTTATCTACTAAAGTTCTTTTTTTTCTGCGTAACCGTCTTTTAGAGAGTGTAAGGTGAGCTTAAGCGCCGAGCTATTACATTTTCTTTCTAATGTAATCATCAAATTTCTTGATGTATTCAGTCCGCTCGTGAAGTTTTCCATTTCCTGTTTGTATGCTTTGAAGTGATCTAAAATTTCAGACTTTTCATAAAGTAGACTCGTCCCCGTATCTACTATAGTCATCGATGAACGTGACAGAGTACCGATTCTTGTCGGTGAGAATATGTTATCAACAGACGTCACTGTGCAAAATGTCCAATCACTGTTGTTTTGGGAGATTTTCGTTTAGGATTTGGCACTCCTGTCATTTTTGCTTCAGTGCAGTCTGACAGTCTCAGCTTTATTAAAATTTAATCCAACCACATCCTCCTTGTTGAGAGCTATGTGGAGAGCTATCTTTGTCGTTCATATGCCCAAGTTTCCTGTGTCATCTTGCATAGTCTTGCTTAACATTAATCGAAACAGGTTTTTCAGGTTTTTAGTCGATGATGATACTGCGTAGCTACGTGATTCTTGGGCTCTTACGTGATTATTCTATCTCGTAAAAGCTCTCTTTTTTTAAGTACGGAGCCCTAAAAATACGTGTCTGGAATAAATTAAACATTGCACAAGACACAATTTTATTTTATACATTACTTATAAAACAAAGTGGAAGTCGTCTTTTTGTATTTGCGAATCGGGTGCTAATATTTGAGACGTCTGGTACTATTTCCGGGTGAATGTCTAAAAGAGCTAAACCTGTTAATCGCTCTTCCAACATGTTAGCTCTCAACCACTTTTTTAACTAAGTAGACCGCCTTATCTTGAATTATTACAATAAGCCGACAAATGACATTATTAGAATATTGTTATACAATCTTTATCATAACGACGCATATCGATTTTGCTATAATTACCAAAACGACGTAGTTCGGTTCCTTGTTTCTAAACTAGTACTAGATGTCATTTCCAAGTTATTTTGGCCATCGTACGTAGTTTATAAAAACACGCCTAGATGTCAGCAAACTATATTTAATTTTATCGCTGTTAGGAGATAGCTAGAAATTTCCTATTATTATTTGGCAAATTTTTGAGATTTTTCAATTTGACCTTAGATTGGGGGGGGGGGGGGGGGGGGTCATCTCCCCTGTGACCCCCCCTTCGGTCCGCGCCTGGATCGACATACAAGATATGCGCGGTCAAGGTCACGATAATGATGTAAACATGAAAAGGAAAAATATAGATCTACAGAAACGCATTTTAGACTTACGCATTTTTTGTACCATGTTCGGCACACAGCTTAAATTTGGTACTAAATGACGCTGCCAAAAGTTCATTAGAAATTGTCAATTTCTTTTCAATTGTACAAGTGTTTTTTATTTATTCTGCGTCAACAGCACGTTAGTAAATACTTGCCAAAGAAGTGCCGACTTTAAGTCTAA